TCTATAACCTTAAAAATCCCGGAAAATCCTCTTGGCAACCTTAATTTCCACTACTACCACCATTACATATGTAAACTACACGCATAACCCTTGTTTACCAACTTTGAAAAAGTACCTTTCTCTTAATAACTTCTGTTTTTCCTTATCAACCTTGAAGATTAAAATTGTTACTGTATAATAAACTGTTGTTCTTTCATATTCTAACCTTTAAAAACCCATAACTCAATTATAAATATGCTAAAAACCGTTTTCCAACCTTTACACCTATATTTTCGAATTTTTCTTATCTTTTCTTTTTCTGTCTTTTTGTAATAACTTTGTAAGTAAACTATGTTGATCTTAAGAATAATTTTGAAATGAGATGACATAATATTGAGCCAATAAGTATACATAAGCCTCTAAGAGCTTCAATTGATCTGAAATCCTGAATTTTGAATTTCCTGCTACACTGAAGTTTTCTAATAACTTGGTAAAGTGAAGATGATTAATTTTTTTGCTTGATATCATAAATAGATCACCACAACGGCCGGCTGGTTGTACCTAATCATGCAGGATTGAGAGAAAATTCATCAACCAGACACACAACGTGTTGGGTCACCTAGGACCACTCAAGACCCTTACATGACTACAACACACCTTCTTTTGGCCCGGCATGACCAGGGAAGTTGGGCAGCAATTGAAGACGTGTGATTCCTGTCAGCAAAACAAGGCTCAGACAACCACGACTTCCGGCAAAGTGCAAGCCAAATCCCTACGCAGCCAATGGAGGCAATTGCTATTGACTTCATCAGCCCGTTCCCAAAAGCTTCTGGCTACAACATGATCCTATCTTGTACGTGCCGACTAACAGGATTCGTACGTCTAGTCCCTGCATCACAGCGTGATACTGCTGAACAATTGGCAAAGCGGCTGTTTAACTCTTGGTCCTCAATCTTTGGTCTCCCGGAGTCTATCATTGGTGATAGAGATAAAGCATGCACTTCGAGGTTCTGGAAGCGTCTGCATGACTTACTAGGAGTGTGGGTTAACCTGTCTACCGCTTATCACCCGCAGGCAGATGGGCGAAGCGAGCCCTCCAACAAAACTATTGGACAAATCTTGCAACACTCAGCCGTGAGTAAGCATGGGAAATGTCTGGAATCCTGGCCATGTGCCGAATTTGTGATCAACTCCGCGGTGAACGTCTCCACAGGTGTCTCCCCATTTCAATTTGTTTACGGATGTATACCACCAACGTTGGCTTGCTAAGCTAAGCTAAGGATTTTTGCCACCTGGGCTTAGCTTAGCTAGAAGCCGCTAAGGAAAAATGTGCTAACGCTAAGCCATTAGCTTAGCGGGCATAAAATGACACCCGCTAAGCCAATTAATTGGCCGCTAAACCGCTAATAGCGGCTTGGCGGCCCTTTTTTGCACTTAGAACATGTTCTTTTTGATAGCTAAGCTTCCGGCTTAGCTTGGCGCAGACCCGCTAAAGGAAAAATCAAAATTTGATTAGCTTAGCTTGAGTGCGCTAAGGATTTAGCGTTAGCTTAGTGATAAAAAACTGCTAAGCTAATGCACCGCTAAGCGCTAACTTAGCTTAGCCATGCCACTGTTGATACCACGACTATTCCCGGTCAAATTGCCGACCGAAATTGAAGACGAAGACGTGCACTCATGGAATCAACGGCGGCAGTAAGAGTGGGCATCTTGGCAAGACCATCTTTGGAGCAGCCGAGTTGACCAGGCAGTACAATACAACAAACAACGCCGGGAGGGAGACACACTACAAGTAGGTGACCTGTTTATGGTAGATAGTCACGATCGGCAACAAGTGGTAGGTGGGGCGGGCCGTGGAGTTGGTAAACTCAGAGCTTGCTACGACAGCCCGTATGAAATTCAGGAGGTTCTGAACGGAGGCCGCGACTTCAAGTTACAACTTCAAGCGGAGGACGCAACACACCTGATCTTTCACATATCTAAGTTGAAGGCCTACCACAGCAAATCCAAACACTTAGACAGCAAAAGCATTGCGGCCATGACTGTGGTCTTGTCACATACGGAACCAATCCCCGAAGGTCCTAGAATGGAGCCCACGGGGCACACTACGAAACATGACAAGGGGGTGTGCTTTGAGATTGATGCATTAACACCCCCGCAATGTGAGTGTGCTATTCCTTTTTCAATCTCCAGTCTTGAAGATGTTGGCAAGAAATGTTCTCTCCTAAATAGCAGAAATTCTTGACTCAAGGCCATCGGACCAACATTGGACACAGTAGGGACCACTTGCAGTCACAGAGGTGACTTTGTCAAATCCAAAAACAACCCCATCAGGCCGGAATGTGGGGACCAATGGGGAAAGCTAGGAAAATTGACAAGGGGGTGTGCATTGTATTAATGTGCTAACACCCCCGCAATGTGAGTTCAATACAGCATTTCTTTTCCTCAATTTCCCCAAAATGGCTGGCAAGCAGTTCTCTCTCCTAATTAACAGACTACTACAACAATGACACGAAAGATCAAATTACGTATAATTCAAGATCATTCACGTCAAAACCTCAAGACAATTCATGTTTCACAAGTATTCACTTCAAGACATCAAGGTTCAAGAACAAATTGATGCAATGGCGTACAGCAAGACTTCAAGATTTAATTAAATTCAGAAAAAACAATTCTCCTATTTCATTTTCTTCAAGATTTTACAACTCAATCAAGACTTTTTGCTCTTTTTTTTCTTTTGCTTCTTTTTTTCTTTCACAGTGACGAGTTATGGTCAAACTTTCAGGGGCGAGTTATGCCAATTTGCGAAAAATTTTCTTTTTCTTTTAGGATTTTTTTTTGGTGTTTGTCTATTTTCAAGAATTTTTTTGGATAATTAAGGAGGAGGCTTTAATTTTTAGGAAGGGAGGGTGTAAGGGTACACTTAGGCTCAGGGCATATGGTTAGGGAGGCATGGGTTTACACGGGTCTTCTATAAATATCTTGTTGTCAGCGCCCGGCTTCGAAGGATCCTCACTCCTCAGAGAGCTAATCTTGGGATCCTTTGGAGCTAGGTGAGTTACAGACTTTTCATTACTTCTGTGGTCCTTTTTCATTTACTTGTAGTCTTGAGACTCCTCAGAGAGCTAATCTTGGGATCCTTTGGAGCTAGGTGAGTTACAGACTTTTCATTACTTCTCTGGTCCTTTTTCATTTACTTGTAGTCTTGAGACTCCTCAGAGAGCTAATCTTGGGATCCTTTGGAGCTAGGTGAGTTACAGACTTTTCATTACTTCTCTGGTCCTTTTTCATTTACTTGTAGTCTTGAGACTCCTCAGTGAGCTAATCTTGGGATCCTTTGGAGCTAGCTCGTAATTTAACCAAGGTTCTAAGTCAATTGCTCCCACCATGCTCTCTCAAGAAGTTGTGCCGGAGTAAAGTTTCCGGACCCTCCAGTGAAGATCTGAGAGATCTTACAGCTCCCTTTGCCACAATTTTTGAGCAACAGGAAACAGCTGCGCTGTCAGTCACAGCGCAGCTGTGACCAATTCACTGCTCACCTTTGAAATTTCAAGCAGCGGGAATCTGCTGCGCCCCCCGCTGCCACCCCTGAAGCGCAGCTGTCCCAGTGTTGCTGTAGCTTATACTCAATTTATAGAGAGATACGAGATTACATACAGAGTTTTGTCAGAGACAGATTTCTTTTGAATGACAATTTCTATGTCCTGCTTTTTTCACCCTATATTAGGGGGTGTCAAGTCAGGATATGTTTGTGAAAAATTTTATGAAGCGGACCAGTTTTCAAAATTTTACGGTGTTTTTTTTGCTGCATTTATACGGTCAACAGCATTTGGGACACCTAAAACGGTGTCCCAAATTTTTGAAATCCACATAAAATTTTACGGTCTTGGACAACTTGTTGTACTGAAAAATACTGTAAAATATTTGACTTGAAACCCCCTATTTTTGTGTTGATGTGGGGAACTCAAGTTGTACAAAACCCACGGGTCCTTGCGCACCAACATTAGGGCCTGGGGGTTTCAAGTCAAAAAACTTTTGTGAAACTTTTTTGAAAATGGACAAGTTTTTTGAATTTTACAGTGTTTTTTGGGTTTCCGCTACCTTTTTTTACGTATTTTTACGCTACAACAACTTGCCCGTTGCTGTAAAGTATGCGTAAAATTTTTGAAGCAGGACACCTTTTTAGGTGTCCCAAATTAAAAATATGTTGGTTTTACAAAGATTTTTTTTTACAAACAACTCATCCAAATTTATAAATTCTGTGCAAAAAACAAACAAACTTGAAACCCCTTAATTTACGGTATATTTTGCAACATCAGACAACTTGTTGGACTGTAAAATACTGTAAATTTCTTGACTCAAAACCCCCTATTGAGCAGGCTGCTTGTCAGTGTGTTTGATTGGATAGCTGCTTGATCCCTTACCTGGCCTTGCTTGAACAAGTAGGAGCTTAGGGTGCTCTGTTAGAGTAAACTAGGCTCAAAAAATGCGCAAAAGGTAAGGTTTGTAGTGAATTTCACCTCTTTATTTCAAATATGTAATATCTACACTCTGAAATAAAGAAAGGAAAGAAAGAAAGAAACAGAACTACATAATCCTTTTTTTGAATTACGGTTCCTGTGCCGGTGCTTCCTAGCGATGATTCAACACCTGTCAACGCCAATTCTCAGCTTCTAGGCGCCGCAGAGCATTTGGTGGAGGTAAGCTAATAAGTCACATAAATGAATGTCAAAAGACGTCCTTACGAAGAAAACAGGAAACTGGTCAGATGATACATTGAATCTCAAGGCGCATCCTAAATGGGATACGTTTGAGCCTCCGTACACTCCGGCGTATCACGTTAGCTCACCCATATTTCCCTTCGACTTTGGGCATCCTGAATTCTTAAGGGGTAGGGCTGGCCTCGTCAGTGTAGCCAGCTTTGACTCTCAGCAACTTTGAAAGTTGAACTGCTTCAAACTGGATTGAACCTAAAACTACGATGCTCTTGAGCTCAGCCAAGAAAGTACTAATACTATCTTGTGATAGCAAAAACATTATGTTTCCACTTCTTCACACAACAATGCTGATTTCTCTTCCACTAACACTAACCAGGATGGAAACTAATAAACTAGATGTATATAGATATGTTGAACATGGTTGATGAAGATAGAAAGGTATTTTTTTGGTCTTGAGTCTTATGCTCTGAAGTGTTGGACATCTTAATCCGGATAAATCAACCATCACATCACAAATCAGAGGGGATAAAAAATTCTTGAGACTGGAACTCATAGAGCACACAACAAACTGATCAAAGGAATATTCTAAAGCCTTCCCGGCACATCGAAAACACATTCATTTCCTCTTCTACTACAATGCTCACATGGTCCAGGTCCAGGTGTACATCTCAATTTTCTAGTTCTACAAAATGTACAAGCAATACTTACTCTTTGTCTAGTAGATTGCAACAGCGTAATAGGAATTGAGCCACTAGGTGTCGTCGTAGTCAACTGCTGAGATGATGAGGGAGTGGGTACCGGACGTCGATGTCGTGCTGGTTGTCTAGTACGGGGTTCGGTTTGGTGAAGCCCTGTTCGATTTTTGGATTTGGGCGGACGTGTAGGTGGCAATGGATTTTGTGGAGGGAAACCGTGGTTCTGATGAAGTGGTTCGAGTTGTGGCTGTGACGCAGAGGCTCCGGCTAACATGGCGGCGATACCAGGTAAGGTGGGAGCGCCTTTCGGTTTCTTGACCGCCTCAGAGCTGATCAGAGATGGTAGTGGTAATAGGTGTGAAAAGGTTGAGGTATGGGATGAGGTGGAAGGCTCGTTTCGATCAATTGACACTTCACATCTCCTATCAGTGTCATTGGGTTGAGTGTCGCGTCGAGCCCAAGGCGGAATAATTGAGCCGTTCCCATCACACTTGGGTTCATAGAGCATCCAGTGAGCAAGGTCTTCTTGTCGCTCAGTTGATTCGAAGGCCGGTAGAGTGGGGAGTGCACTTGTGGATTGGGTCGGATGAATCGAACCAGGCTAGTGTATGATTGTGATCGTTGTTTGAAGAAGTTTAAAAAAAGGGATCATTCAAGGAAGGTTTGCGGGAGTAGACAGGAGATTAGTAAAGATTATATATATACTTAATTGAGCCAGATGGAATTCTGAAAGGAACATTTGACAAAATGAGAAGAAACTGACACTTTGGATAGAAGGATGATGGTGATTGAATGAGTTAGTCGAATGATAATCGTCCGGAGCTCGAAACTTCTTGGCCATCATCAGCCTAAGGCTATTCTTGGAATAGTAGTTGGAGTTAGTCCTCGAATCAGCCATCAAACTAAGAAAGTGAGGTGAATGATTTAAGTAGGGTGGTAGATATGTCGATCTGATCCACAATCTTCCTGACGCAGTTTAGCAGTAGGGCTGTAGATGTAGGAGGCGGAAGCAGCCAATCCGTGAAGCAAGTAGCTATCTACCTTACTGTAATTAGACTGACCGACCTATGCGCGGCTCATGAGCGATGGAAGCATCAAGTCAGTCCAAAGAGACAAAAGACTGAGGATGTGAAGTCAAGCTTGCGTATATAGTTCATAACTCACTCTCTATTCAGAGCTCATCCTAGTATGTGTAAATCTATTGAAAGCAGCTTAAACAATGACCGGACACCAACAAGGAACCGACCGACAATCCACTCTAAAAAGTGACTACTGTATGTAAGGGATGGGCGAAAAGCTGGCGAAAGGCGTCAGGGTGGGATTGATCGACTTGATGCACCTCTATTTATAAGCGAGAAATCGAGGAGGGCACAAAGACAGCAGTTCATAACACCATTCAAAGGAATTCCAATCTCGAAAATTGAAATCAGACAGTTCTAGGGATAAACTCGAAGAGATATAAAAGGCGGAGCGTGGGGAGCTTTCTACGTAAATTGTCGATTGAAAGCTTTTACAAATTTGAAAACTTCAAACTACTTCAAAGAACACGACTCCGAGCTTGTTTCATGTCACTCTCTCTCGCTTACCTCCACCTCTACCGGTCCGCTCCTCGATAAGTATGCCACCCATCATCTCAACCGGTTCGCCCCTCATCGGCCGACGGCAGTGGCCTGCTACAGACAAGATGATCAAAACAAGCAACAAATACACTCGAAGACTGATCTCTATTTCCGCAAGCATTGCAAACATCAAGTCTAGGCCTTGTCCCATACTTTGAGAAAAAAATCAAAATGTACATTCACAGCTGATAAATGAGGATAAATGAAGCTCTGATATCCGTTCCCAGGCTTAGACGTGTTCAAATGGATTCATTTAACTTGTGTTCGTATAAAATTCTGTTCAAGATAAGTTTAGTTTGCCCCACATATGTAATATAGATTTTAGCATGAACAGCCGGGAACAGCCGCTCATCAAATCGAAAGATGCAAACCCTTGCGGAAATTTCTATCAATCTTGTGACACATTTTCAATTCTGCCTGTGTGTTTTAAGATCAACTTGCCAAATCTTGTTTATATACAAGTGAAGATAATTCTACTATGTACCTGTGTGTTTTAAAATCAACTGGCCAAATCTTATTCATATGTAGTGAAGACAATAAATCCAAAAGAAACACCGTGCTCAATTCTATCACATTTTTGGCAGCGGATGGGAAGGAGAACGGCTGTGGCCCATAGAAGTCCGGGGGAGTCATGCGGCGAACATCGGAATAGCTGAATGGTCATATGTACATACTTCCAACGGCAAAAACTAATCTGCACCTCGGGATCTTCTGAAGAGAAAACTCGGATCAGCAAAGTACGTACAGGAATTATTGCGCCATGTGACGGCAGCTTAAAGCCGGGGATTTCTTTACGTATTTCGGACGTAGTGGCCTGGCCGGTCGATCTCGGACTCGTTTATTCAACTTCATATCTTGCTGTGACCCGCGGGCTCCCGCGGGTACTTACCTGCAAGTGCATATATATTGTCCAAAACACCAATTGATCAAGACTTTATGGTTCCACAAATGCCCAGAGCTAAGCCAATGTGTGCGCATTATTATCAAGATATGCCCAGCTTTTCAACTCTCAAGGAGTCTCGTTTTTCTCTATCAAACTGTAGTTTTTTTCTCTTCGTTTGCAATCGAAGAAAGAATCCCGAGATGAGTATTTTCTCGTCTTTTTGAACATCTCTTATTGTTTTTTTGGAGACCATATGTACTAACCCTGACCCTTATCCGACTCGTCTCGATTTTGCAGAACATGGTTCTCGGTCTTTGACATATATGATACTTATCACAAAGCTCATACATGTACCGTGGATGCAGATCCTGCAGTCCCGGTAGCTACTCAATTTTCTAAAATGAAGATCTGTTCTGGTAGAGTTGAGGGACACTCAAGATTGACTCCTCTTTAGAACCAGAGAGAGGCATAATAGCCTCAATCTCATCAATTCAAAAACCACATAAATCACATTCTCAGATGTGTTTGAAAAGTGTCTCAGTCTTAAGGTTTGGAAGATGATGGACAAGTAAGTCGTGTCACATTGCAGCTCCCCCCTTTGGTCCCCAAAATGAAACAAATGCAACACAAGGTTCACACTGGCATCAGCGATGTGCACTCAGCCACCTGCATATCAACGGAAGCACAAGCCCCCAACCTCCTTCAAGAGAATACACCCTGATGACTACATTTCTTGAGTCTCTCCAACAGTCTCTGAATTTGAGATCCCCTAGGCGATAAAAGTGAGATGTAAAGCCAGTATGCTATGATCTACGCTGCTGGGATGATGTTGAGAAATCCGAATGCGTATCACACATCCTGTCCCGACTCAATTTTTGTCAAGTGCCCACATCGATAATTCCCGCAATGGCCGGACTCTTCCAGCCTGTCATTTCATGCGTGCCTCGACAATCAAATACCCTCGAACAAGAAGTTTTTCATTCATGATCTCACCGATGTCGCATCTTTTGATGAGCGTGACATGTATGTACCAAATAACTTACGATTTTCACGGTGCGATACTGTATGCCTCTACTTTGATATACAGAATTTCGCACTGATAATGTCTCTCGCGATCATGAAATAATCGAATTTAACACAATGTGTTGCAGAAATTCCCAAATATCGTCACATGAATGGACAATAAATATTGCAGAGTAAGTCAAGCACATAATATATGAAAGCCAAGCAGGCGAAATGGTTTACAGTGATAGAGAGATTCAAAGCAACCGACGGAGAGTCATTGGTAGAAGCCAGGTTTGAATAATGATCAGCCTGCAGACTAGATGAACTCTGGTACGTTGATCGGTAGACTCGTTCAGAGATGTTGCAGAGACCATGCGTCCGAATGCTACCAAGTTCAAACACCCTCTGGTACGTAACAAAGAAAGGGCGGTTCAGAAGTCGTTAGAACTGGAAGATCGGCTGGGTGTTCTGCTGCGCAAAAGCGGTCTAGCTGATAGCACAATCAACCATTCAACAGTCCGTATTGATCAGTGAAATATGTCGAGTTACAGGTGACAGTAAATAAACAAACCCTTTGGACATCAGGATCCAAGTGACTGGTAGTGGGAAATGAAACGTTATCGAGGTGCCAATGTGGATCGAAGTGTTCGATGGCAAGAGTCATGTTGGAAGCAAGAAGATCATTTATAAAGTGAGCACACGGTAAACCTTTGGAGTTGATAAAACTTCGGGTGCATCTTGAATCTTGATCAAGCAAAAATGCCTTATGAAATTGTTCGAAAACCTTGAAAAGGAAGATTGATAGGCGCATTCAGGACATCACACTATATGTTGATTTCTCTTCCCGCTGATGATGAACGGTCAGACTTACTTGTTCTAAAGCATAGTGTGATATTCTTTTGAGAACAGCATGCCAAAATGGTCCTTCAGTTTGGAGCAGATCATGACAGCGATCATACACCATCCTATCAGCGATCCGATCTCGTTGTTGTTGAGAAGCCAAGAGAAGTTCCTTGTATACACGTGCTGAATTATCAGTAGGCATACTTGTCCATTGCTTGAAAGCGGTATGTCCACCTTCGACTTGAAACGTTTCCAGATGTCCAAAATGTAGAATTTGCTTGGTCCAAGCAAGTATAAACTTCTCCTTGTGGACAATCCAGGTACTGTTCAAGTATTCAAAAGTTTTTGCAGTTGTATGCATTTGGATAGTACTAAACCGCTCAACAAACTCTTCAGATGTTTCGGAGCTGCATAGATTTCGCCATTCCGAAATGAAACGCTGCCACTCGTGATCGGCAGCAAAGAATGGTTTTACGTTGAAAAGGATATCCTTATCAATATGCCACATAGATATAAGATTGATCGCTTGCGGAAGCACATGACTCATTGCATGCATGAGGGCCCATTTTTGTTCGGTGAACACAACGCATCGTTCGCATAAATTCAATGCAAAACATGATTTCAGCTGGCATAAGGCCCAGGCAAAGTCGTATTCGCTCTCGTCTTGCATAAAACAATAACATAGTGAGAGAGATTGATGTGTTGAGGTGATTCCCATTATGTGAAGAAGCGGCATGTTGTAGCTGCAATGATGATAATTGTGCCACAGCAACTTGTTAGCTTAATTCACTGACTACTTTGCATCAGCACGATATTAAACTTTGTTATCACACCTATTGCACCTGTCAGTGGACTCGATCAATAGAACATCCGTGGTGCAGAAATCTCTTGCGGCCGAAACAGAACTATTCGGTGCGATAAAGAGGCGGAGTAATTGACCATCCAAGTCACGCTCAAATGTGTGATAGACGTCATCCTGTCGGAGGGAATCAAAAAGCGCTTCTAAGGGTGGTCGTCCCCGCAAGAAATCTGTGCGACGCTTCTTCCTGATATTGTATAAGTCTTGTGCGATAGTCCGGTTACTTGGATCTGATGCTTTTAGAGTCCTGATAATGGCTCGCGGCGGCGCTCCCTCCTTGGTCATTTCGATCACTTGATCTAGTTGATCATTGGTGAGACTTCGCGCAGCAGGTATTTCGGCTAAATTATTCGACGGTTCGTGGTTGTGCGTGTTATTTGTAACCTCGATGATCCATTTACACGCATCTTGCTCCGCGCCTTGTCGTTTGATTTTCGCTGACCATGGACAATTGAGAAGTCGACTAGTCGTTTTACGGATCGGGTTATCTTTCGGTTTGTGAACCCCTCCGTGTGCGCATGCGAGCCACACCTTGTGAAGGCGCTTCTGCCGATCGTTCTTTGATCTTGCGCGCTTCAAAAAATACCCAGCTTGCGAAGCACAGCCTTTTACCGCATCTTCGGCTTGCTTGCACGAGGTATAAGAGGAAGCAAGACTGTTAAGATCCATCTAGGAAGTCCATTCACTGTGCCCGCGTACGAATGTTGGGTGAAGGGAACCTTGGCTAGGATAGCGAATACTGGAATGACAAGCTGAGGAAGAATTCTGAAAAGAGAGGCGGAAGATGTGATGGGGTGAGATTCTCGAAGTAAAACCAGATTTGCTGTATGGTAACCAGGAGTTAAGTCATCGCTTAGTTATGTTTGGCTTAACTAAGCCCCTCGTGCGGCCGCGTCCGCGCAGGTCCGCGCCCTCGAAAGAGGGGCTTATGACTCAAACGGGTTTTTTGGAGGTGGGACTCCAGCAATCAAGTCACCTTATGTTGTCTCCTTTCTTCCCTGTTCCATAGGGTTTTCAGTCCTTCTAGCATATTATTTTTCATCAGATTGTACATAACATAGTATCATTCACTTTGGTTCACATAGAACAGAATGGCTCTGAAATTGCAATGTAACATTTGTCATCTTATGTGCTTTCAAGTGTCAACCAAGGGATATCCAGCTGGCTCAGGTGGTCTTAGAGCATCCACAGCTGTGCTGTAAATTTTTTAGGGAAGCATTTGAGGCATGAATTCTGACCAATGCACAGCTGTGGTTCCGTACAGTACGGCTTGAAGCATGTTTTGTGAGGTGAGTTATGGGTTATTGATCATTAAGGGAGATGATTTGTGGGAGTGTGGTTGAGGAAATGGGAGTTTATGGGAGAAGCGAGGTACAGATGAATTTAGGGAGAAAGCCAGAATAGAAGAAATTTCTTCTATAGCTTGCACAGAGAAGATTCCCTTAGCTATGTGAAAATTTAGGGCATTGGCTGTGGATGATTTTGCCCCAGATTCCCGTACAACACGGTTTACACTACACGGCTGTGGATGCTCTTAGGCCTGTTTTTTGCATTTTCAACACAGCTCTCAAGCCGTGCAGGGATGTCTTTTGCTCATCAAAGTCATATCACAATATCATGGGTAACAACATAAGGTGACTTAATTGCTGAAGTCACACCACCAAAAAACCCGTTTGATTCATAAGCCCCTCTTTTTGAGTTATGTAAGCTTAATTCCTGCTACTTGATTTGGTTTGGGGCACACATGTGACATGATAGAGATTGGTATGTGTGTGTAAATCTTGATATTTGGGAATGGGCTGGGAATGGGTTGTCAGATACATACATTAGTCAATTGAACACCAACAAATCTGCCTGCATGTTAGATTGAAGGGGAGCAAAGTGCAATACTTCAATGTCCAAGAATGATCAGACAGGATCAGACTCATGGGTTATAAGATATTGAACTTCATTTTTTGATTTTCACTTGCCGGTACAATGCATAATCTATGAATACTTGACAAGTTTGCTGACCAAAGGATCACATTCAGTTTGGTTCAACCTTTATGTGATATATGTGAAGAAAAAACACTGAAAGGTACAACCCATTTACTCTGCCAGCCCCAACTAATGGGTCATGTCTTTTCCAGAAGCACTTGTACATGTACATACTTTTTGGCACATACTTTTTTTGGCAGGGAAAAGAACAAATATACTTTTGGCCTTGTTTTGACTGCCAAAAAAAGTTTATAGCAGAAATTATGTACACCTACATACTTGCTCTTTCTTTGGGTACCCCATGTCCATGACTTGACATTGAATTTATCAATTGGTAATGACATATGCACATCACAATTACACAAATCACTGTGTTGCAAAATCCCATCAAATGAAGTATTTTGCATTGGACACTGTGCGAATGATGAGCATACCTTTTGTGGTCCACAAAGGTATTCATCAATGTCCCATTAATCATCAGAATCTTTGGCAAATACTTCTCCAACATCTTGTTGAGTCAGATTATCCAATGGAAATCAAGATTCATCTGATTGTGGGGTCTCATATTATTCTTCTGAGTGCACTAGACAAGTTCATATAACTTGAACAAGGTATTTGTGAGACCATGCTAGGATACCCAGGCAACACTTACATGATTGAAAGTATTCAAACCTGTGTACATTGCTTGGAACATAGAGATTCTTACTCCTTAGTTTTTGTTCTCACTAATCAACAAGGTCACAAAGGACCAGAATTTGTATTGCTCTCAACATTTTGTTCAAAATTAAATTGTATGAAAAGAATCAGCTATAGTGTAAAAATGATGAAATTTTAACACACCAAAAAACAATCTGTTCAAAACAAATTTGGCTTGCTATTGATCTCAAGATCCTAATGCCATTCTTGGATTTCAAATTCAACCAAATTTGTGGCTTTGGTGGCATTTTTGCTCAAAATACCCAATTTCACATGTCCAGGAACTACCCACTATACACAATTTTTGTTGGACAGTTTCCTCAATTACAGTTTGATGTCATGTCATGCAACCATGGTTTTGACCATGGTTGTGAAGAGGTTTATCTGGTATCCTGATTCCTGAGTCTTGGCTCTCTCAAGCACTGTGTTCTGATGTGTTCCCTTCACCAATTTACATTCATAACATTTGTTAAGGGCACATTCACTTGAGCAATCTCTGGGAATAGATTGCATTCTGCAGAATTTAAAGTCCTGGTTTGGTGGAGTATGGTTCAATTTTGCATTTTAAAACTTACAGAATGTAATCTCTGTCTAGGAATTGTGTGCCCTAATCTTTTGAGTTTATCAATCTCAGCTTCAAATACCCTACCACTCTGTATTTATATCTAGTGCTCCTCTCTTGCCCATACCCCCTAAATCTATCAATAGCTCAAACTCACAAGTCAACATTACCAAATCAGATGAGCTTGTTGCCTTTGTGGTTGGGAGTTTTACAAGCCAATTCTATCTTGAACATGATTTGAAAGCTCTGGCAATTCATCCAGTTGAGTTAGAGAACAAATCCTGAGCTGCCATATTTTTTGTTAGTCTGATAAAAAGTGAAAGAGTTGTAATTTGTGTTGCATGATTACAATGATTCTTTTGTATATCATAGATAATTATAGGATGGTTTTGTTGCTTGAAGGCAACTAGCAAAGCTTGAGTTATGTAGGATGAAGTTGCACAAAAATAAGAAAATAAGAAAAAGAAACAGTCAATCTTGATTTTACTCTCATGACAGCAATATTTTGTGCTACCATTATTGAATTTCTCAACCATTTGCTTCATACAGATGATCTTGATTCTGACTATTTCAAACTCTGGCAACTGGTTCAAGGCACAGCCAATATAGGCAGAGTAATTTGGCCAGGTGGGTATCAGACTTGTATAGCTATAATATATATCATTTATATAGTTGTACTGGATGTGAAGATACTTTGATTGAAGATTTGAGGGGAAAAGCAGCCACTCCACTAACATCCCAACCTTACCTCTTTCTATAGTATGTAGTTGCAGTTTGTTTACACAGCAGTTTTGGGCAGTGTGATACTGCCTAGTATATATATTATTATATCAGAACCTTACACCACCAACTACAAGGATAACTTGTCATAGATCCATGGAGAAATTGACCATGAGCCAATATAAACATCAAATTTGAACATTGCAAAGCTGTCAGTATCACTACCAAGAAAGTAATATTTACCATGTGGTCCAGAAAAGTGGGGGGTTATATAACCTATGTGATAAGTATGGGATATATGAGGGAAATAAAATTGATAAATCCAATTAGATGATTGCCAACAATCAGTCATGTTATCAATTCAATCCACATTCTCTGATGTGTATTGGTATGCTTTACTTGAAAGAACTCAAGGTAATAAATCCATGACTGATTTGTTGTTGATTCAACTTGATCTCCTTCCCAAAGTAATCAAACAGAGAGTTACTTGGAAACTATAACTCTCTGATAGTTTGAAAGGATATTGTTCCTTGTCCTAACCGAACCACTTGATTGAGTCAATCAGATTCAGAGCCTTCAATCTCGACCAAGTTAGGGACAGAAAGACAATTTTTTGCCTCTTACCCATTACATACATGCAGGTTATTGCATTTCGCCAGAGCCCTTCTTGTTGAATATAACTCGAAGGTAAATTTTGATAATCACATAGCTTTGATCACTCCGTGGAGAGAGAGAGTCAGCATATATAGATGTAATACTTATTCAGTATCCTGATTGAAAAATTGTTGAACAAGGTGATACAAAATTTACAAATCGGCTGCATAGTATGCTTCTATCAAACAGTACATACAGTTCTAACGAATGAGAGGAGTTTGATGATGATGATGATGACATGAAACATAGACAAAGCTTGAAAATTCCCTTGGTAACACAAAACCACACCAGGAAATATGTCAGTCAAGTGAAAGTCATCATAACTTGATATCAAATGATATAAAATAAAACCTCAAAACGTACTAGCTCTTAGTTTTCGGAGATGTGATGAGATTCTTAAACACAGTTTCACTAAGAAGTGCTGCTTCTTCAGGTGATAAATTAATAAATATCTTACTCATGTCACCTTTTTGTACAATAGATTTCCAATTTTTTTGTACAAACTCATAAGCCGACATACGTAATTCTTGATGTCGTTGAAACATCGGGCTCAGAATCTCAGATACCACAGTATCAACCTTCAAGGAATGTGTAACCCGTTTTCGACATATGGCTTTCAATTCAGGAATTATTAACACTAGAGATCATCAGATAGATTCGTCAACATCACTCAAATGGACCCCTTGAGTCTTGACCACGGTTTATCATTTTGAAAACCGACTTACTATCGGCCAAGCGATATAAGCTCTTGGGGCTTGTGATAGTTTTGTACCCTGGTACATTAGTATGAGACATACTAAAAGATGTGGCCCACACAGGCCAAGCAGGAGGCCACGGGGGACCGCATGGAGGAAATGGTAAAATATCGACTTGACACTCTTGCTGAAATTGTCGGTACGTAGACCGAAGAGGAGCAAAGTACAGAGCCCTAGTTTTCAGAAAGGATCAGATCTATAGACTATGTTACATCATGATGGCAAGTTGAACTTGAAATTATGATTGCACTGACCCGCAAAAAGCATAGTCTAGAAATGCCTGATAAGTTCGCCGACTGCAGAATGTATCGAATGTAAATTAATGTCGTGATATAGCTGAGCTTCCAAAGACTAACGCTGTATCCCTGATGTGAATGGTGGCTTTGAATGTATCTCCCTGTAGTCACACTTATCAAATTAGTTCAGTGAAAATTTTATTGCAAGAAATGTGTGATGGCAAAAGGTGAAAAGTTGATATGGGCTTACTTTTTGTGGTTCGCGAGGATCTTCATCAATGTCCCATTCATCATCAGAATCTTCAGCAAACAACTCTCCCACATCTTGTGGGACTGGATCTTCCGATAGAGATAAAGATTCATCTGTTTGTAAGGTTTCAGAAAAGTCTTGAGAGTGCACTAGACGAAGTCGAATCACGTAAATCAAGGACTCGGGAGGCTATGTGGACCGGTACATTGAGCAAAACTTACATAATTGAAAGTATTCATACTTTGTAAGTATATGACTTGGAACATATAGATTCTTAACAATTCCTCCACGCTTTGGATGAAAGACGAGACGAGTGATATCCATCGAGCGAGGTTGGAAACAGTCAATTGTGGTACGCATTCGACGCATCGATTTTTTCAGAACATCTAATTCACGGTCTAGACCGATCATGACAGTACCTCCAAATACTTGATGCAATAAAATTACTTTGAAGTAAAGGGCTTCCTGTGAGTATAAATTCAGTAAGATGAAATCCATAATCTTCGGACATCAGTCGAGGTAGATGTAGTACTTACATAATCAGAACTGTCATCGAACCATTTCAAGATTTCTGGCGCCCTCCCGATAGTCACTTCCCTCCATTGGTCTGGCTTACTCTGTGGAGTGAGGAATACCTCTCGAAAAAATTTGAGTTCGCCTTCACGACCACAGCCAAACTGAAGGTGCATCCAATTGGTTAGCATGTATACACAAATATTTCGTCAATCTCATGAAGTTTCCAAAACATATGAAGAAGTTACTGTCGAACTAACACAGAGCCTTACAGACCATTTCTTATTATTATAAGTCTCCAAAAACGATTTGCCCAGTTTGAAAACCAGTTTACTTTGCTCAGCTTCGCTTGCTTCCTCCATTATAAGCAGACCATCTCCCCAAAAGAAGCTATTGTCTCGGCTCTGCACATGAAAATCATGGTGTCGAGTTGGATCTTCTATTCTTCGTAATGATACGGTTAGATCAATTTGCTTCCTTGCCTTCAAATGGCGGGCAATTTGCTTGAAGTAACCGTGGATCTAGAAGTTTTGGATCAGATGCCTGATCTTTCGGATAACTTGAATAGTGAAGGAACGTTGGGTGTATTTTCATCTGAGCTTACCTCCAAAGTACGGTGTTCTACTTGACCGGCTGCCATGGTGTTTGGGGTTCGAAAGCCGTTTGATGAGGTTTGATGTCCATTCCATGGGCATGACGTCAACCTCTTGCTCCCGAGCTCAAATGTCATCTGTTGAGACATTTCACAGATTATGTGGTATCGGCCAGGTCTATGACTGGATTTGGATATGGGTTTTAGGGGGTTTTCCCTTTTTGGTTATTCTGATTTTCTATTTCTTCATGAGACGCGTTCGATTTGACTCTTTACCAATTTCTCGCATTCGGGTTGCTTGCTGTGATTTTAAACTCATCACTCTCACCTTCAAATTGCCTATCGCTCTTGACACCATGTCTAGCGCACCCTTCTCGCTCGAACCACCTCAATCCATTGATGGCTCAAACTTACAGGTCAAGGTTACCGAATTAGACGAGCGACATGCCGCCTTTGTGGTTGAGGGTGTTGATTTAGCACTAGCCAACTCATTACGTCGAACGATTATGGCTGATTTAACAACTGTGGCGATTCACTCAGTGGAGTTTGAAGAAAACACAAGTGTTCTTCCCGACGAAATGATTGCACATAGACTTGGATTAATGCCTCTGATGAGCGAAGACCTCGACAAATATCTCAAGAATTGGCAGCGAGATTGCACTTGTTTATCATTTTGTGACGATTGTTCTATCGAACTTGTACTCTCCGTCAAAAGTACCTTACCAGGAGAGACACTCGAGGTGACTAGTAAAGATCTCGTCATCACTCCACGAGAAGACGGGGGCGATCGAGGTGATGTTGGTAAACCAGTCCGTACGCCAAGGGATGCTCTTTGCCAGACTGTACATTAGTCGTCTCACCTCGTTCCTGGTACCTCTCTTCCTCATTAGAGTTCACCTTACCTAATGGAGAGCAACCCGGGGTTTTGATTACGAAGCTCAGGAAGGGTCAGGAAGTAAAGCTTAAGTGTCGAGCAATCAAGGTGCTTTTGCTCACTCTTGTGTCTTTGACTGTTTTCCACACTTACTCACCTCAAACAATTTGCTTTACATCAGGGAATCGCACAAGAACATGCTAAATGGTCTGCTGTATCTACAATCGGATTCGAGTATGATCCTCACAATCGACTGGGGCACACTGATCTTTGGTATGAGGTCGGCACGGATGCCCGAGCCGAATGGCCTCTAACAAAGAATGCCAAAGTAAACATATTACTGTAAAGTCTCAACGTATCGCTTCGGGCTGAGATAAGTTTGTCCTGTAGTTCGAAAGACCTCCTTTGGACGATGAACCAGTGGATTTTACCACAAAGCCATCACGTTTCTATTTCGATGTCGAGTCTGCTGGAAATTTGCGCCCTGAAGATATTGTGGTCAAGGTCAGCTCAGTTGTGGGAATCCCAGGCGGAGATTGTCTTCTCAGCTGACCCTTTCGTGCCCACATCGCCCTCAAATGATTCCAGGGCATCGAGTCGCTGATAGTCAAGCTGGCAGCCGTACAACAGGGTATTGCTTCCGCTCTCGGGGAAGGAGGTGGACCCAATGCAGATGGACGAAATACGCCTTACATGGGCACACCTTTTGGTGGCACTGGAACAGGGCTGGGTGGTGGTGCAACTCCAGGCGCTCGTCCTGACGGAGCAGCTTACTATGGTGGTGCAACACCAGCTCGGCAAGTAACAGATTGGGGACCACCTGCGGCTCCACCTACTCACGATACTGGAGGTTGGTAACATGGACATTTGTATTTTAGAATGTTTTTCATAACCCATAACATGAGTAAAACAGATATGTTTTTGTTGTTGGCCCACAAGATCTTGATCAATCTCCAAAAGGTGTTTCCAGTTGGAACGATTACAAGGCCTCGCGAGAGGTGTGACCTGCCGTCTCTTAACTTTGTCCAGCTCTATGGTTCATAGATTCGCTCACGTCTTCGAGAGTTTAGCCCAATACACCAAGTAATACGAATGGCCCACTGGCGTAGATGCCCAAGCTCCTGGCAACGTTGCTCATTCATGCGCTTAGGCAGAGATTTCACAATCTCGATTCTCAAGTTCCTTTATCCAGCTGGTCTATCTTCGACAATCCCGTTGTGATCACAATCTATGTTGGAAGTTCTGATGCATTTGCGAGGCTGGTCCGATGGGCGATGAAGGAATTGTCGAGTCACTTCTTTGATGTACCTCATGAAAGTCCTTCAAATCGGGATCCTCTTGGTCAAGGAACAAGAGTCATCGGATGGATGTTTTTAGTCGCCAACCCTTGGAACGTGCCTGTTGACCCATCATACATGCCATTGCTTCCACGGTCATGAATGAAATCCAGGCACACGAACAATTGTGCAACATCTTCCCGATCTTGTGGCCTCAGGTTCTCAATCGACGTGCACCAACACTTTTGTACCTGCCATCTCGGTGTCTGGCAATCTCGAAACATTTATTAAGAATCACTATCTTGTCTTGAAGTCTTCGTCCCCTCTCCTTAGCCCTCAGCTAATTCAATTCCATCCGTACTATCTGTTATTTTTATCTGTCAAACTCCTACCTAGAAATCCTCACCCTCTCTCCATCTGTTAGTTGAAGCTGTGAAGTAGAACAATATAATATCTTCGTCTATCTAATCCACCGCCTATAATTTTGCAACCCCTTAAAATCCACTTATCACTTATCACTCATCAAGCTTTCAAATCAAAACGCCTCCCAGCTTTAACTCGTCCGATCTATAACTCCAACCAGCCAAACCTTAGGCCGTTGCAATACTGTACACCATGTCGTCATTACCTTTGAACGCTTCCCCTCTAGCCGTCGAGGTCGCTCCAGTGGTTGAAGGACTGTCTTCCCCATTTCGAGTTGATCTTCCCAACACTCTCAGCTCACCGTATCATGTAATCGACATATCCCCTTCACCGCCTCCGCCTGTGCTTATGAACGCCCTCGGTCAATTCGACGATGCTCCCTCGCCAGAGGCCGCGATTGCCTCCATAGACACCACTGCCGCGATCGCCAGCAAACTACCCGACAAGATCAAGTCCATCTCTTCATCTAGAATATCTTCCGCCCCCAAGATTGGCCTCGGCCTGGGAATTGATACTGGTGGAGGCAGTTTAATCAGTCTTGCAGATTCGGCTGCTGCTATGGCCGGCGGCGTCGGACGCGGAAAACTCACTTCTCTGATTGACCGACACGTTCCTCTGCCGCTGTATAAGAAGAGCTCCTCGGTTTATTCCCGCCGCAAACGATCGCGTCGAGCTTCACCCAAAGAACAAGGCTATCTAGGTGAAGACGAAGATGACGAGAGTGATCATCCTGTGTCCAATTACCGATTGGCTGGAGTTGTGCAAAGACTAAATAACGACACTCACGCTTCTACCATTGCAAGTAACCATGTCCAAGAGTTGATTCGCAATTCTCTTCGTCAATCTGCTAAAGAGGGAATTGAGCCTATCTCCAAGAATTTCTCGAACCTGAAGCCGTCGAACAAAGGACCCAAGCGATTGTCTTTTGAGAAGAATCCTAGGTAGGCTTGTCATCATTTGGTCAACTCATTCCCCCAACACTGATTTTGATATTACTTTTGAGTAGCATCGAGCCAATTGACAAGGTTTTGTCGCCACTTGTCAACCCTTGGCAGGTCTATCACGCTCACTCATCGGCTCTAAGGTACGATTTTTTCAATTGACATGATACCCGCACTTCACTCATCTCTGAATCCATCGCTACAGGAGCGTCATTGCGAAGGCTGCACCAAGACATGCAGTTCAAGATATTGCCGAGCCCGCCAGCAAACTGATGCGAAGATTGGTTTTACCTCGTGGTGATGATGAATCTTCAAGCTCCGCCAATATGCTCCCCATATATCCCAGTGACCTTTCACCCAACGTCACGAGCTCTTATACTGCTCCCGCAAGCTATACGTCTGCCATTTCCCTGGCCAGCTACACTACGTCTACCCCGTGCGCGCCAACACCAACTATGACTATGGCTGCGTCGTCTAATATTGCTAGCGCCACCGCTATCCCCAGCCTTTCAGCTTATGAAAGTCCAATGCTACTTCCTTCGTCACCTCACCTTGCACTCCATTCGCCCAATATGGCCAACACACCTGGAAGTTTTTCTCCTTCTCCAGTTGACACCTCGGTCTTCCCTGACGCGGCTCTCAACACCCCTCAGCCGAACGATGGCGGAATGAACTCTGGCACTGGAACACTCGTCCTTTCCCTCATGGCAGGTGGTCTAGGATTATGCGGTATCTTTGTTATCTTATTTACTATCCTCTTGAAGAAGAACGGAGGCTGGTTGGGAGTTTTCAATTGGAAGCGCAAGCCTCGGGGTACAGCATATGATGAGTTCATCGAGGAAGAGAAACGTTGGTGGGTTCGGGAGACCAAAATGGCAAAAGAGCAGTCTAGACAGTCGATTTATACTGCCGAGGAACAGTCAAAGGACGACATAAGTCATGCTACGATATCAGGTGGGATGCAACAGGTTAACATCGCCCGTAGTGCATCTTGTGCACCATCTATTCCGCCAATCGCCAACATAGTCGACGGAAAAATCAGCATGGATAGTATACGTATCGAGCTCCCTTGTTCTTCAGGTTCGGATTGTCTTTCCATCAGTAGTGAAAGTTCTGGGGAGCTCTCGAATCCGTCTCATGACGATCACAAGTTTGGTAATGCGGCTTCAATCTTGAGTGATATGGGTATAGTCCGAAGTTCAACCGATGAGATGTGTCAGCGAATGTTACCATCAGTCTCTCCAGGCCGTTCTAGGTCTGAAAGCAAATCGTCAATCCTCTCAAAAGCGTCCAAGAAAAGCATGAGTTCTCTTTCGTCATTTTTCCGTCTTGGACTCGCCGCCAATCAAGTTGATCCAAAATTCAAGCTGGGTGCGGGAATCAGCAGTGACGATATCAATCGTCTTGCCCGAGAAGGCCGACTAGATGCATCTGAATTGACCAAAGAAAAAGTCGGAAGTCTCCTCAATCCTGGTAAGATGCAGATCTCAAGCCCGATTATGAATGATTTTACACAAACCTCGATTGATTTGGACGAAGATTCCCCAGTGAACAAAGCGGATCCCGAGTCAAGATACAATCTTCCAAGCGCACCCGTCTCAGTGGCAAAGCAGCCAATAATTGTATCATGGACGCCACCAGCTATCTTGATCACCGACCATCCATCTGAACTTATTCCACCTTCGCCACCACCCCCGCCAGCTCCTCGTCCGATCTCTGTCGGTACAACATTCACTAGGTTCTCGACAGCGAGTTACCTATCTGAGAATGCAACCCCTGTCCGAGATTCCATTACCAATTACTTCCCGGTGGTACCCTCTTCTCCGCCGCCAGCTCGTGACGGTGTCAGAAATCCTACGTCAAGATACGAATCTTCTATCATTGACCCAGAGATGTTGGCCTCACTCAAACGTACTAGCCACCCTAGGAGGGGATCTTGGAAGACCTTTGGTGGAGAGCTTGCAAACGTCGAAACCCCGCTGCCTCCAAGAACTTATTCGTCATCAAGTAACCCGCGAATCACCTCCTTGAGTAGTCTTCTAAACTCAAGAGCTCAAGGTACCTCAACAACGCATGCCGGAATCTTCCATTCAAAGATAGCAGCATCGAGATTTGCTACTCCTCAACGGTCCAGTCTCAGTAGCATAGCATCTTCTAAAACTATCCGAGAATTGGCAGCTGTGACAGAAGATTTGAGGGCACTAATTGACTTGGATGCTGAAGCAGATGATTCGTGGCACGCCCCAACACAGTTTCATAAATCTGTTCCAGATCGTGTTCCAAGAGGTTCACGTGCACCACCACCAATCAGACCACCTAAGTCAGTCAATCGTTATAACCGAATCAAAAATATGTCAATCGAATACGAAAGCACATCTACACCTTCATCCCCCGTCAATCCTAATATGCATTTCCCTAGTTCGTCTATCAGTAGCGAGCACTCTTATAGTTCAGATTGGAGTTTAGATATGATTCGACCTCCAAGCAAGCTTTACAATCGAAACGGTGCTCATTCACGTCCGGTAGGTATCATTGAAGTCAATCCTTCCAAAGTCAAGAGTTCAAATTCAGGATCTTCACTTGCTACTGTCATCTCAGCGGATTCAAACACCAGTCTATTTGAAATCGCCAGTTTACACACTGCTCATACTGTTAGAGGGGCTTCGGTCGAGTATGTGGTACGATCTCCACCTCAAGTGGCTTCAAGTAGACGAAGTGGTCCGATGATGGCAATTGTTGAAGAAATGGATGAGTAAACTCTAAATTTCTATGATAGGATGTCATTGTCAGCTTTGTAAGTAAATTTCAAACGATCTTTGCTTTTGACTGTTACTCATCTTTTGTGGTCTTTTTTACAGGTCAACCTCCACTGAATCACATTAGTTTATACAACTCTTTTACTATCAAATATAGTAAGAGGAAAGTAGAGTCTTTCGTTTTTTCCATTGAACATAGCTTTACCTAATCAGTTTTAAACCTCTATGAACTTTGAAACCCGAGCGTAGTTATGGGATTTCTTGTATAACCAAATCTTTTTTATTGGTTGATTGTAATCTCAGTTAATTTATTTCTCTCTTAATACTAGTTATCTGTAGCCTCGCTCTCTCTTTTTTTCTCAGTTGTTAGATCTCATAGATTTATTATCTACATTTCAAATCATTCTTTTATTCTCATTCTTTTCGTTTTCTTCGTTGGTTTTGTTCACGCTCATTTGCAATATTGATCTTTTTTCGCATCAATCTTTGAGACCCTTTGTCTATGAGGATGAATTCTTTTCATCTGAAACATAGATTTGGTCAGACATGCTGGTTTTGATTATTGATAGATGTTTGAAGGGTGGGAAATCAATTCAATCCCTTCTATGAAATATTGTGCCGTGTGCTTTACTTTGATGTGAGGACACCCGATCACAACTTGAACAATCGGTCAAGATGACATGTTGTACCATTGTATTTTTTTTTGGAATAATTGAGTTTGTGCACAATAAAAATGTTCAACTATAAATCTCATCTGTTCAATTTCTTTTCAGAAATCACAATATATGTTGTGATCACTTTTGTGGATGGTCCAGATCTGAAGTACATTTGGATAAGCCTGTACATATCAAGCTCTTCAATATTCAGAGAGGAATATCAGAGAACGAGTTAATTCGATATCCCACATAGTCCGTGATCAAGCCTGATCCAGCTCCAAGTTCCATGGTCTTGATTCTCGAAATTGGCTATGACCATGTTGTGATCTGAGACTGCAGGAAGATCGCCAAATCCCAATGCTTTTGAGACTCTTTCAGAGTCACAGTGACAGGACTCTTTTATTTACATAGCTGGCACTTGTATGGCACGTGACCTCTCGGACTGCCCTTTCACGAGCCTTTCCGCGATCTACATAATCGAAATTTTTATTCTGCACTTTGAAGATTTTGCAGAGTCGCGCTGAGTTTGTATTCTACTTTCATCAATATGCCCGAGGAAGAAGACCACAAGGGCTTTGATGCTGCCCGGGCGCGAATCGCGACAGAGCTCGCCGACATGGTGGATCGATCTACTAAAGGCTCCATCGACGAACCAGCTCTTCCTTTCTTACGACTCTTCAATGCCCATCCCGATTGGATTACCACCAGCACTTGCAGCGGACGTCTGGTTACTTATCTACCAGGTCCGACCATGGCTACGGGGACTAGCAAGATATCTCCTGTTAATGGAAAGGGGGGTGGTGATTGGCTCTTTGTATCTCATTCGACCCTTTCACCGTCACAGCTCGCTAGCCCAATTTCCACACTCTTTGGCGGGCGTGATGTTGACACGACTCACTGCGTTCGATCCGAGGTGTCCGACCGGATTATCCAAATGACCTATCAGCCTCCGGTCTTACATCTCATGGCACGCTCTATCAGCATCGCAGCCACAGTTTTACATGCGGCGATCGGAGCTGGTTTCAGAAATTCAGGAATCACAGTCGGACAGGGTGGTCGAGTAATCCTGGCAATTCGTTCAAGTACAGGTGGTCTAGATGTACCTATCGCTCGACTTGCTAAAGAAACAGATGATGCAAAAATAGAATTACTTGTGACTGAAGACTATTTATCCGACTTACTAGCAATGGGAAATAGGTTAATGGAAAAGAATGAGTCAAGGTTATCTCGATTATTAGCCGCCTTTGAATTAGCTCTAAAACAACCTGAACCTAATGTTGAATGGGAAACACCTGAAGAACGACGACGCAGAATGAAAGCTGAGGGACTTGCTTTACAATCCAAAGGCAACACTGTTCAGACGAATGAAACGACTACTGAAGATGACATAGATCTAGATGGTATGCAATTACTTGATGATGTATGAATACTTGCTTGGGTCTGTCCTCTCATATCCCGTGATTGCCTATCAGTCACTTCTAATCTATGGGAACGCCATACCTTACGAGTGGACTCTCCAGTGCAGATCAGAACCTGTATAGTTTGTAAGCGTTGAATATGTCTTTATGTGAACATCATTACCTTCGACACGACTGTAGGCAAGGCTTTGATTTCACTAATTTAGGGACAAAAACCATCTTGAGAGTCTTTTCTGCTACAATAACTTCAACCTATGCTGCCTTGACCTAACTCTCTCTGAACATCATGACTGCTCTCCTTTGTGAATAAAACCACATGTTAATCACGCTTCACTTAAGTAGAGCTGTCTTCAATCCGCGTTATAATCTCTTCGCAAGTACTGGGTCCGCCTTGAATTTCCAATTGCCATCCATGAATGACTTCATTCTACAACTGTTGGAAGGAAAGCATGACGCTGCCTCCTGTCCATGTCCACTGGAAGTGGATGGAACCGCTTCGGCATGAGAACCTCTCTTTTACAGCATTGCAAAGATCTGCGGAAAGGAAGTTGAACCATCTCTGTTCAGGGTATGTAGTGCACCGCTGAACTTGAACATCAAACCAACAAAGCTCTGCCGAAGATTCATATATGTATCTTGATACAAGGATATCCCTATAGCGAGAACCTCTGCCTGTAACCTACATATGCAATTTGGCTGAACTGTAATCTGAGTTGATTTCCGTCATCGATTCAGACCATTTTGACGAAACTCGTCTTCCCAACGATCTCAACAGATAACCCATTCTCTCATCAACCCTCTTCCAAAATATAAAGCTTTCAAGATGTCAGGATCTGGTAATTTTGATTTTCATTGGCAAAGTGACACCCATTCAGACTGTTACAACCATGCTGACTATTCCCTCCTTGGCTCTCATTTAATCCAATCGATCAGGTGTACGAGAAGCAGTTTTTCCTACTCGAATGAATTTAAACTTGATAAAACAAAGACTTAAAGGAGCACAAACAGGACATTCACTATTGAAGAAGAAAGTAGATGCACTTACGAAACGATTTAGAACGATTACACAAAAAATTGATCATACTAAAAGAGAAATGGGTAGAGTGATGCAATTAGCTGCCTTTAGTTTAGCAGAAGTTAATTATTCCAGTGGAAATGATATTAGTTATCAAGTTCAAGAGAGTGTAAAAGAAGCTAGTTTTAAGGTTTCTACCAAACAAGAAAATGTATCTGGTGTCATCCTCCCTACATTCGAGGTTGATCGAACTAAAGGATCAGTTGCGAGTGGTAAGTGTGAACTGATGAGATTCAAAGATCAATTTTTCTATTGTTGCTGGAGGATTGTAAATTGACGATTGACTTCTTGTGTTTAGAATTCAACTTGACGGGGTTGGGTCGTGGTGGTCAACAAGTCACGAAAGCTCGAGAGATCTTCGCTAAGGCCACAGAGACGCTCGTAGAATTAGCATCACTACAGGTCAAACCTCTTTTCTTGTTTCAAACTCCTATCCTTGTTCAACACGGTCCATCTGCTCTGGCATTAAGAGGGTTTCTTACCTTGTAGCTCACACTCCTTTTGGTTTGGTTCACTTCTTTTGTTTCGTAGACCGCTTTCGTGATATTGGACGAGGTGATTCGGATGACAAACCGCAGAGTTAACGCCCTTGAACACGTGGTTATTCCCAAGCTAGAGAACACCGTAAAGTAAATCTATAGTTGTATTCTTCTTCTAGACCAATCGGACTGAACGCATCCCTTTGTTTTCTTTTCAGATATATTAATTCGGAACTAGATGAAGCTGATCGTGAAGATTTCTTCAGATTAAAGAAAGTACAAGCTAAAAAGAAAGAAAGAACAGCAATTGCTGAAGCAGAGAATCGTAAACGTAATCAAGACCTTGGAGTTGATTCAGGAGATGGAAATGATACGATGAACTTATTAAATGATAAAGATGAAGATGTGATCTTTTGAGGATCTATTCATTTATGGTTTATTTTAATTGAAACTTGCTTTTTCTTCTTATCAGAACATTTCTTAGTTTTTTTGTTTTGTTTTGTTTTGTTTTGTTTGTAGATTGATTTGATAGTTTTAAAGTTACTATTGTATTGCATGAGTTTTCAGATCTTCCTCTTCCTCTTTCTCTTCTTCTCTTCTTCTCCTACTTGGAATATTCACAATATTTCCAATTGCAATCTTTTCAGATCTTAGTTTTCTGTTTGTTTTGAGGCAATAGGCTCATGATTGCACAAGTGTCTAGAGTATAGCAGAGCATCTGGTAGGATGTTCATCTGAACTTTTCAATTTTATTCGTCTTATCACAATCTTCATTTCATAAACTAAGGTTTCTTCTTTGAAGTTTTAGCTTCCATGAGGCTACTTTGATGTGAATTGGAATTGTGAATCATGTCAGCTTTGGTAAGCAAATAGGTTATCAGAATTTGATCAACCTAACAGAACAGGACTTTACTTGACTGAAGCAGCCACATACCATATTCCTCTGTGGCCAATTCTGTCCAAGCCACACTCAACTGACTTTTGAGCCCATCAACCACTTCTATGAATATCAAAATCATTCATTTATATTTTCAAAATAGGGCTGTTGGATGTTTCTTGCATGTCAAATTAGATGAAGTGAAAAAACACCAGGCAGATTCAGGTCAAAGTCATACAACCTATCATCTCCACAAATAGCCCTATGCACATTCACAAACAAATGTGATTGTACATATGAATATAGATACAAATACCTTACAAAGCTACTAAGTGTTCAATTTTTGTGCAGGGAATCATTTTACAGGTGTTCATGAGTGACAGGCACTGTAGGACTAGGTGCTGTTGAATTTTGATCTGTTGCTCAAAAATATGGGTTCAGGGTTAGATATGACTTACATAGAAACTTTTTCACAGTTCTCTTATTGTCAGTAGTATCTTCATAGACCTGGACTACCTCAACAATCTTTGGAATAATGAATAGCTTTATTTATTGAATGGAAACCGTATAAGTAAGACTTACTTAAAAATGTATGACAAGGTGATCTCAATGTCTTCAGATATCTCTTATTGTTCTCTCTTTCATTTTGAATCACATTCAATTTTATTTCATTTCCCATAACACTTGCTTATAAGCATAAACCAGATCATTATCAAAAAATTACTTTACTCTGAGCTTGATCATGTTGTTTGAGGTTCTTTGTATTGGGTCTACTTCACAAATCAGTCAAGATTTGATAACAGTGTCATGATAATATAACTTTAATGAATGATTTTCAAACACACATACAACATATAATGTGATCATACAAATATAGCTGTGGTGTTATAAGAAGGGCATAGCAGATCTTAATAAGAGTAGTTACACATCAAGTTCTAGGACGGATTCCAGTAAATTCAAGTAAAGTGAGTGGGATATGTGAAATCAAAAACACTTGAAACCATATTGTCTATGAGCAAACCAATTCATTATTGCTGTCTGAGATACATCTCGACTTCCCTATGTAAATTAAGTTGCCATTCCAAAAAAAAGCGAATACATTAAACTCAGATCTAGAAAGTCTTTATATGATTTGATTATTTTATAAATATAATAAATAACTCACACTTGTACGCCATCGGCCATCAAACAGTTTTGAGCAGCTATAAGATAAGAAAAAAAGAACAAAAAAATCAACAAAAAAAAACTCAGTTTTGATAATTTTCACCACTGCAAAAAAAACTTTAGTGGTTACTAACTCATTAATGTTTTACCAGGTGGGTCACATCTATAGGTAGATTTCCAATTACTTAAACAATCTTTATTTAAAAGAATATCAAAGGATCAGTTTTTTCAATAATCTAAAATCATAATTAGGTAATGAATCACAAACCCATATAAGCTGGAGCACTATCAGGATAACGTGTTTCATAAGCAAGACAGGTTACGCTTTCAGGATCTCCATCTTGTGAAACTGGACTTGCTAAATTCTTGGGATTGCTGTAAGGTCTACAATTCTCGGCATTAGGTAAAAACGTAGGTTTTTCACATTTATATAAATATGAACCTGAATTACGACAATCTATTGAAGAGGATTTGATAGAATTCCAATCAGAGAGTTTATCATTTGATATATTAGAATCAGAATCAGATTGGAAATTGAAACTTACAGAATTGAGTATTGTCTGAAAGGGATACAGGACCAAAGAAAGTACCACATTCTTGTGTACTCACACCGTTTGGTGAACAAAGACTTGGGTTTGTTGATAGTAAGAAATTGATCACTTGAAAGTAAAGGAATGATTGATATTTAGAACCCAACATTTTTGAAAATTGTAGAAACTCTTAAATAGTCTGTTTTTGAGAAATAAATAAATAAATAATCAAGAATTGAATAAATGTAATGGTATGTTGATGTGGGTAAGGTGAGACCTATAAGTGGTAATCAAGTTTTTCTTAAAAGGTTTTTTTATTTTTTATAAAAATGATGAAGATATGAGATTGATTGAAATAAATATGAAGAAGCTTGTATGGCTAGAAAATAAGTTGGAATTTAGATTGAGAGAACAGAAACCGATAATCAAGTAGGTTTATATATTCTTATCAATCGGATCTCGAATCATCTCCCACTCATATGAAGAAGCAAGGCGATGTTATTTGGCTGTAAATGTTCATCGACTCCATCCTTCAAGATCACATAGCCTCTGTTTCGGTGTTTATCGGATTTGAGCCTCTTGATTGACTCGTGAAAACGTTGCTCAGCGAGTGCAGCGGATTGATACTATTAAAAACATATTCAAGCTGGTGAAACACCTTCAGCTAACGCGGTCTGCATCCGATTGCCGGGAGCCCAGCGGTGATTGGGCTCTCGAGTCTCGACGTCACTCAAGCTGCAAGCACATGTTGTATGTTCCATGGAGTTGTCCAAGATATGTATCAAGGAGGCTCAGAACCGAAAGCTGAAGGCGCCGAACGATCAGACCAGTAATACAAACTGATAGAAGTCACAAACCTAGAGCGTGAATGTTTGTTAAAACAACTCCAGCCAGCGTTGTTGACATCCAGAGCTGTGATGGGATTCCCTTCTCGACTTCACTCAAGCACATAATAAGATCTTGAAGACCCAAACTTGTATCAATGAAACTCATCCAATGCCATCATAGAAAGCTAAAAGGAAGAGTACCGATCAACATCTATCACGCAACCCAATTTGTCTTTTTGGCTTGAACGTTAAAGACAAGTTTTTTTTTGTTTAGCCACTAGAAGTTGTGAAGAAAATGTCAATAACTATGATTGTAAAAATAAGTTTCTTTCAAAGATTCATTTTGAAGAAAAACTTCAAGTGAATGATTTCTACATATAAGACAATGTAGGATCAAGAAAAGGTAGCAGTGTGCAAATCCAGCAGAATTCTAATACTATGTACAAAAAGAACAAAGAAGATTTAGTTTCTTTTTTTTGGGTGAACCAGTGAAATTTTACGTCTTTCCTGTTTCTTTGTGCGTGTTTTTGAGAGTAAATACGATTATCTAGAGGATCAAAGGAAATCAGAATCAACCTATGAAGTAATTAAAAGAAAGATCTTAATGAATCCCAATTTTGAGGTCCGACTCCCTTCAGTTCAAAGATTTTCCTCACTAGGCTCATGCATACCATGATCAATCATTTGAGGGCCGATAAGTAAGATATTTTTCTGTAGCATCTTTAAGATCAATAGAGTTTATGAGATAGCTCAAGGCTCAACCACGATCAAAATGTAAATTTGTTACAGTCGTTTTCAAAAAGCTTGTCACAAATTCACTGCCAAATGATCCCAAATCGCTCGAGTTTTGCGGGCAAATTTGGACAAGCTTTTTGCAAACGACTGTACATTTCAGAATGCATACTATGTACATACTTCTGCTACACAAAGACAAAGAAAACCATTCAAATCCGAGACCGAACAACAAGTTTGTTTCTTACCACTTACATAAAGTGATAGTAAGAAAAACAAAACCCATCAAAATGAATTTCATAAACTCTTTAATAATAATCGAATAAAAATGATATACAAGAAACAAATTCAAATCAAGCCGCAACGCAACGGAACCAAAAAAAATCACATGAAGATCAACAAAAGAAAAACCTCAAGAAAAAAAAAGAAGAAAAAAATCCATTCAATTTCAAACTACATATGCCTTTTCCCTATATGTCTATCTGCTTTGTTTAGAAAAAAAATCAAGATACAAGTGTATGTATATATATATGTAAAAAGATCAAGAAGAAATAAATACCCACCACCACCAAAAAAAAAGATAAAGGATCATCAAAAGATAAAGAGAAATAAATCAAATTCTTCAAGCAAAAGAAAACAAAGAAGTTCAAGAAACTATCCAAGAAAGAAAGAAAAAAATATTCAATAAGATTCAAAATCTAATTCAAGCAACAACAAAAACTAAACCCCAAGAAAATTTATATATATCTTTTTCTCTTCAAGATCTTCATAACCGACTCACAAAACCGTATAAATAATATATATATAGAGAGAGAGAAAAATTGTACTAACTAATCCAAGCATTATATATATCATCAAAACTTTCAAATTCCATACTTCAACAATCTCCAAACCCAAAGAATCAATTTATCTTCTATTAATCTAAATCTTTACTTTTACTAACAATCAATCCATCTAAAATCTTAGCACCTTCCAAAGCTAATAGTAAAAGAGAGAGAGAGAGAGAAAAAAACCCATCAATCAACACCTTTCCTTGCTCTTCAATCATCCAAAAAAAACAAGAGAAAATCTTTTCGTATGTTTCAAGAGTGTTTTTTTTGGTAAACAAGACAAATCACATACCGATTTCCCATCTAGAAGATTTAATAACTTGATAAATCATTTCAATCAATCCAATCGAATCAACTTGATGATCAACGACCACTTTTAAATCTTTTAAATCTTCAGGACAACCAGTACACATCTATTTGATGACCCAAACCAAAAAACAATCAAGTTAGTTTTGGTTTTGGTTATGAAAGAAGAAGAGGAGAAAAAAAAGGAAATGACGAACCGTATCAAGATATCTCATGGCGATTTCTAAACTATGTTGTTTATTTTCATTTTGATAAGATGAGTGTCGATTCCGATTCCGATTCATTTTTTGTAAATTTTGATCTCGATTAGTGATTTCCAATTCTCTTTCCATTTCATCTAATGCAGTGCCATAAGCCACAACCGTAAGAACCGAAATACTACCAAGAAAAAAATCAACCACCAAACGTCAATCTTTTTCCTTTTTTTTGTTTAGTTCTCTTAGAGAGTCTTCGAGTAAAAACAAAAGCGGATAAAAGAAAAACGAGGGGGGGTTTCACATACTAGCATGCCCAAGTATAATGTAAAGAATGTAACATTTCACTAACTTGATCTAAATCAATTAAACTAGATCGCAAAAAATGAGCAGCATGCCAAGTAGATGCTCTACCTTCTTTACTATCTGCCCATCTTTTAACTTTCAATTTAGTACTCTTCTCAAAAATTTCCAAAAAAAAAGTAAATCAACCCCATCATTTTCAACTTTTCTTGTCTTTTTGTTCTCTCTCTCTCTGAATTATAAAATAAAGATGAGAATAAAAGGTACTCACTTCTACTACTTGATTTGCAACTGTTAACCCTAAGGTTTTCTCTGCTCCTGCATATATTTGTAATTCATGTACATCAATAGATAAAACAATATGAGCTAAAGCATAAATCGAAATCGAAGCCGTTAATAATTGATGAGCAGGAGCATTAGAAGAAATCACTTTTAGAAAAGACAAAAAACACAAAAAACACATCATCAATTCCTCTTTACTGTTTTTTGTTTTACGAAGTGAGTTTGAGAAACAAAAAAACTCACAACAACTATCTAAACAAATCTTCCAAGAATTAAATGCAGCCGCAATCGTTTCTCTCCAATCTTTTTTAACCCCATTTTGATTTTCATTGGATTGATTCGACGAATTTGAAGTAGAAGAACTAGAAGTCACCAATCCAATCATAAACACATCTCTCCATTGTAAATCAAATGCCACTGAAATCAATCCATGTAACTATTATTAAATCCACTCAATTTTTACAAATCAAATCAAATCAAATCATAAATCAATCTTTGAGAATCTCATCAAATCTTAAACTGCCTTTCAAACGAAAATCGAAACGAAAACTTTTGCACCTACAATCACCACCCTAGAGAACGGATTTAAGAAAGGAGGTGCCATTCCAGGCATCAAACTCGCTTTCAAAGCACTCATAAATAACGTTCCATTATTGTTTCCAATCCCATTACTCTCTCCTCCCATTCTTCTTTGATGTGATAAGATCTTACAATGAATCTCATTCCAACTCATCGAATCTTTTGCGTTCCATTCTTCTTCATCTGAAGGTAAAACATGTTGAATTTGAAATGCAGAAAGCGTTGGAGCATGTCTAAAAATTGCTGCATGTTGTACATCTATCAAAAAGGCTGCATATGCTGCTCTGTTTGACAAAAACCAAAATAAATGAGACGTTTGGTTAGTTCTTCGTTTTTTTTATTTGGATCGTCTTTCAAAGAAACAAAAGAGTAATTTTTGTTTATCAAAGGATCTGTTTCTGATTTACCTTTTTGATGATTCATCTTCAATCCAAACCTTCCATTGAACATCAATCGAATTTTTAAATTCATTAGGAATCGAAGAAACTCTAGGCGAAAAAAGTGCACTTCTTCTATACATCGTTAAGATCGAACCCTAAAATTGATGCAAAAAGAAGAACAAGAATCATCAATTTAATTCGTTTTTTTGAATATTTAAAAGCCAGAGAATTTCTTGAAGAAAGATTGATGACATACCCAAAAAATATGAGCCATTTCATGATGAGTTCTAGTAGAACAAAGTTTACCATATAAAATCATTAAAAGTGTGACTTGAATGATATCTAAAGAAGCTCTAGGTTTAAATTCAGGTGACTAAATCGAACATCGAGAATCAAAAACAATCAAATCGGTTTATCTAAATCCGTTGAAAATCAAGAGGCTGAAATCCTTACACTAATCACTCTCTTTCTTATATCTTCATATAATACAGTAGCTAATTCATGACCTTCGGAATCCGTAACTATTTTTTTACAAAACTCCATGTTAATCTCATATCTCTCTTATTGATCATAAGAAAAGAAACTCACAATATGCTCCTAAACACATCATCAAACATAACAAAAAAACAGAAGCTTCACTCGTCCTACATACCACCCGCAAAAACACACACCCACAGATATATCAGTTTGCTTGGTTTGTTTCTTAGTTTAGAAGAAAGAAAAAAAGGAGAATGAAAGATTGGATTTAACTTGAATGTAGGTCGATGTAAGATTGGAAAACTAGTTTGATGAACATGAATCCAATATAAGTTTAAATAAGTTGACATCTCTTTAATCCCAAACCTAACATCATTTTCAAGAAAACTTAATTCGTTCTATAAACACCAAAAAAACTCAGCCAGTCAATATGGATCGATAAATGAAAATAAAGCTTTTTGGGGAGCAGGAGGTAAAAGAAACTCAACTTTAACAGTTTGAATAATCCGATCTCTAGTTTCAAAAGAAACATAAACCGATAAATCTCTCATATGATTCACATGATGACAAGAAGCAGGATGAAGATCTTCAAGTTTAGAATGAGTTTGATTAATTTCAAATTCGTTTGATAATGGATGTGAAGATGATGATGAACTTATGATCCTTGTCATTGTAGGTGGTGGTAATGGTGTGAGTGATGGTGATGATGATGATGGTGGTGGTAAAAAAGGTATGGTTGTTAAAATTTCTCCTGATTTTTCTTGTACCTATATACCATTTTTTGAAAGAAGTATCGATTTTTGGGTTAAAAAACATACACGTATATGTGGAAAAAATGAAGGATGAGTGAATGAAAAGACTTGATACTGACTTGGATTGGTTGATGATGTCCCATTGGATTGAGACTCACTAAAGAATCTTTAAACTTTGTCACTTCATTTCTATCTTGTGGTTGTTGATGATGATGATGATGATGAACCAATTCCAACCCGTTTCCATTCCATCTTTTCTCTTCATCTTGTGGTTGTTGTTGCTGATGCTGATGATGAAGTGATTGATACCCCAATAAATTATGAGACCTATTCACATCCTTCCCAAACCCATTCTTATTCTCTTCTTCGTTCTGCAATGGATGATGTTGATGTGTGGTGGCGGTATTGTTCGTAAGATGATTAGGTTCAATTAAAAGATTAGGACTAGGATGAAATAAATGTTGATGTCGATGTAAATCATCCAATGTACCATCAAAGAGCCATTGAAAATCCTGTCCAGTAAAGAACGGTACATCTACTGCAAAATTATCATTAGATGAAAATGTACCAGGTAAGCCTTGAGTTATATTAAATTCATCAGTTGGATAACTTGGTTTTTCTTCTACTAATTCTTTGACTCTACTTATTAAGGGTGTGGTATTAGTTGTAGATGGAAATCGAATTGAACTGTACGGGGTGGTACTGTTGATTTCGTAATCTGGATTCTGGACTGATTGTTGATCTGGGATGATCGTGGGTGGATCTGATGTTCTTCTCCCTCCTCCCATATATTCTACTTTTGCTTCAGCTATAAAGAAAAGGCGAAGAGAATGATAAGATCAGTTTGGTTTTTTCAAGACTGTAAAATTTGGCAAGAATCAAAATTCTTGAAAGTGAAAAACTTACGGATCAGAAGAGGTGATGGATGTCCCATCGAGAATGAAGTTGATTCATTAGGATTTGATATTCGATTAGGATGTATCAGATGAGGAGAAACAGGAAATTGTGGTTGTGATTCATCGGTGATTTCTAATCGATGGGTATTAAGTAAAGGTGAAGCAGGATATTGCTGTGTTTCAGTACGACTAGATAATGTATGTGTATGAATTGCATGAGGTGAGACTGAAGATTGTTGATCTTCAACTTGACAATGTGGTGGTGGATCATGTTGTGTTGGATGTGGATGATGAGTTGGAAGTGGATGTGGCGGTGGATGTAATTGTGTTGAATTCAATGGTGGTGGTTGAAGTTGATTAGAATGAGGATTGGAATTTGGACTAAGGTTACTGATCGGATTTGTAAACCTAGTAGAAGGTATTTGATTATACGCTTGAAGTTTTGATGAAGCTGCCTTCTTTTCATGTCGTTCAACATGTCTTGTCAACAAATCGGCTATGTGTGGATTGCGGATAAGTTCATAGTTAGAATCCCAGCGGATGCGCAAAGCGTTTTTTTGGATTTTCTTGCTTACCTCTTACGAATTTACGTGGACACCGATCACATGAATAAATCTTTTCAGGTTCATGATTCAGTCGATGTCGACCTGTATCAAGTATGATCGAAAATCAAATCATTAGATGATATTCCTGATCGTCAAAAAAGAGTCATGTGAAAAACAAAATTGCTCACTAAGATGATCAGGTCTTGAAAACACTTTTTGACATCCGATCCAATCACAAGCAAACTTTTTCTCTAAACCATTAGAAGATGAAGAGGTTGGGTTTGATTTAGTTTGTAATTTCTTTTGAGTTTCCGTGACTACTACTGTTGATTTTGATTTGTTTGATGAAGGTGAATTCAATTGATGATTAGGTTGTGATAAGATCTCTTGATCTGGATCTGGTTCTTCATCTGGATTATAGAGTGTTCCGGTGATCGCACTTCTACGTCTTCTTCTTTTTTTAATAGTCGTAGTAGGCGTAGTACTGGTTTGTGTGATTGGCTCTGGTTGAATTGGTGGTGGCAGTTGATTTTGATTGATCGGATTTAATGAATCATTCGAAGATGATTTCCTTTTTGGATTATGGTGATTGATCTGATGATGATTAGGTGATATTGGGTGAGGTGAATGAAGTTGTGGGAATGGTGAATTCAATGGATGATTCGTATAGTGTGATTGGTTTGATGGAAGATGTGAGTGATGTTGTTGTTGTTGTTGTGGATGATGATGAAGGATGCTTAAGGGTGGTGGTCTGGATTGTGGTTGTGGTTGTGATTGGGCTGTACAGTGTTGATGAACGTTAGATGGTGATGGAAGTGGTTGCTGTTGCTGTGGATGTGATGTTGAATGTTGAAGAGGGTGATGATGTGGATGAAGTGTTGATAGTTGATGCTGATGCTGATGCTGATGTTGTTGTTGTTGTTGAAATGCAGATTGATTGTTCATGTTCTCCATGTAAAAATTGTACGCTAATGGCACCACAGCACTATTTTTTTCTTTTTCCTAGACAGCTGCTGACAGCTGCTGACCGATGAAGGTTGAAAGAGTGGGGGTTGGACTTAGGATGGTGTTCGTGGGGGTGTTTGAGTGGACAACTGGTTCACAATTCGTTATAATCTTCTGTATCCTCACTCGTTCTGCTTTTTAGATGTCTCAACTTTCAAGTCTTTGATATCGATTTTGAATTTCTTCCCCCGCCCGAGTCACTGTCACCCTTGAAATCCGAATCCGATTGTGAGATCGAGACCACTGGAATTGTCAATATAAAACAAACAAGTTCATCAAAAGTTTCACATCAGTGATTGACTTTCAACTTCAAGCAAACTAATTAAGCGATCCTTACCTAGATTACCTATAACCCTATCGATCGATCCAACTTCGTATACCGATCGAAGTTACAGAAAGATGGAATGCGTTTAGAAAGACAAGAAAGAGATTTGAATAGAAATAAAGATCACAAGTGAAGGATTGATGAAGAAGTTTAAGAATGGAGATGTATATCTCGAGTCAAGAAGATGAGAAGACGGTAAGAAAAACAAGTGAGTGATATTAGCAATTTACTGTTGTTGTACTTCAAAGTTTGTAAGAAAGCCAATCAAGAAGAATAAACTTGAAACCATGCTTCATGAATCATGATGAAATATGATGCTGATGATTCTGAGTACGATTGAATTGAATTGGAAAATAACTCAATCTAGAAAACACCAGTAACCATACAATCAAGTTCAATTCAAATTCCATCTCCATCTCAAAAATCGTAATCATCAAAACCAATTATCATCAAGTAACCAATCTTTTAATACAAAAAAGTTCAATATCAAAAACTAATATCCACTCCAATCGTCACTTCAAGATCTGTAACTCATAAGTGGTGCATATCCATATCCTGCAGCTTGACGATCTTATCAAACTTTGAAATCTGATTCAACCTAGAGGAATGGGTCTGGAACGTGGAGTCTGGAAGGTTTGGGCAGGTTTGATTGGCGACTTGTAGACAGACTATGATTTTGATTGACCTAGGACGACTCTAGTAAAGGGTCTGACTCAAAATTCACTACAGAGGTAGAAAACCAGAGACCCAACAGGGTGGTAGTATACTAAAAATTAGTATAAAACCTCCACTCCATTGATAGTTTGTAAAAGAAAGGACGGTGACAGACAAATAACTGCTAAGAATTAGAGAAACTCTACCAAGTTTAGTGGAGTGTGATTTGGTTGATAAAGAAGTGGATTAACCAATTTTAATGAAGAAAGAAAATCTAAGTAAAGAAGAAAAGGAGTAAAGTCAACAACCACTTGAAATTGAATGATGTGATGAACAAAATCATAAATCATAGCGGTGCTGTTGACCGATTAAAGATTTCTGAATCAGATGATCTGGAATGAAAATCTTATCCGATCCTCAGCAAACTTGCCATGTAAGCCATTCCTGACAGTGACAACTTCTGTTTACCAAAAGAATCAAGATTGATGGTTTCAGTCATCGACCAATCTGATCATCCAATCAAATCATCATCACTCATCAGATTTAAACAAGAACTCTTCAAATCATCAACTGATATTTTCTTAACCAATCAATTTCAACATCACCATCACGTGGCTTAGTAGACTCTTTCTTCATACAAAACCAAATATCCAAATTGATTCTTCAAAGAAACTCATCTGACCATTTTTGGATCTCAAGCTTTTTTTCTTCTTGATGATCATCTTCAAAACACATTCAATCAAATACAATACAACAAACAAATTTCAATGCAGATCTTAACCCTTCATGTTCTTCAATCAAGTTCCACCCAATCCCCTCAATTGTTCAAACCAATTGATCATCCCCAACTTTCAATTCACACATTCTAATAAACCAATCTGATACAACCCACTAGCCAACAGTTTCATTTTATTCTCAAGTTGATCTTTTATGATCAATCCAGTACTCGAAGTCATAAAGAATTCACCATCGTCTTGAAACAAATCTTCAAGTTCACTTTGGAATCCGTTTTGAAGGTTTAGTAAAGAGATCAAACTACCAGGAGGAGGAAAGAGATTCGAGTTAAAGACCCATAGGAAGATCTTGGGTGCGTTTGGATGACCTGAGATGATTAATCGGTCTTGAGCGTCGATGGATAGGTTATCAGGTCCAAAGTTCAATTGACGTGAGTCTAGGAAACTGAAGTTGATTGGATTGAGATTCGAATCAGGGTGATGGATTTGGTATGATAAGAGTTTCATGGGAGTAGAAGTGGCGATGATCAACATCGAACGGTCTTGGGTCATGGCGATTCCATTGGGAAAAGTGAGGTGATGGATCTTCACTTGAGCTGATTCTTGACCAAAGTCTTCAAATTCTAATGAAATCACATTCCCACCTGGTAATCGGAATATCGTTTCAATACTATGAAGGATTGCACCCAATGCACCATACTGACGACGATTGATGAAATGATCATTAGTGACTAATAAAGAATTCGAATTGAATGCTAGGATCGAATTAGGAGTGTTGAGTAATGGATCAGTTAGAGTAAAAAGCCATTTGACTTGAACTTGGATTTCATTTTCTTTGGGTGTTCTGATTTGAAAAACTTCAATCACACTTCGATCTCGTCTATGATTCACTACAAAGAGTCGTGCAGTAAATTGATCTTGAGGATAAAGTTCAATGCCAAGTGGATGGAAATCAGATTCGATTGGAAATCCAATTAATTGAAGTGAATATAAATTATCTTTGGATTCATTGGTTGTACTACTTGAAGATGGTCGGTCTAGATGATGAATGTAAAGTTTGCCTCTTGGATTCGGATTTCTTAATGGTCCCTTTATAACATAAAGACCAAAGTTATCAGTTAATTTTTTGTATTAAGAATCGGTTCGAATATCGTTTTGAGACTTTAGAACGTACCATGACCGTATTCCAATCTTTTCTACCTCCATCACAACTTACGATTAAAAGATTTCCAATCTCCCAATGAATTAAATCTTCACAATATTTCAATTCATTCGTATTGGAAGGATGATGATGATCAGATGAATATTTCAAGATTTTACAAGAAGTAGTAGGATTGTAGAAAGTTTTCAAAGTGGGTTGATCGATTGATGATTTGTATCTTAAACCGATTCCAATGATGATCATCAAAAGACTGAGAAACTAGGAAAGATTGGATTCGATTCGATTTAAATCAGTTTGAGTGTTTCATTTGTGTCAACTTTGAAAGATCATAGCTTACACTCAATCTATTTATCAAACTCATCTTCAGTTTTTATGTTTTCCAATCACTCGATTCTTGGACTACTATGGTATCTATGTATCTCTATGTCGGCTCAAAGAAACCTCATCAGTCATTCAAATCTAATCTATTTGCTTCAACTTCAGAAAAAATCAACTCACACTGTTAATTATTCAAATGATGGTGACCCAAAAAAAACTACACTTTGAAATCTCAATCCAAGAAAATCCAAGGATGAAAAACTATCAAAAAAGAAGTCAAATCAATTCTGTACGGTCACGGTCGGATGAAGAACAAGATGAAGAAATTTATGTAAATACAATCACATCACATCAACTTTAAACTTACTTTGACATCTTCTTCTTGGCACAAAGAAAGCTTATCTCGAGATCATCCAAAACTTTGTTAATCGTTTTCCTCCTTTCCAAGTAGTCCCTCGCCCCGTCCCCGATTCATTCGGAGATCCCCTATCCCCGTCCCCGAATTCGGGGATCGTTTCTGTTCCTCGAATTCGGGGAAATTCGGGGACGGGGACGGGGAATGCCGGGGATTCTGCGAATCAATCTTGAGAAATCGTAGGCCGAAGAGTCTTCGAACGACTCCCAAAGGATGACGAGCTCAGGAAGTAATGTCGAATTCAAATCACATCGATCAAAGTTTAGAAGAAGATCTCGAAGTACAACTATCAAAACTAGAACTGATCAAATTACTTCAACCTCATTTCCAAATCAAAATTAACCAGCACAAGAAGAAGAACATAAACATTCTCAAGATGAATCTCAAGAAGAAATTGAAACTGAAATTGAAACTGATATTGAAATTGAAATTGAAGCTGAAAATGAAACTGAAATTGAAACTGAGGAACTTCATCATCAAGAACCTATCCGAATCAAAGTAGAACCATCTCCTTCATCACTCCTTCATTATCAATTGTTGTACTCAATCATTTTGTAAAGTAAGAAAACAGGTGAAATGATTTTGAGAAGACTGTAGGTTTAATGAGATTACAAGAATGTGTTACTTGTGAAGTGAACATTGAACAATCAACATATCGAGGTGAAATCAGACTATAGCATCAGCATTGTATGTATAATGCACCAAATGCCCGATACCATTCTTTTACACAAAGGAGCATTTCTAAATTTTCGGGTTTTAATGATGAGCGCTGATAGCGAAGGATTCCTCTACCTTGAGAGAAGACTCGTTCGGAGGGAGTACTAGTTGCAGGAATCGCCAGGAAAGTTCTAGCCATGCGTGCGAGGCAAGGATAAGTGGTTTGACTCCCTCTCCAATACTCTAACACATCTCTGCCTTGTTTCTCAAGGGGTTCCGAGAGGTAGCGAGCAATCTCATTCTGAATTGAAGGATTATCGTAAGTCAATGATCCAAACAAGTCCTCATCAAGCGAAGAAGTAAATGTTGATGGTTGTGGGGGACCCGAGCTCAGCAGTTCTTCCGGCGGGCTGAACTTCTCAGCCTCAGTAACAAAATGAGACCTGAGCTGCTCAGTTGTTAAATTGTATCCAGACATCGAATTGGAATGAGTTTGGAAAAAGTTGAGCTTAAAGCGTGGATCCAGGATTGTTGCACAGATTGGTGCTCGCCGGGTGAGAACTTTGGATAGGTAGGTCTCCAACTTATTGATCATATCGTTCGCGGCTGGAATCAGTGATGTCAGGTCGTAGGTGCTACGAACCTGAAAGATACAGTTGGTTAGATGATTGAGTCGGCAATAAGAAGCCTCTGAGATATGATGACTTACCGCTTGAAGTCTATTGATGACCGCTACATACATGGGTATTATTGTGTTGACTGTTGGATATCGAGTAGCACATAGCTTATCAGTTGCCTCACTCAAAGGTTTGAGAAATTTCATCATGTTCTCTACTGATTTCCATTCTTCGGAAGTAAGCTTAAATTTCTCTCCTTCAGGAGTGTCACAGAAATGATTGCATGCGTTCCTAATCATAAGCAGCACAAGATGAGTTTTAGTTGTGCTATGTATAATCAAGCAAATTCACCTACTTTAAGAGTAAAGCTCGCTCAAACATAGCAAATGTAGAGTTCCATCGAGTTCTAACATCAAGAATCAGACATTGCATTTGAGGATCTTTGGGTTGATTGTTGGTGGGAAATAAGCTGATGAACTTCTTGAAACCTTCACGACATTGAGGAGTTGCACGAGTGTAAAGAGCTAGACCATGTACACGTTTATAAACTGAAGCAAGATCTATTTGGGCTCCGTCCGGTTCAGTGACTAGATTTCCTATATCCATGGGACCCGGTTGATTCGAATCAAGGTTGTCTTCATTTTCATCAAGTGTTCCGAATAATTTGAGGCCATCCTGTGCTGCAAGATTCAAGACGTGTGCAACACATCCTAGGAGATCTTTTCCTGCATCAAACAACCCTCCAGTTTGTTGCTGAATTGCTCGGGCCATACTCCTATTTGAAGACGCATTGTCAGCTGTAATGGCAACAATGTTATTTGAACCTTTGTAGGTTTTGAGGGTCTCGCAAAATAAATCGGCAAAGGACTGTCCTGTGTGTGATCCTACAAAACAGGAACATCAGCAAGTGATTATTCAAAGTTCGAAAATCTATAGAGAAATTATCACCTTCAATATGAGGGATCCGAAGTATTACATCTACCTTCTCAAAGTTTTCATTGATTGTATGAGCTGTTATGGCCATGAAAGCATGTTTGGAGATGTCCAAGCATCCAGAGTATATGCAACACCAGTTGCATTTGCCAATACTTGTTCTTGTAAGAACTCTTGATGAAATAAAAAAACTTCGCGTAAATGTCGAGAAATTGCATCCTTTTTCACTATAAGGGCCTCAGTCTGAGGATTGCAGATTTTGAGAAGATCTACAAAAGACTTCTTCTCCATCATTTCAAAAGAAAGATCACAATCACATAGAAAATAGGTCATTGCAGTCTTGAGATTGTGGCTCGTCAATGGTTTCTGTAGAATAACATATCAGTTCAAAATTGAGTACACATTAAGGAAAACAACACACGTTATCATCGGTCTTGTTAGTCCTATTTTCAATCATCGCTTGCCGTTTGGCTCGTTTAACCGGATCACCTATCTTGTGTACTAAACACAAGTGATCGGACATGCTCTTTGTACTGCCTGTGGAATCCTTCTTCAAAGTTTTGCCACATGCAGAGTCATCATCAAGGACAACATTGCATTCAACTTTTCCTTCTTGAGGTAGTTCTTGAAAGTAGGTCCAAACCCAACTACGTTTGCCTGAGGTAACTGCTAGTTGAGAGTTTCCAATGGATGAGGAATCTGTAGTAATACTAACATCTTCCATCTTGAAAAGGTTGATGATGAAAAAGATGGAATCACACTTGAAAGTTAAAACTGAAAATAAAATGGGTCAATAGTTCTATCTTCTTAAGATGAGAGTTGACTCTTGAGACTCGAGACGGACAAGCGTTCTCAAAAATCCTCTCGATTCCTGATTAAAATACATCTTGGTCTTTATTCTTTCAATTGATTTAGTGTGTATTTATTTCAACAGTCTTAGTTTGTTTGGATGAGTTGAACCACTTTGAACAAACTGATTTGATGGTGTCATTGGCACTCATTGCATTGAAAGACAACAAAAATTAAACAAATTGAAAAGTTTCAACTTTTAAGTATCACTTCTCTTTCAAATTACTCTTTTTGTACGTTATAAATTATAATTTCCAAACATCTGAATGACATGAAGAATCAAGATCCGTTTAAAGGAATCTAAAACTTGAAATAGAAGCAATGATAAAGAACCAATGATAAAATGATTAGCTCAGATGTTTGTAGGATTCTTCATGAAAGACCTGATCACAATTGAACCTTACTTTCAAACTTCCATTGATCCCATCAACTCGACATTGATTGGAATAACCTTGAGATTTTGTTAAGTATCATTGTTGAAGGTCCTTGATTCCTTTGTGGTCTACCGTGAACGGTCTAATCGTTCGTTTTTGTATTTGCGAAAGGGCGATATTCCCCGAAAATACCGATGTCATTCCCCGTCTCCAAATTCGGGGACGGGGATTGTTCCCCTAACCTAATTAGGGGAAGGGGATCATTGCCCGTCCCCTAATTCGGGGATCATTCCTCGTCCCCTAATTAGGGGACGGGGATCAACCGGGGCGAGGGCCTATTTCCAAGATCAGATGACCAGGCGCAATTTGTCCATAATTTCGCGCGTTATTTGGAGTGATTTATGAATTTAGAATTTGTGAAAGAGTTCAGTTAAAACGTGTGTGAGATGCTAGAGGATGTCACACGCGTACCTATCTAAAGCCATGCACGATGTGTGAGATGTCTGATGAATGAAACCTCGGCGTGAAGGCTGAGCTTGCACTCTGACAATGTCAACAGTTGATAGACTCCTCTCACTCACACCAATGCCTCTTTTCCCTTCCTGTCGCCAAAAACCTCTCTACCTGGAATTTTGATCAAAGACATGGCACCTGCACATCTGCTCTGCAAACTCATGAATTGTTACTACCACCACAAGATACTTGAAATCCATCACTGGGGGGTATCCATTTGAGGGCTTTACCAAATCATACTTACCACACCCAAGACCTTTCAAAGAAAGAAGCTCGTAAAACCCATAAGGGTTCTCTGTGATTTGATTTAACAAAATTTGTCTTGACAAGAAAGTTTGGATAGAAGTGTGAGATAGATTACTTTCAGAAAGGTAAAATCACGATTAGAACTATGTATTAGACAATCAAAATCTCAAATAGTCAGGAATTCAGGATGTCTAGAAAAGGACCTCTTCATTTACTTATTATTCAAGGATAGAGAACTGGACTAAGGCATGGAGAACCATCAAACACTCATATAAGAGATGAATGGTTGATCTTGTGCCTCACTGAAGCTGTATTGTACATGGCTTAGAACACTTAAGTACCTACAAATATAGTGCACATTATTAGTGTGCTAGCTTATAAATATAGTGCATGTTATTATCACTCTCCTCCAACAGCTCAGCTATGCAGACCTTTGCTAACCTCAAGGTTTGGGAGGTAAAATTTGATACAAGAAGAAAGTCAGTAAGCTCAAAGGCTCTAGTGCAGGTGGGTGTCAGTTGTAGTTTCCAGCCTGCGGGCATACATGCAGCTGTTATTCAGGTCAATGTGTGCACAAGGGGGGGTGCAGACAGTGTGTGGTAGCAAGCTTGTGTTGTTGAGTGTTTTCATTCAAAGAAAGTTGGAAAAATCAAAAACCAAATAAATCAGCTATAGACCATTCACCTTCTACAACTATAACTGGTGTAAAGGATGAAATGTTGATTTTCTTTTGATTAGATAGACAAAAATCAAAAAGATTATGCATGAATCCCCAAGGACCAGGTTGTCCAAAAAGTCTTCTGACATAGGTTCTACCCTGTCTTTGAAAGCCTCAAGCTCATCAGTCAGTACAAAACACATCCCCATCATTCTTAGTGACATCAGTCTCAGAAAAATTGTTTTCATTTGTTGTGATTGGTTTCTGTGAATGTTTGGCTGAGAGGCTCAATTGTACTTGTGACATCATATTCAAGGTTTTGATTTTCATTCTATTTTGTGCCTTTGAATCCAATAAACTCATCAGTGAAAACAAGGCCTTGACACCACCAGCACATGGAAGACCTTCAAGGATCTTGATTGCTAGATTCTTGAGTGAGCTTATGTCCAAAATCAATGACAAAGTATGTGAATGAGCTATAGGCCAATGATCTACAAAGATGATTGAAGAAAAGATAAGGATTAATCAGGATCAGTCTAATAAATTGTTTTGGTACATGACCAAGTTATGTTGAAGGGTGAGTCTCCATTGTGAAATCAAGATACTTGTGATGTTATAGCCTAGCCTTTGGATCAAGATCAGCCCTATTTACATGTAAGCTCAACTGATTTTTGGGCCATCCATTCAACTGTGTATTTCTTGAAGGTGTTAACTTGACATTACGTTGAATTGAGAAAAAAGGCAAAGATGTATACATCTCCATCTGGAATTGTGTGCTACAATCATGAAGAATAGAAAAGGCATGTTGTTTGAGCAGCTTGTATTGTTCACAAACTTCAAAATCTTGAATGCTACAGTGAACAATACCCAGCTCCTTTCAATGACTGAGCTTGTATCATCAATCTTTAAATATGCAATTGAACCAAAAATCAGACTTAGAAGCTTAAAAAGTACTTGATTTCGGGTGAAGTGATTGTCATTGATGATGATGTTCTGAACATCTCTGTTCATTTTGGCCCTGGGTGTATTGATTGGCAAGTTGTTTAACATACTAAGATATTTGATAAAGCCAGATTTGTGATTTCTGACTGAGAAGCACACTTTGCCCATTGAAAACCATTGAGTGAGACAAAAGGTTTGAACCACATGCTATGCATCAACTTCAGCTTGTCAATCCTCAAGAGTTTCCCCCCTCAGTAATGTGATATGGTGAAACAATTCACAATGAGCTTTTTGTGTTTGACTATTAGCAAAATGAGAGGGAATGTAAACATGTCCTTGATAATAAGATTGAAAAGATAGATACAGTATCCTAGGGGAAAAACATGTGGATGTGATTCTGAAATACAAAGAAGACATTACAGAATCTTGTCAGTTAGGCCAACAAAAATCACTAAGATATAATCAAGAGTGCTCACTCAAAACTTGTCCATGATTACAGGTGAATCAGTGAACACTGCACATACTGTTGCCCAATGAACTCTTGGTAAGAGTTCCATTGGTAGACTCAAGGAGATTCTCAACAGTATGTTGTGTGGCATGAAGATCAAGATTACCAACATAGTACTAAGTTCCCCATGATAACATGACTGTATAAACATGAATTTTTGATCAGTTGGTCTGTCCATCAAGAGATAGTGTAAGATTTTTCTCTTTCTTGAACACTTTGAATAGCTTGAAATTGATGATTTGCATATAAATCTGGAAGTACAGTGGAATTCATCTTCTGACAAGTAGGTGGTTGATAGGTGGCCTGAGGCTGAGCAAGTACTTCCTAATACAAACAAAACTAACAATTATGAAGGAATCAGAAAGGGATGGTTCTGGTATTGAGGGTTTTTAGTAAAACTCTTGTTTAGCATGTTGGTTTTGGGCTTAGAAAATTCCACGAAATGGTACATTGTGGTGTCTTGCAAACTAGGTACATTGATGACTATCAGAGGAGCAGTTCAGGCAATTGATGTGGTTGTAAAAGGTTCAGGTTGGCCTTGTTTGTGTGGATTATTCTTTGAGCACTGGGGAACCTGAAGAATGTAAGCTAACTTGGCCTTGAGGGTCATCTTCTTCCGTGAGTTGATTGCATGCTTGAAGAGTTCTGCCAGTTTCCCATTGTCAAAGACTGTTAAACGGTGTGCATACTTGGCTTCACAGAAATTGGAGAAGTCTCCGCAGAGAGTGGACATAAGAAAGCCTGTCGATTGCTGACCGTGTGCTTTCCAAGGTAGATGTCACTTACTGGGCATGATGAACTTTGTCCAAAGAGAAAAGAGATACACATAGGGTAGATACATGCGCACAGGCCCTGCAGGCCACATGTCTACGCCGCCAAGCATGCGCCGCTGTCCACGTAAGTAAAGATTTATAGTGCTCCATGCTCCAATCTGATTTCAAGACTCACTACATAACAATGAGATCTTGAGCTTCACAATCATCATATAATAACGTACAAAATACACTGTGGACCATGCGGTATTGATGATCATTCCATCACCTTTAAATGTCTTAAGCCCCAAAACACCTAAACAAATCACTAAACCTAGAAAACCTCTTATGATTCAATCAAGACCTTTTCGCTTCTAGACTCTGTTTGTTTAATCGGACTACTCTGATCTTCCATAACTTCAGGTACACTTAACGATTTCATCCTTTCCTCTAAAGTCTTCATCTCTTCAACTTCATTTCCTTTTGTTTCTAAGTTCACCAAGTTTTCTAGTTCGATTTGAATTTCATCTTCATTGATTTCATTGTTCATTTCTCCATTGATCACTTCATTGATCTCATTTTCATTTAAAACTAAACTTTGTAAATCTTCGACAGTTCTTTCTACATTTTCTAGTTTGAGTTTAGGATTAGAAAGTAATGATTTAAGTGTACTTGATGATTTTTCATATGCTGTCATGATCTAAAAGAAGAGAGAAGCAGTGAGTGGAATGAGAGTGGAAAGATAAAGAATGGGGTTGAGAATCACTTACTTCGACATCTGAACTGGCTTGTTCGATCTTCATGTATACTGATTGAAGTGTATCAAGCGTTGCTAATCTACGTGTAAGTAATTCGTTTAATGATTTTCGGATTCTTAAACAAGAACTAGCTAATTCTTTACGAGAGTTTGTAAGATATTGTTTAGCTTGATCTGTCTGTCTGGAGAAAACAAAACACCATCGAAAAAGTAAGAAAAAGGTATATGATAAGTTAAATGGGAAAAAAACCGACTGACTGTTGAATACGTTTTTCGATCGATGAGATTTGTTGGTTGAGTCGATTTAAAGTTTCTCGTACTGAAATTATACCTGTATCTGTTTCTGTTAAACTTGGTGGTGTGATGGTTGCATAACCATTTGATGTAAGGTATTCAGGTGATAAAAATTTAATAATCTGAAAAAGATCCCCCCCAAAAGAAAGTTATTCAAATATCAATGTCAATTCAACAAGACATCAATATGGGTGAGAAGAACTCACTTGACCATCAAATACTAAAACACGACGATCTCGATGTAAATATTTTAATAAGATGGTGGTATCAGTTAAAGAAAATGTTGAGTTCTTCTTGGATTGATTGAATAGATTTGAAGTGAATTCGAGTTTGAATTGATCAAGTGTGAAAAGTCGATCAAGTTGTGAAAAAGTAGCTGATGTAGTTTTATAACGTTCTATAACTAAATCAGCAGCTTCCTAATCCAAAAAAATAGGAATAAGATATTAGTGAAGTTGAAATGATTTTATTGAATGTAGTATCAACTTACTGAAACTAGTTGTAAATGAACCCAATCTGATTTGACAGTTTCCCAACGTTGATTTAGATCAAGTTGTTGTAATCTTTGATCAGGATCAAAATAAGATCCTGTGACGGTATGTAATAAAGATTTCAAAACAGTTGAAAGGATTGAATAAGGTAAAGAAGAAGTTGTCTGAATAGGACGATTGAGGGACATAAAGTCAGATAAACGAAAAAGGGTGATGGGTTCATGATTCGAAAGTGAAGAGATTGGAATATAAAGTCCAAAAGGTCTTCCTATGCCAGGTCTTTTGAAATCATCAAGTAGACGATCGTTGACATGTAAGACTAATCGATCAGTGGATTGACTTGATTGAATGGATTGTAAACCTAAACGAAGGAATTGATAGATGATGTTTGACCAAGTGGTTAGATTGATGGAATAGCCAGCTGGATTCGATTGACTTGAAGTTGAGAAATCAGAATAAAGTGATTCTGTTCTATCAATCGATTGGAATTCATTTAAAGTTGATAAGTAATCTTGAAGTGATTCGAAATCAGTTGGAGAACTTGAAGTGGAAGTCGATGATAACATTTCGATTGGAAGTCTTTAAGTTGAACTTCAATTTGAACTCACAAATCAAACTTCAACTTATCTCAACTTATCTCAACCTATGTCTATGCCAGCCCCAAAGGTAAATCTGAAACTCACACCGCTCCTTTGATCTATCAGCCTGTCTCTTGTCTCACTCACAAACACTCCACTTTCTTTGACTCTCATATTTCATTTTTCTGGAAGCTTGTCTTCTGCATCACTCATCTCACTCAGATGTGGAAAACTTTACATGAAAAAGAAACTTGTCCTGATCATTGGAAAAATGATCTTAAATCAAAACCAAACCTCATAAATGTAAGTACAACTTTAACAATGTACTTGGAATGGTGATTTGCATGGTACAAACAAAATTCAACTTGCACGTTGTGTTCAAATTGTGTGATAACTGAAGGCTTTGTTATGAGCAGAGATTTTTACACATTTTGAATTTGAAACAGAACAACTGATCTCATGTACAAAACAGATTTGTTCTTCTTTTGATATGAACTTCTCAAGGAACGTGGTCAGAAACATTGTAAACTTGAAAGAAAGAGGACTTGGAATGTTTGAATAAAAAGAAATCTTGTTAAGTGGTTTGGTATGTAATATCAAGTTGGATCAGATGATTTGATTGACAATGTCAACATCCTTTTTGATCGAGAAAATGGACCTCTGGTGTATTGATAAATGATTATGCAAAGCCATTGTTTCTCAGTTGTAAGGGTGAATTGGAACGTTCCAATACCGATACCATCACCTAACATTCTTTCATTCACTCAACTTACCCTTCTCACCAGTAAGTGTAAAACTTCAATCGAATATTTCATTTAATCTTTCAATCGTAACACATATCCTGTTTTGTCCTAACTGGTTAAAATCATTTTTTGCTGTTGTGAAGAGGAAATTGTAAAATGTTGGGGCTCTACACCCTGGCGCTATTTTTCATCTTGAATCAATGAACGTGGATTGAAAGAAAGACGTTCAACTGAGATATCTAGGGAGTAGAAATATGAGAGATTTTATATCAAACAATCTAGAAAGTGGGTTTTCCTTTTCCCTTGCTAACAGTGAGCCAGTCACGCTGCAATGGAACAGGCAGCGCGCCAGGAATGTATTCAAACAATGGTGGAATGCTTAGCTCGCCTCGACAGCGGGTATCTTCTCTCCGGTTTGGTATCTGCTACTGCATTGGTACGTTTCTGATCTCAATAGTAAAAAAGCCGTTGATTGGTACGATGCGAGGCAGTAAAGCGCTGCGGCAGTGGTTGCAACGGCTACAGAGTCATGCTTTCACTTTGTCACATTAGTACTCGGATCAGAATGAATCTAGGCTTGCATAAAGGACCCATAAATTATGTGATGGTCCGGCGTAATAAATTTTTGGTTTCGGATCAGGCATATCAGCCAGTTTATATGCATAGCATTTGATTGTAGTGATTTTCGAAAACAGCAAGTTAAAGTCCGAAAAGATGAACGTTGCTGGCTGCGCTTCCCTTTGCCAGAGCATGGAGATATCCTACAATACAACGTGCGCATCGCAGCGAATTTTGGTTTTGCACGCTTCCTTCTAAGCCTAGCCTTAGTATCACGTCGCGGTTGCAAAACCGCTGCGAGCAGTGCAACCTTTTGGCCCTCCATCCGTAAAGTTACAAAAAACGAAAATATTGCATCATCTGATTTTCATTCATACATATCCTCCGGTTGCAAATCTTACGCAGAATCAACATTGAACCAGTCACAATTAAAGTATATATTTGTCAAACCAACTTAAAAACAAAGTGATTTGCGCTTCAGCGTGACAAGTTTTCTCATCTGGTGGTCGTTTTTCAATTGTGCTCGCCTCTTGCCGTCGGCTTATACATGATGCTATGAAATAGTTTCTTAGGTAAAGGTTTCATTTGAACAGTCTCAGGATGGGAAGAATGGTTCAAATATTGACCCTGGCACTCACTCGTTTTTATTTTTCTACTTGATTGTAAAACCTTGATGGAACCCTAAGGAACCTCATTTCACTGCTTTTTGTTGTAATTATAGCATCTCATGATGTTTCTCATCTATACCCTGGAAGTAATGCTCATCTTGAATCACTTGATACATATTCTAAGAAATATTTCAAACATATTCGATTAAGAAACGTGTGATGGTATGGAAAATTTTGGGGAAAAAATGAGAGATCTGAAAATTTTAGGGTTTAAAAGAGGTTTCTTCCCCCCAAGAGAAATGAAAAATTGAAAATATTAGGCTATAATTTCTACGACTATAAATTTTCTCAACTTTAGAACTAGGATCATTTCAGATTAATCTTCCTACTTCTTTTAAACTTTATTGCCTAAGGCTGGACTATACTTTCTAATTCTGCACCTTCAATCTTCAGCAAAGACGCCAAAAGGACCAAAAAGATCATCTTATACCATTTTTCCTGAACCATTCAGGATTTATCGTCATGAAAGTGCTTCTATACATCTTGATACATTTCTTGAGTGATATATCCTTGGGTGGATGTAAACCCATGCAATTGGATCATGTAGCCAATGCTCCCTCTACTCAAAGGTTGCGTGAAGTAGAAAATGGAGAGATGAACTTTGTTGTCAAGAAACAGAACCAACTTGGAATTTCTCACAAAGCCCATAACAGTTATAAAAAAAATCTAAAAATTGAAGATATATCTGAAGACTTATCACTGAAAGATCAAGATCCAAAAGCAAAAGTTTCTGATGAGAAACTTGAAGAAAAAGATCATTTACAAAAACAAGTAAAGGATTTCTTAAATAATCAAACAAATCAATCAATTCATAAAGTTTTAAAACCATTTGAAAATCTTGATAATCTCAATGTCAAGAATTTTGATGAATTGCTTGATCTGTTATATGGAAATTATTTTGGTGAATCTGCTCAAATGTTTCTTATCAATGTTATGATGAGATCTTCTAGATTCAATAAGTCTAATGCAGGATATCTTGATCATCAATTCGAGAACCTTGGTGAGCGTGTTTTCTCTATAACTTATGGAATCTTCCGTATATATATATCCATTAGACTCTGTGTTCGTAATGGCTCCCATGTGTCATCTGTATCATGACCGCTTCAGATTTACCCCTGATATTGTGATCCCAAAATATGGATCTTGCGGTGCACAAAGCCTTGTTTTACAAGACTCAACATAAGCTCATCTGGAGTCTCCAATCCATTTGTCTGACAGTTCTTTACTTTTGATAGATCCAGAAGGCCATAAAGTCTATAGATTCAAAACACAGCGCAAGCTTCCACAGACGGATGGTCAAAACACTCTCCATGAACAATATTACTCATTGTTCAAGCTCATGAACCCAAAAGGAGATATGCAAACCAAGGCTTTGAGTCATATGTCATTGAAAAGGGATATTCCAAAAGATTTACTCTCTTTCAAAAATTATAAATTTTTATCTGAATTAGTCATTAAGGACTCAAAAGACCCTGATATCACCAAGCTCGCTGAATCGATCATCTCTATCCCTATAAAAACTATTGACTCAAGACAATACCCCCTTCAAGAAAATTTCATAATAGGTTCAGCTTATGATTTGGCAATCAAGATGGCAGTTGATGTCCTTAGAAAGGATCTTGATGACGTATATAGGATATGGGCACTTGGTATCTTGCAACTCCTGCAGAGCTTTTTACCACAAGGTCAATTGCATCCAATCATCCTTAACATCGAAAAAGGTTTCACTAGAGGAGAGTTTGAACTATCTCTTTTGAAAGGTGAATATTAATAGATCATGAATCTTTGCATTCTTCAGGGTTCTACTTACAAAAACATTTTTTTTGGTTTGTAAACAAATAGATATCAACCTTCAATTTGTCAATTTTGGTCGGTTTGTTGGGGATTCTATACCTGAGATTATCGAAGACGTTCCAGGTGAGTAATATTGGTCAGTAAAAACAACAGACAAAATGCTTACCTCACCTGTTGCTACTTGATCAAGCTCTCAAAGATTCATTGGAACGTGGAAAACTACTTTCAGAAATCAACATGACTTTACAAGAAGAAAAATTTACTCCAAGTGACAGATTTGTTGGAATATACGACACTTTACTTTTACAAAAGAGCCCGATTCCAATAGATATTTCTGACTCTTTATCATTCAAATGTTTTTATCACATGACCAATCGAGACATTCCCACAATAGAGAAATTTTCAACCATGGCAATTAGTGAATACTTACATTTTGGTAAATCTGAAGCAAGTCAAGAATGGAAAAAAGATCTTTTCCAAAGAAATCTTTCAAAATTTGTAGCTCACATAAACGGAAACTCTTTATTCAAAAACTTATTGAGACCATTTTGTAAAGTCGACGAAGTGAATGACTCACAGATTGAAGGGGTGATAGAAGCATTGAAAAATGGTCAATTTAACACTCCAACTGAGGCTATCTGTTATATACATACCTTAAAGGTGACAAGTAGATATAATGAGAAAATCTTATCACACCTAAACAAAAATCAAGAAATAATTGATCATTCCATAAACATGTAAGTATTTTTTTATGCCAAACCGGATGATCTGCTAGATCACATCTCAATCAGACTTTGAATGTAATTTTATTGACACGCTCAAAATTTTTCTATTCCAGTTTGAAGAAATGTCCTTAATCTCAAGTTTCAATGATTACTTACTGGATCAAGAAAACAAAAGTCTTGTGAATTCCGTAATTCTGAGAGTCCTTTAGTAAAGAAAGTCTCATAAAGAACTCAAGTTTTAAACCTAACAGTCAACCTACAATATATCTGATAAAAACTAGAAGCAAAAAAACTCCCTACTTTCTCTTGATTTTCTTTTGTCATGAAATTCTGAAAAAATTGTCAGTACAAAGGATTCTATATTGTTTCCTTCACTCTCTGTTTCTTTGGTAAAAATAAAGAAAGTTGTCTCATGAGGATGAAACCCAGAAAATTAAATGACACAAGTTTGAGCCAAATCATGATTTGAGTTGATTCAAGTGAGTATATATAATCAGGCTTGAAAAAAGTCTGGTTAAGTTTCAAGGCCTTTTGAAAAATTTAGTTTGAAACTTTGGATCCAGATATCTTTTGATCATTCCTTAATTCTTGCAAGTTTTCTATTCTTTTTATGCCAATTTAAGTTTATATCCCCTGCTTCACATTAGAAAAATGTCCCACATATCTATGGGTGCACAGAAGCAATACTTTTTCACCATGCATCACTGACACTATAAATGAGATTTGATGAGCTCATTGATCTTGACATCACAACTGCCTATCATTTTGAGATTGTAGATATGAACCTTCAAAGATATTTCTTTGAGGATAGAACTGAATACATCCATTTAGTGGAGAATGCCTATACAGTAAGGGTACTCAAAGTAAGTATGTACGTGTACATACTTTTTGCTATATACTTTTTTTGGCGGGGAAGGCGAGACCAAAAGTATATTTTTTTTCTTTGTCCCCGCCAAAAAAAGTATGTAGCGAAAAGTATGTAGCGCTACATACTTTGCTTTGAGTACCCTTCTTTTTGGCCATGAAATATTGCCATGAAGGCCATCAATGTGGAGCTCATAAGAAATTTTTGTGTGACTTGGATTTTTTGCACCACAGTCAAGTGAATTCCACAGCATTACACTCGACTCGCTGATCTCCAGACCAGGTCACTTTTAGGATCCAGTGATGGCGCAAGGTGAACTCTTGAGTCTTGAGGTTAGGGCTGAGTCGCAGTGGTGCGTAGATATCACACACCTGTCCACACCTGTCACGCGAAGCTGCGAGATCGCGATTCGCGATTACAAGTACCCGGCACCAGAACGAATTCGAGTACTTTCTGACTTCGGCAGCAAACATTTTCACGCATCACCAACATTACGTTCATACCATCTTACCTTGACTAGAATGGTTCTCACAAAAGCTTCATCTGGACTTCTAAGGTCTTGCCAGCAGGCTGGACGAGCTACCTCAACTTCACTCCGGAATCCTGACGCTCGTCGACACTATGCTAGATTAACACTTATTGGAAATTTAGTTCAAGATGCCAAAGTTATCGAACGTGGGGCCGATCGAGATCCAATGATTGCATTAAAAATCGCTACTTCTGATCCAATAGGAAGGGAAGCAAGGGAAGCAGGCAAAGGTGAGATTTCAAATCACAGCAATATAAGAAGACTTTTACGTTGCCAATGATACACTTACTTCCAATCTGCGCAGAGCCAACTACCTCATACCATGACGTTCTTTCATTTGGATCTGGGATCAACAAATACCTGGCTGAGTTTAAGAAAGGGCGAGTTACAATATAACACAGCTATTTATCCGACTGCCCAATTCAAGCTTTCACTTATGCTCGAATTTCCCAATTGCATTGCTAATACGCGTTTTCTATATAGATCTCTGGTCCTCGTTCAAGCTGATGTCCGAATGCAACCACAAGAGCATACCGAAGCAGGCTATCAGCCTGCAATTGTTCGGCTAACTTTGCGTAAGACTTTCTCACCATGTATCATCTTGGCATTAGTCATAATCAGCACTAAATCTATTTCTTCTCATTTTATGCTCTTCTTGAAATTTAGGTGAAGCTACCAAGCTTCGAAACCCCAAAACCGAGTGAAGCGCTCATAAACTTACGACCTTTCTCGTCTATAATACACATCTTGACCCACCTCTGGCGTCGACTCACAGGCGCCAAAATCTTTGCTTTTCGGTATCTCAGTTGTCAATACAATTCCTGTCGTTCAAACCCACAATGGTTACTTGCCATCATTGACCTAGCTGGAAATAGCAAATTAATTCACCATTGATTATAATTGTTCTCTTGACGGCCCAAAGTCTCCTCAGACCGATATATGCGGGGAGTTGGAGGCCTCTTTTGCTGTTATGCTATTATCCACTAAATACTTTAGGCTCAAGAGAAACATAACGGGGTAAATTCGACAACTGTCAAGCTCCTTGATGATGGTGCTGAGTTTTTTCGGGTCCTTCAAATTTCACCCATAGCCAGGATTTATTCAAAGATTGGATCTTAATGCTAGCTTGCAGGCTCGCTGTGGCGCCAAAGAGCTGATGATTTGAAAATATTCAAAGTAGCCACCCAACTGATGCCACAAAGATCTGCAGAATTTGAAAGGGCACCCTTTGCTATCTCTTGGGAGCAGAAGGGTTGTGAGGGTTGGGTACTCTCTTGAGTACTCAAGGCTCACTAGTTGGGCAATTTGGCTTGTATAATTTAAGTAAGGATTGCTCTATCCCGACCCCCCCCTGTTTGCTGTTCAGACAGTTCAGACCCCCCCAATCCTAGGTCCGTTTAGGTATCCTTAAGCACCTTACATACAGGACAGCCTCAACCACATGCTTGGCAGTTGAGAAGTCCTCTCTTGCCTCCTGATGCAAATCAATCATTGATGTGCCCCAATATCAACATGGATGATTTCACCACCATGGTCATTGACCCTTCCTTGACAGGGGGCACCTCAGAGCCAACACTCAACCAGTCAACCTTATCCAACTCAAATAATCCTGTTTCCAAACAAAAGAATCTCAACTCCCTCCTCTCAGTCTACCCAAGCCTGGAAGAGGCTGAAGATGCACTTCAAGATTGTGCTACTTCCTCTGGTTACTGCCTCAAAAGAAGACACTCAAATTGCAGCACAGGGGTTTGGGTGTTCCTGACAACACCCCAGTCATGAGGCTGGTATTGGTAGTGTTGAGGGAATACTTTATAAGAATAGATATTAGCACAAGGTATGTCTTCTACACAAGTATAACAAGACAATATCACTCACCAAGTGATCTGTTTTGACCTTCTTGAGAAATGAAGCAATGTTGGATTGGTTTGGTAGACTGATCACAGACAGCATGCCTAGTTTTGAGGTGAGTTGACATTGATTTTGTACTTCCCTTCTTATCACAGGCGCCACCTTCCTTTCCATTCTCCATCATAAAACCACACTTGTTGAAATTGGTATGCTTACTAAAATAAAGCCATGTGTGGCTTCTTTTTGTTGTAGCAAAAACTATTAGTATTTGTCACATCCAATTGATCTGCTGGAGAGGACATATTGTTTTGAAAGTTTGAATTGGCTTGAGGCATGAATTTGATATGTAAACTTCAAACTTCAATGGAGGTTTATTGAGCAGTATTTGCGGCTTTGTTGTGGTAATTTGAATTTTCTGGATATATTGTGATGACTCAAGTGGGAAGAAAGTTTTTTTTTTGGAACAGAGTGCCAGATACCCTGGTTGGAGGTTGGTCTATAGAAACTTTAAAAATACCAATCACCAATCTCTGATTGGGTTGGAGAATACTTTCTATCTGGCGGTTGAGGCCTTGGGCAAGCCAGAGACCACCAGATAGGGGCTGGGGCTCAGCTTGAAATGTAATTCCTACACCACCAGGCGACTTTTGACTGGGACCACATGAGATGGGAATGAGTTATCCCCACAACAACTAGTTGTGGATAATAAGGTGACAGTAGGGTGACCACAGCTATGTGGCCCTCACCCAAGCTTGTCAGCTGTTCTACATGTGAACTTGCTGTGAGCAGCAAGCTCACGTTATGCTAATGTGATGTACCAGCCTAGAAGCGGGTGGGCTGATGGATGTGAGTGTGGCCTGAAAGCCAGATCCTGAGCACCCAAATGAGATTGGCTGCCAGTCATCCAAGCTGATGGCTGGCACGTGAGCTGGGATGTGTCAGGATGACCACCCATCCTGTCAGCTAGGGCATAAGTCACCCAAGTACTTATCACCTAGCCGACATGTAAACTCGTAAGATACCTTATCTTCTCAGAACTATTTCTCATTATATCTATTATTTCACTTTACATCTTTTTCTCTCATGAATATTTTCATATTCTTTTCTCACATTTCATTCTTTTTCATTATTTCTTTTTCTTTCATATTTTTTAAAGTAATAATCAGGAGTTATGTAAAAGTGTTCTGAATTAATTGAAGAAGATACGAACTTATGAAAGAAGTATGATTCCCAGTTATGATTCTTGAATTGGAGTGATGACCCAATTCAAGTCTCAGATACATCTAAAACCTGTTGGGTATCAACATGTGATGAACATTGATTGATGGTCTGGGATTTTGTATGACTGGATTAGGTAAAATATACTATTTGATTAATGGACGACACTTAGGGGTGGGAAGCTTTTTATGGAAAACCACTGATGAGGACTCTACAGTACTAATAGTAACAGAATTGCAAGGAACAATGTTCAAATCATGTAACAACCAACTATAGTCTATCTCAAATGTTGTGTGCGCGGTCATAGTCAGAATGGGTATAAAACCCAGTTGTTTCCTGCTTGTTATTTCTTTTTTTCTTCATCCTTTTTACTACCAACCAATCTAACACAACGGGAATTATTATGTCTGAAACCCAATTGAGCAGAGTTGCGGTGTCTGAGTCCGCAACTTTGCTCAATTGCGGGTTTTGTTCACAATACGTTCACAACATGTTCACAGGTTACCCTCGAGCCGTACTATGCACACCTATATGACCAGGTCCTCCTATGTAGCTTAACATGCGCCCGACTAACCGCATCTTGCACAAGCTGTCCCCCGGGCCCCAAAGCCTGCGCGACATGCTCAGCATTTCAAGGGTATACGCTATTTAGCAAGCCCTGAGCTCACCAGCTTAACTTCATCCAAGCCAACCGTTTCAGAAATTTTTAAAAGGCTTGTTTTGGAATTCGGGGATTACACACATAAATGAATATGTATATGTGTATTTTCAATATCTGATAAATAATATTTAATACATATGAAAATTTGAACAATGGGAAGGGGCCAGCAGAGCTCGAGGGTACCCTGTGAACGTAATGTGAACGTATTGTGAACAAAACCTGCAATTGAGCAAAGTTGCGGACTCGGATACCGCAACTCTGCTCAATTGGGTTTTGGACATAATAATTCCCATGGTGTAACAAACTAGTTATTTGCTTTATAAGCTTTTGCCACGACCAAATTCCTCCAGTTACCTTTAAAGTCTCTCTAAACCTCTCTGGTTAGTAATAGCCTTGCTTCAAGTTTATATCATTTCACTATCTTGTTTGATTCTTTGCTGCAAAAAGTTTTGAAGTTTATCTACAGTACCCTTCTACATCAAGTTACTTCACAACTCAGGAAGCGTACTTGTTGACACATCCTCAGCACACTCAGCTTGAATGACCAGCACATGATTTTACATTGGGTGCTGAGAAGATAGTTATTTTCTTAATGTGTGTAAAATACAAAGCAAATCAAGATGACTACTCCACAAACCAAAAAAATGTGTTGTTGCCAAGCCGCCCTTCAAAAAAATGGCCCCTCCATTGATTCTGAGTTTTTTTTTGCTTTTTCTGATGCATCTCATGTAACACAAGATTGGTTCTTTTGCGTTCATACTTGAACTGATTATGAATGTTTGAGATTTCTATTGAAAACATAATAACACATAAATGCTAATTACATCAATATTATACACAACCATCCTAATTATGCTATACAATGAGAACATTTTTCTTACAAAAACAATATGTCAACCTTGTTGGCACTTTCAAAAAAGAACAAAAAACATGAGTTGCTTGCATCATACATAAAAAGTAACAAAAAAGAAGGAACTGGAAAAATACTTACAACCTATGGGATTAACATTTATACCCAATTGATAAACCAATGTGATAGAAGATGGATTGAAGAACTATGAAAGCAAATATTGGAATGATACAAACTGCCCATGATAGCTTTGATACCCTAGAAAACAATTGAAAGACATGCCTAGTCGTACAACAAAAATTGAGATACAAAGCTATTAGTATCAAGTTGAGAATATTGGATGACAAGGGAGAAGAAACGACTTACACAATGGGGCGAGCTCAATATAAGCTAAGAGCAATCAAGAAGAGCTGTTGACCAAAGCAAATCTGAAACTTGAAGGCCGCTTTTCCAAAAGAAGGCTGTGTATATACTAAATGTCACAGCCAGGTGTCATTTTCATAACCGGGCTGATGGTACTGTTGAGCTTTATGCAAGCACTTTTTGCATGATGTCAAGTATGACATCACCAGTACATTTCGCAAATTTTACATACACTTTGTCAAATGTCCACTTCCCCTGTCTACACTTGAGTCCTGCATCACTCATGGGTTGTCACAACTCATCAACCACCTTTGCCTTGGAGGCACGTCATTTGACTTTTTTTGCATCATCATCCTGTTAGGTACCAGTTGGCTGGATTGATCAATTCTTTCTTTTATTTCTTACCACTCTCTTAAATTTGATTTGTTCAGATTCAGATTTACTGACACTGGTTCCATTCTGTTCATATTGAAGCCCTTTGATTGATTGTTTCATTTGTCCGTTTTTTATTTGTTCATATTTATCTCATTCAAGCTACTGTGAAGCTTGATGTCATGGGTTTTTACTGTATGAAGTATTCATTTCAAATCCCTTTGATTGGTTGTTTCATCTTTAAGTCCTCTTCTCCCCTTGTTTGGATGGTTTTCTGCTATATGTCAAGGAAGTTGAAAACTGATCTTTTGGTACTTTTCTGACCATTTGTTTATATATTTATGATCATCCATCTATACCAAATATCAATGTTTTCCTTTCTTTTTGTTCTTATGGTTATTATCACCCCGTACACCTGGATCAATCATGTAGATTGTAGGTCTTTCTTTTTCACCTTCTTTTCTTTTGGCTCTCACTAATCAATTCATTGGTCAATGTCTTGATGAATTTTTGTAAAAGAAAAAATCAATCAAATCAAAATATCAAGCACTACAATCAAAAATTGTAAATTTCACTTGCAAGCCATTTTTATTTTACTTTTATTATTTTTCAACTGTTTTCAATGTTATTTGTGTTTCTATAATTACTGTATGTACTTCTTTTCAATGCAAAGATCAGATTGGTTGTTATAGTATGCACTCTGTGAGCAAAACAATGAGAAACTCCCAGCCTGATTCAACTGGTGTGGCTCTTCAGCCATCATGAGGCTAGAAGAGCACTGGGATGAGCCAACACTCACCAGCTCAATACAACTTCCGTACAGTACAGGTGTGTAAGCTTTCAGACCTGGTTGTCACAAAGCTTGCCTTACACCCTAACAAGGCAAGTCACCTCACCCGTTCATTGAGTGAGCCATCTCACCTTGTGATGATATGAGATGACCCACCCTTTCATTGGGCAAGTCATTGGGTGAGTCATCACGTTGTAGCAACACAATCAGGTTGGGTGAAGCCCACACTGGCTGGAATGCGTAACTCACGTCGGGTATGACAATGTAGACAGCACTTATTTCAATGGCAGAGTGGAATCTCACGTGAGCATCACATGTCACCAGCACTGTGGTGTAGTATCCAGCCAAAGGCAGGACCCCTGAAAGCAGTAAATAAACAATCTGCCCTGGGTCTATTCTGGCCCCAAGGCTTATACTTTCACTATTTGCATCAAGAGGATGCATTACAAGTTGAATTCCTGTGTTGCAGGGGATGCGCCTTGGCCACAAACTTAACAAAATTCCTTGCCAACAGCCCAAGGCTCAAGCAAGGGACTTACCTCAAAAACCCAAATTTTTGTGTGAGAAGTAGGCTGTATTCAACAAAAAATCTCTACATCTTAATATTTCTTTGGCTCATTCAAGTGCTTTTTGTGCAAAGAGATAAAATAATGGCCACAAGCCGTCACATTAGCTCCAACTTCCAGAAGTTCCATTTGTGGACTGGAATTTATGCTGCTCAGTGATTTGTGATTGGACTTTTTCACCGCTTCCAGAACAGTGAGCGGGTTTGAAGCCTGTATTTCTCAGAAACCGGTGAAAAACTCCAACCTTGGGTCACCCAAAAGTGCAAGTTCCCAAAGACATATTGGAGAGCTTGAAGCACTAGCACATGTAATGTTCCTAGCAACCTTTTCTTTTTCATGAAGTGTTGATTATATAGCCACAAAAGCAAGAACACAATGTAGTGGTTTTGAGCTCAATACAGCTCACTTCTCAAGCCAAATTTCTCATTTTTGAGGTGAATCCCTTGCTCGAGCCTTGGGCAATTGGTGAGGGACTTAGTCAAGTTTGCCTTGGCCAGGGCTTTTTACAACGCAGCAACAGATACGGTACTGGTATCATACCTGCAATACCAGTACCGTACCTAAATTTCAATACTCGAAATTTTGAGTATCGAGTACCGTACCTCAGCCCAGATACGGTATTCAGTACCGTATCTTCTCGCTGGGCCCACCTTACGCTCTAAAGCCCAGTACTGTAACCTTGTTGAACGGTCGGTACGGTACTGTACCGGTACCTTGCTGTAAAATTTCGGTACGGTACAGTATCGTACCTGACCAGGTACCCAGCAGTACCTAGCGTAGTACCTGAAGAAGTACTTAAAAAAAGAGCGTGAATAGAAATTGAAATATTTGAAACTTAAATCAAAGATGTATATACACAAATGAATAGATGTTTAAAAAAAGACATAACAAAAGAGAAAACAAGGCCCCAGTAAAGAAGTTGAAATGGCCTTAACCCCGCCGCTTACGTGCCTTTTGATCATTTGCCAAACACTTCTTCATAGCATCTGATGCTTCTGTAAATTTACCTTTCATTTCAACTCCCTCTACAGACCACATACGCCCTGAAACAAGCCGTTCAATGGGTCTTGGCAAGAGGGAGCTCCGGTCAGCAGTGCAGACATCGGCAGCCGAGGAGAAAGTCCTCTCGACTGGGCATGCCGTGCCACTGATTGCCAAGTAATCCTTTGCAAGGTGGCTGAGGACCGGATATTTGCCTTGATTGACCTGAGATCAATATCATCAGTTTCGAAAATAATGAACGTGATTGTAAGTGAAACTTTCACTTACACTCCACCAAGCCAAAGCCAAGTGAGGATTTTCGCCCACCTCAGATGCAGGCTCTTCAGCCATCTCTAAATAAGATCGCAGCTCATTGGCAGTGTTACGTCGATGAAGTTCTTTGTGATGGAGAAAGTCTTCATCATCGGCGGCCAAACTCTTACCTTGAGATGAAGCTTTCCCAGTCAAAGTAGCAGTTGATTTGTAAGGTCCATTGGCCTCAAGTTCGGCCTTTCTCTTGTCATAAGCATGTTCAATCAAAGACTTTGCTAGAAGAGTCTCAGTCAAGCTAGACCCAAAAGCGTATTTGAAGTAGTCCAATCGTAGACTTGGGTGGAGAATGGTGGCCAGGTTGAGGGTGTCTGAAGCCAGAGCTTCCTTGAGATAAGCATCTACACGTACTAACATCACATGATACATCGGGAAAAGGGGTTCAGCTCGTGATTGAGTCTTGTCGATTTTCTTTTGAATGTTCTTCTTGAGCTTGACGTATTCACGTATAACAAGGGATCCTGTCGGCCCGTCTTGCTCAAAGAACTTTGTCAGACGCTCAAAATCCTATATTAATAGTTAAGATAAGTATTAGGTTTATGATGTTCAGCATTATAGAAAGATTACTTACTTGAAGAATGTCCATAAGGTCTCGGACCTGGCGCCATTTGTCTGGCGTGATCATCACCTTGTTGAAGATACCTCGAGGCCGGTGAATATCAGGAGGAAGAGGGGTCTCGCCCGGACGACTTGGCTGGGTTCCTTTCCGAGGTGGGTCCATTTGATCCTCTTTCAGGATTTGGTCAATGACCTAAAAACAAATCGTTTTCAACAAATTAATAAGGAATTTGTTAGAATTTAGATAAACTTACCTCTCGTGCGTTATAAAGCCTACGCCAACATTGTAGCTTTATATTCCACCTTATACCATACCCAGGAATAGGCCGCGGCAGTTTTTGTGATGTCATCGCTTGACTAAGAGCATCAAACAAGCAGCACATCACTGCTGACCCTCCTATCTTCCGTCCGATGACATCAAGCTGATTGTAAAAAGACATATTAGAATCCAAATTATCAAACGTAAACTTATATGTTTGAAATGACTTACTTTTGTTATCAGATTAAACACAGCATTCGCTTCATTACGATTGGTGGCCAGGATTTCAGAATCTTCAGAGGTAACCTCAGGCTCTGGATGCGGACCATCTGCAACCTCGTACCAATTAGCAGATTCCTGAGCTTGAGTTGATTTGATATCAGTATCATCAACCTCGTCGCACTCTTCTTCTTCTTTGACTGATGGCGGCAAATCTTCCTCTTCAGCTGGTTCGACTTCTTCTGGGATGGATTGTAAAGTGTGCGTTGGAATAGGAAACTCCCCCAGGATTGATGATTTCACAAGGGGAGGCGGCGGTGCTTGAATGCCCAGCGCTTGCAGGCCGGCGTTGACCATCAGCGCTAGCTTGTGACATATGCATCGAACTCGATGCTTCTGGTGGTCCCATTCAAAGGTCTGACCTCGATCTTCACTAAACTTTGTTAATCAAATTTTCATCGCCTCAGCTAAGGTGTTGTTGTTGCTACCCGAGTCATGAGTCTGCGCCAACATGTGGCAAAGGGTAAAAAGATAAGGTAAGGAATTAAAAGAAAATAACAAAATATAATCTAAGATGAACTTATCTTATTATGGATTCCATGTTTTGTAAGTAAATTGACCAACGGCTCGGCAAGCCAATCACCTTTATGGTGCCAAGCTATGAGCTTGAGGCAGAGGTGTTGTGTAACGTAGGTCCAGTCCTTGTTGATAAACGTCACTGTAGCTCCAAGAAACCCATATCGATTTCCTTTAGTGGTCCACGCATCGTGGATTAGTCCAAAAGAACTGGTAAGGGTCTGACAGATGACCAATATAAAAATTAGTAAATATAATGATTTTTATAATGATCATTATAAACTCACCTTTAGTTCGTCAAAGACCGTCGCTCACATCTCCATGTAGGCCTCATGGGTGAATTTCGCAACCCACATTTGGCCTAATAGATGGGCATTAGGGTTAGCATAGCGGAAAGTAGCTCGTAAGTAAGGATCCTCGACTCGGCGCCAAGGTTGAGCGGTTCGTATAACCCACATGCCCAACATTTGGTTGAGCACCTTGTTGTCAAATTTGATGACTGAGTGGGCATAAGTTGTGATCGAAGTCTGACCAGCTGAAGGAGTTGATTCCAGCTTGCGTTGCTCGAAAACGGTGATGGGAAGGACACATCCAGCCTCCAGTGCTTCATTCCGTTTTGAGCACCCTGGATGACCAGACTTGATTGGCTGTTTTGACCCGTCTCGATGAACCCAAAGACTGGAAGTTCCTCCAGCGCTACGGACGTCCTTCTTGCACCATTTGCAGGGATATGTGCTGAACTGACTCGGTGCCTATATGAAAAGGTTTGATTAAACATATTAGAAAAGTACAATCCAAGATAAAGAAGTGAAATATATAATGATCCTTACATCCTTTTCACCATGTACTGGTGGATCAAAATAATCCTTGATGCGATCGTATCGATCATCATCATCATCATCTTTAATGATCTCGGGTTTGGAAACTTTCAGATTTTCCTGGTCTGAGTCTTGAGTTAAGTTAATGTGAAGTTGGACACAATCGTTACTGCTGCTGGGTACATTGGTTTTGAGTGCTTTATCTTTTTGGTGTCGTTTGGAGGGCTTTGATGCTTTCTTGCGAGTCAAACTGGTGTTTCTAGGTTTAGATGAAGCTTTGGTCGAACGGGTAGAACACTGGTCTGACTCGTCTTCATCATCGGAGTCAGGCCTGCGTCGCTTCTGCTTCGTGACTGCTGTTGAGAATGAGGAGGCATCCGAATCGGAGTCCTCATTGCCACGGTGGACAGATCGGCGAGAATCACCAGGTTGGCTGATCATCTTGGGGTGTTTTCTCATGGGTGATGGTCGAGAACTCCTGCGAGTTGGTTGAGAAGAAGAAGACATGATGTAGCGGTTGGATGTGAAAGTAACCAATTGATGAAAACAAATACTAAGAGAAAATGATTAAGGGCAAGTTGAATGTAAGGGTAAAGAATGTCAGTTGATTGGAGCCAAATCGAATGATGGATGTAGAAATTGAAAGAGATTAGAAAAATATCACAAACGAAATCGGGATGTGGGATGACCTGTAGTAAAGGGTAGGTCTGCAATTATAGTGTTCTGCCAACCCATCGAGGCGCTGAAAAATGGCCATCGTATCCTATCGAGACGTAAATTGCTTGGATCGGGGTGGATTCAGACGCAAGGGGTCATATATGGCCCGAAAGGGATGGTGGTGGACCCTCGATCTGGACTTCGGAGACGTTTGGAGGTTGAGGGTTGGGGTCATGGTGACAGGGGCTCTCTGTGCCGAGTACAGTACTAAATACAGGGTACGGTACGGTACAGTATCGGATTTCCTAGATACCGGTACTACCCAGTACCGGTATTGAGTCCGAATTTAGGGTACTGTACCTGGTACCGTACCGGAGGTGAAAACGGCTCCCTCTGACCCTCCAGTGTCGTAACCAGCGAGCAGTTACGGTACTGCAGGTACGGTACCGGCCAAAAAAGATACGGCACGGCACGGTACCGGTACCAGTAAGGTATCTATTGCTGCGTTGCTTTTTACAACATATAATCTCACTAATGTATCACCTGTAATTTGGTTCTTATGCCTCAGGGCCAGTTGCACTAGAAATTCATTCATTTTTTTTTGAAAAAAATGGGTGCCTTCCTTACCTAACTAAGTCACTCTTGGCAAGCAAGCCTGCAAGAGAGGGACTTATATCTTATCCACAAAATTTGACACAGGAGCCAGAAAACTTTGGCTGGAGACTTTTCCCAACCACTACATCTCAATATCTCACAAATAAATTACCTGTTGCACTAAGAAAAGTTTTGCTCATTGGCTTTTTCTACACATGATGCCAATGGTACCTTCAAATTGTTCCATTCTGATCAGGAAAGTGTCAAGCAAGAGACTTGAAAAACACTTTTCTGTAACATTCCTGGTTAAAGATCTGTGAGATTCTCAAAGTTTGAAGCATAATACATCTGCAGAGATAGAGGAAAACCAAGAATGAATCAGATGTGCATGTGGGGAAGAAGCAGATGACCAAGACTTGTGTTTGTACAAGAGGGTATTTACTTGTAAGGTATCGTAGGTTGGTACGAGTATTAACCATGTGGAATCTGTGAAAGGGGCGTGACACCCAGGCAAAGGAGGCCGTGGAATCGCAGACCTCTCTGGAATGAGGTGCAACAAGGACCAGCAGCAAGACAGATTCCCCAACGAACCCATTGTGCCATCATCCGAGGGGGTTCAATCCGCTGCCTGTCCCAAAGTCCTGTTGCGTTAGAACTCATTCCGTTCATCACAAAAAAGTGTTCGTTAAGAATCCAAAAATCAGAATCCTTAAAAAATCATAAATACAGTTTATTTTTCTTTTCAGTAGCAGCAATTAGTTCCATTATTTTTTTGTTATTTTTCGTTATTATCAAACAAATTTTTCTTTTTTTCCGCCCACCACCCTTTTTAGTCAAACTATGGGTTAAGTTTCATGTGGAGCACTGTCAGCAATAATTATTTAAAAAATTTGTTATTTTCTTTATCAAAATGTGTTACTTTTTCTATTTTTTCATACTTACGGGGGGGGGGGCTCTCCAGTGGAGATGCTCAGCGCCAAGCTTGGCCACCCGCATGTACTCCCAGCTCTATCTTTCTCTCAGGCGCACCGCACCCTCGGACCGAAAGTTTCTGCAATCTAGGCCCCTAGCCTATCACGCGTAACACACCGGCCTCCTTTGCCAAAGCGCCCATAAAACAAGAACGAGAGGCAATCGGGACAACCCTGACAGTACTGTCAGGCCACTGACAGTCAGGCCTTTCAGTGACCTGTCCCTCACCCGTGAAAGCCAGCATGATTATTTCAAACTTGCTTTCCACCACGTCACATCCCTGATAAAAGCTTGGTGAGACCTTTAATCACCAGTGTGACATGCCCTGTGTTATCGTCCTCTATCCTCATCTCAGTTTCCCTCTGGTCTAATCCGTCAATGACCACCTCTGTTTCACCACCTCACCCCACATCGACTGCAACCGCGATGCCTTCAAAAGACCCACGTCATTTCGGATCTCACTTTCACCGCATCAACAAACTTTCCCAGCTTACACAGCAAGGCGGGTTTCACCTATTCTGATCTTGCGAGTAGTCAAAAACGTGTCAGGTTTCATTTGTGGAAGATGTAATGGGACTCCTGAGTTTTTTTACCTACAACAGGTAGAGCTGAAAGATTATGTAGAGAAGGAGTATTAAATCTATTAATTAAGATTCCATTAGATTCAAAAATCAGAAAAAGTTGTGATTTTGGTCAAGATCGGTTACAACAATCTCCTGGGTGTTTATCCACTCAAGATTATTAAACTTTGGATTGAGTGAAGGCTAAGATTTCTAGTCTTGAATGAAAAGAAACATCTCAAGAAACGTCTCAACCTTCATGATATCAAGATCTTATGGGGGAAATGAGAGATCTTCGTGAGTGGATGACGACAAACGAAAGAACGATATGTACAAAACGGTTGGTGCTTTCTTCTTTGCTTGCATGAATTCAAGAGTTGTGACCAATTCACCTCCCTTTTCAAAAACACCAACAGCTCGAAAGAACATAAAGATTGAGACACTTCTTGAACTTCTCAATGTCTTGAGTGTTTAAAAAATGGATAATTTGTCATGACTTTGTCAATGTGTAGAATCTATCAATTCTATCACTCGTCACAACCAAGCAATGTAATATGAACAGTTAATTGATCTTCTGCAAACATGCAAAGAACAAAAGATCAAGCAAACAAGATGGTGACTTCATTGCTTATCTGAACTTTGAGATGTAAAACAATTGCCTGAGGGTACAATCAAATTCTGTCCTTGTGGGTTATCTTGCTCCAATCAAAGTGGTCAATTTGAGTGAGACTTCAGACCTAACACAAGAATTAATGAAGCTCTTTCTTCTGATTCTCTTAGTGAGGTTTGAGTTTGTTTAGAGTGTTTACCATATAGATTGTTTGTTTTCTTTATTCCGGTGAGTAGTAAAGATTCCAGGGTTGGAATGAGTGAAATGTTTGGATGATTTTTACCAGGAGTGTCTTTTGTCTGTTAAGGGGATGACCACAGTAAAGACAGGGGATGCGACAGGTGGCGGGTGACCTTTTGGTAATGGGTTATGACCCATGATTACTCAGGATGAGCCCCGGGCAGTCGGGCTCGGGGACCGGCCAGAACGACCCACCGAGCAAAATCTAAGAGCCCTGCCCGGCTTCCGAGCCGAACCCGCCTCGACGGGGACTCTTCCCCGGACACGTAGACCGGTCCCCGCCACCAAGAAAACGGTGCCCTACCGATATGTCGGTTCTCCGTCAAGTCCCCGCGAGTTCTCGATTGGACTGACCTTTTCCTGGAAATATTTCAACATGAAAAGCTTGATTGGTGAAGTGCCCGCTGCTACCCATGGCTGATCATGCATGTATAAAGGCAGAACCTATAGCTGTGATTGAATGATGTCCATCTATTCAGTTTCATCTCCTCACCTTTCCCTCACCTATCGATCATGATTCTTTTGTCATCTCGATTTCTAACTCTTTATCGTTTTTATTATCTTGATATTTAATTCTTTATTGTTTTTATTATCTCAATTCGTAACTCTCTTTGAACACTGTTAATCGCTTCCTTGTATGTATCAACTGCTTGTTCACCCATCCTTGCTTGAATATGTATCATAACTGTTCATAATCTATGTACGGTTTCTCGGTTCTCCGAGAAAAATCGGGGATCTTGATACCTCAGGCCGGACCCCAATCCGACGGACCCGGGTCGGTGTTGGGGCTCTCAGAGCTCTAGCCCGGCTACCGTATCGACGGTACGGTAGACCGGGGATCTCCGCCTCCGCCGGAGCCGGGGCTCATCCTGAATGATTACAGTAGTTAAAGTCTACTCTGTGCTACACCTGACTACGGGCGGCCCCGGGGCTGGCCCCGGGCCCAATTGTCAGGCATTTCTGATTTTTATTTTTTTTGGCGTGGATTCAAAAAAAACCCATGTACAAGGGTCAAGTAGTGGTTGGAAACTTTCTATACCCGCTATACGTGATGTGACTTTGTTACATTGTTTCCTGCTCTTTTTCTTGTCATTTCCTTAAAATTTCTTCTTGATCCTTTTGTTTACTTTATTTTTTTTCTCTACTTGTTTTTGTCTTGGCTTTTGTTAGAATGACCTTGTGAATGAGTGTGAACTTTCAAAATGAGGTTCATGATTGTGTAGGAATTCTTGAAAGTGAACAATAGCCCAAATATACATCATTGGAGGTTGAGAGATTAAAAGTGAGGGCAAACCAATATGGTTTGAGAACATGGTTGGGTTAATGAAGATTAACAAAGAAAGGATGTTATACACTACCATCAGAGTATCAAAAAGCTTCTCAAGGCAACTTGTGATACATATGCAAAGCTTGCATCACACCTTGGTCAAACACTTCTCCCTACAATCTACCCTGCTGGTAAGCCCGTTGGGTCTACCACAGGACCACTGACACATAGCTGGCCCTGGTCTGTGTAAGTACACATTGTCACGGACACTTAAGACTATAAGTACCTAGCTTGAGACCTTAAGTACTTGACTTAAGACCTTAAGTACTTGACTTAAGACCTTAAGTACTTGACTTAAGATTGTAAGTACTTGGCTTAAGACCGTAAGTACTTGGCTCGAGACCTTAAGTACTTGGCTTAGGACCTTATGTACCTAACCCAAGGGGCTTAAGTGCCTAGCTTATGCTTGGGCCCAAATGTTGACCATCTAGTGAAAAAAAAAAATTATCAATGCCTCAGATGGTCCCAAGGAGATATAGATAGATTACACTTACTCTCCTTAATGTACTTGTCTAGTTATCAACTTAAAAGGTAGTCATTGAGGTAGTCATTTTTGATCTCAAAAACAAGATTTCATTTGGCTGGTCGGAAGGTAGTACAAAGTAGACGTTAACTACTGTACATGGTTTGTGAGGGGCCTGACAGTCAGGTGTCAGTGTCAGGGCATGACAGTCACGGCTCTCCCGGTGGCTGCGACCTCTGCATAAAACTGATTCCATGAGATATAGCGGGTGGAAAAAGTCTCCAGCCAAAAGAATTTGGCTCTTGTGCCAAATTTAGTGGATAAGATATCAAGTCCTATCAAGTCCCTCTCTCGCAGGCTCGCTCGCCGAGAGGGACTTACAAACTCAAGTTCAATCCTGTTCATGTTCGCAACAAGAGTGGACACAGATCATGATGGCATCGGAACATCCCGTGCTATGTATGTACTCAATCAGGATCAGCTGAACCCTCCAACGTAGACTGGCCAGAAAATCAAGCTAAAAGGATCTGCTGCATTGCTATATATTTACTGATAAACGCGCCCTCCCGCTCCCAACTATCAATGATATATGAATCTTGATAAGTTCACTTGAGATATTATCATGATCCATAGCTAGCTATCAAGATTCTAAATAGGTGGACATCAATCGATTAAACAGATCAATCAGACGCCTTTACTCAGCTTAAATCTATCACTATCATCCTGATCAAGATTCAAGACTTCTCGTCTATCCTCGGGCACCTCTTCGTTTTCTTCTACTATTTCAACACTTCCTAAGTTGTATAACGAAGGGATGTCTCCAATTGTTGATATAATATTGTAAGGAGTTTTGCTCTTCAATCATCGTTGACAGAAATTCATGACTTAAAGCTTTCTTTGAATCATCTTATAGAACCGTGATAGGAAGCATCTCGCAAGTCAGTTGAGAACATCTCCTTCCATGCTCGATATCATGCCCAAATCTTATTCACCCTTTTTCGAAACTTGATAGGTTTTCTTATTATCAGTACGTCTACTCGAAACTCGGCTATGTTATTCTTCATCTTGATACGGTCTGATTGTATGATTAATAGCTAGCAGGCTACATTCTCGCCCGAAGAAAAATCATCACACCTAATTCAAGAGCCAGCTTCAATGAAGCTAACAAGTAGATAGCTTCTCCTTTTGATAGATCAGACTGGTCCAATGAATAAAAATCTAACATATTAATCTCCTTACAGTTGCTTCTTCACTCCCGCATTCGTGTTCCAAAAAATCGCCTACAGTTTAACAACTGATCAGCTCGTCAAACTTTATGTTGTCGTAGTGGCCTTTGTTTTCATCACAATTGTTTCGGCTGTGCTAGCTTATATACCAGGTCGAATATTTCGATTAGCATCGTCTGATCGAAAATTCTGTATCGCGGTTTCAATGTTTATGAATAGCAACTCATTGCCTATAGCTATTGCAACCAGCATGTTAGCTGGCATGGGAAGCACAGGTGGATTTGAATGGGGCCCGACGGACGATCAAGACAAGGTAGTTAATTTTGTTTCTGAAAATCACGAATGCAATCTTACTAACAAAGGGTTTCTATGCGTTGTATTTGCAGCAAATGGCTAGAACCTTGAGTTACTTTGTACTATTTAGTAGCTTTGGATTAGTTCTTCGCTGGAGTTATGGAGTTAGACTGTTAGCGGTATCAACTGAAGAAAAGAGAGTCAAGACTGAGGCGCCAAAATCCCGACAGGCGTGGGGTTCTTTGAAATTTTGCGGAACCAACAAAGACAAAGTCGATTGTAAAATGAATCATCACGTTCCTGAGGTCGGCTTACATGTGGTTATTGACAATGAAATACAAATTATCTCATATTGTCCGCCTGATCCGAAACTCAAAGATGGACATGGAAAATGGAAAACATTGTCTTTGAAGATAATTAATATTATCGTTACCCCAGCGAAGATCATTCATCGATTCATGACTCCCACCTTGTAAGTTTTCACTCAAGCATCAAAGGGGAAGGAGGGAAGTTGTGAGAAAATTGTAAACCGAACTGATTTTTGGTCTTCCATCCAGATACTCTACTATCCTCTCCTTTCTGGTCGTGTGCATACCACCATTGCAAACCGCCTTGATGGGGTTCAAACCTCTACGAGGGTGAGCTCAATTTCTATCTGCGTGCGATAAGGCTCTACAAACCGTCGTTGATTAATTATTCATCCTTTCTTTAACATTTCTCACAAACCCATGCGCAAAACAGTGCATTCAACTTTGCCGGAAATGTGGCTGTGCCACTGACACTTGTGGTCTTAGGTGCGTGAACAGTGTCGACGGTTTAGTGCTACTCGACTCTGACCAATATTACACAATCACAGGTGCTTACTTTAATAAAGAACGACCTAGTGAGAAGCAATGTGAAATTAAGAAATCAGCAACAGTCGGAGCAGAAAAGTCAGAAGATTCTGCAGAGCAGACTTCAGACCCTTCACTCGAGTCACAAATCCCTGAACGAACTTCCAAGGTCTCTGAACCAACTTCCAAGGTCTCTGACCGTACCATCATGATCATTGCAATCGTTGCTCGTCAATTCCTTGCGCCTCTCGTTTTCATCCCACTTCTTTACTTCATTCCAAGAGCCCTTCCACCACCTTTGAGAGAAGACATGAACGGAAATGTTCTGGACGACCCTTGTTTTATTCTAGTGATGGCTTTACTCATTGGAGCACCTCCAGCAATTACCTTGGTACAGATGACTAATACAAATCGATTCCCCGTGGGATCACTTGCTCATGTACAACAAGAGATTAGAAATCATAGAATTCAACACTTAATCTCAAGAACATTGTTAGGTTCGTATGTTTTTGTCACACCGATAGTTACAATCCTTGTTACGATGGCAGCGGTATTTATCGTAAAAGCCAATGCTTAAGGATACATTTGGTTGCGTTTTATTTTTGGCGTTTCTGTTTCAAAAAATCCGTTGAAATCAAAAAAATGCTGTGCAAAAAATGCTGTTTGGCAGTGGTTACAGTACCCAAAAAAGCTCCATCCCTGTCCCAAAAGGAGTTTTTTTAGACGTACAATTGTTATGAAATTACACACTATTTGTATATAACGAGTCTTTATGTTGAACACCAGGAATATGCAAAACTAAAAAAATGATCAAAAAAAGTATACAACAATCCAGGATGACAAGCTAGGTTTTTGTGGTGCAAAGAAAGCAAAGGTAGAGCAGTGGATATCTCAGACTCTATGCCTGAGAAGACCAAGGCATATGAAATAAGCTACTTGATTGAACTACATATAGTGACAGGTGAAATGAAATTGTTGTAGAAAACCAAAAAACAGAAAATTCAAAATGGCAAGTGTTTAAAACCAAAAGAGTCTGAGAACCATCTAAATAGTATAATGAACCAATAAAGTCTACTTCCATCTTCTGCAATTTCCTACTCTGGTCCACTCTAACTTGGTTGGTCATTTGTGATTTTTGGTTAGATGATCAAAGGCTTTGTCTGAAAGTGAAATTTTCTCCATCAGATTCTCTGATACCTACTTCTTGTAACAGATGCATCAATGATAAGTTGCCATTTCATTGTCATCTACTATTTTAGAGCATTTGTTTATGTTGTGATCACCTGCACATCAAGCACACGGAGGTTTGTTTTTGCACCAATTCTGTGTATGACCAATTTTCCAACATTTGCAACATCAACATGGTTGTTGATGATGTTCTTGACCTGTGATTACGGTTCCTACATAAATAAAATAACCCCCCCTTTTTCTAATTTATCCGCTGATTCTTAAGTAAACAACTATTGATCTGTGTTTTTGCCAAGAACGGAGTGGCTAACCGTCTAGCTAATGTCACTAAATAGTTATCAACATTGTCATGCATGAGATGTAGAATTTCTGTTTGATTGTCTGGTGTAAAACTTGTGGGAACTCCATGTAGTAGGACCAGAAGTCTATAGTGGCTCTCAAACCTGACCCAGTTTCAAAAAACCCGGTCGCCCCAGTTGAATTTTTGGCTGGGAGCTGTCAACAAATGTCAACTTGATACACAAAGTTACTGCCAAAAACAACTGGGTCAACTGGGTTTTTTGAAAACTGGGACAGGTTTGAGAGCCACTGATGTATTGGGAAATGCTGTTGAATCATTATCTATTAGATGAGTCCATTGATGCTTGTTTTGTATAAGGAATCTAGCTTCAGAACTCCAGCCTGTAAAGAATATAATGTATTTTGAGCCTAGTTTTGCTGCACCTTTAACCCAAACTGGTTTGTTACAACCCTGGGCCAGCAACGCAGCTGTTACGCGCTGCGTTGCTGGTGTGTTGCGCTTTTTACGGGCCGCACCGTCGCGCAGCTTCAACATGTATGTTGCGGTCCGGACCGACACGTAACAAGATCCCTGAATTTGGGGTTTTTTTATGACCGCAACAATACATGTTGCGGTACGGCGCACATCCGCAAAGATACGGACGTTGCGGCTGTTACGGGCCGGGTTTTTTTTCCTAAGCCATATTTCCCGATTAGGCGAATCTTCCCTTCTTTTCATATCTCAAATCTGATCAATATCAATTAGTCTCAATCGATACGACACTATGCATTGGTTCCGTCCCAACAGGGGCAAGCCAGGGAGCGAGTGGCTTGACCGGTGTGAGGACTTGATCCTTCCGATTCAGAAGGTGAGGTTTTTTTCTTCATATCCGTTTTTTCTCTTACCTCCTTGTTGATATTGTCTGGTTTTCTTCAAATATTAGATACCTCATCAGGTTCATACGCTCGCCAGTTTAAAGAAATCACCATCTTTCTTTGTCATACTACCCACCAACCACAACATGTCGGAGAGTTCCCAAGCGAGCGAATCCAAAACAATTTCTACTAGACCTATACGAACCAGAAGGCCAGTTATCAATCCATCAATGGTTTCTCCCATGCCCGACTCACGCCGCCAATTGAGCTTGGACCAACCTGTAACCTTGAAAACCAAACGCAAAGACCCCAGTTATAATCGCAACGATGAGGACGCCGACTCTGACGGCTCGATCATGAGTAGTCACCCGGATGGACAGAAGCGCAAGAACAATCGAAAGACACCAAGCAATTCATCCCAGTCCAAGTCTCAACCAAAGAGGAAGAAGAAAGTGATATCCGATGTTGAATTGGATGACGACGAGGTAACTATTAGTATCACATTCCATTCATTTCAACATGTATATTTAACTTACTCACTTACGGTATAACTTGAAATACCACCAGGTCCAGTCTCAACCTCGCAGGAAGAAGAAGAAGAAAGTCCAATCCGACGTATTGGATGAGGATGAGGTATGTCTCAAATTCGTATGTATTTATCCAAATGACAGCTTACCATTATGACTACCGTCAAGAACATATCTTCAAATGTAACAAAAACCATGCTAAGAGCCGACTCCGATGTTGAGATCACTGGAATCATTGAGCGACCTCGTTGCAAGATCGAGACGGGTAACAGTGAATGTGACAAACTTAGGGCCTACTACGACACACCATTTCATGGGCCAGGTGATGTCAGTTTTGATTTTGTTACCTCGCTTATCTTTCACCTATTTACTTCTAACTTTGTGTTATGTTGTCAGGATGTATCAAAACCACCGCTATCGTATCCATGCCGATTCTGTAAGAAGGATCGAAAGGACCCCATCCGAGTCAGCTACAGCAACATGACAGGTATGTTGCGGGCTCACCGTGATGGATCTACCCAATCAGGACGTTCGGATGTTGGATGCCCGGGGCGCGTTAAAGCTAAACGAGAGTGTAAGGAACTTGGTATACCCATGTCGGTTGCAGAGCGACGCCAGGCAGACAGCAAGAAGTCCGGTCAAAGCCTTGACGGGTTTGTCATCACCACTCCCGGCGTCAAGTTCAACAACGAGACTTTCAACCAATTGGCTTGCGCATGGTTGATACGACACGCGCTCCCATGGTCTCGAGTCGAAGACCCCATTCTTTGAACTATGGTAGGCTATCTTCGACGTGAGGCAAAGCTCTATGGTCGCAAGTGGGCAGCTACAGAGGCCAAACATATCAATATGTCTTTGAAAGCGAATGTTTTCAATGAACTCCAGGCATGTTTTTTACGCGCACTTGACATCCTCAAATCATCTAGAACTGACATCAGTTTGTTTTCTTTACAGCAACTGACTTCACGCTTTAACCTGGTCCATGATGCGTGGACTAGTAAAGGTAACCGTCATGGCTTCATAGGCGCTTCAGTGACGTTCATCGATCCGAACTGGAACTACCACGTCCGGCATGTAGCCCTGAAGGTGGTTGCCTGGCACCATCACGGTCCCTGGCTAGCTGAGCCTATTGTCAACTTACTGGTGAAGCGTGATATATTCCATAAGATAAGAATTTTACTTTATTGTTATGTATCTTATATGTCTCATGTTTTGATATTCATCGCATACTGACACTTATTAATCGTTATCATATATTACATTCTATGCCAGACTACAGATTCCGGTTCCAACAACAAGACGATGGCTACTGAAATGCATTGACAATTTTCCTTACAACCTTCAAAAACCAACGGTATCCAGTATAAATGGAACCCCAAGAATATGCATGTATTCTGTTTTTGCCATAAGTTGGCCTTGATTGTGAATGCAGGTCTAGCCGAGCTAGGCGTGAAAGCACCACCTCCTGCAAAGGTCAAATCAGCAGCCCGGGGTCAATTTCCAACAATCGGTACTATTGCAGAAGAAGACGAGAGCACTGAAGACAATGACGAGATTACTGAACGTGACGTTGATGAGTTGGAGGAGCCCACATCAGCTGAAGAGGTGGCCACCGCAATCGAGGACGAACATGATTGGGACGTTGCTGATGCTGAGGACAAAATTGCACCAGCAGTTTTATTGGAGGAAGAGGTAGCTCCAACGCATCGGAGGGAAGCTAACCATGTAGACTTCATCCTACGCAAGGTATACTTTTGTTTCTTTTGTGTTGATTCTTTCATTATGTATCATTCATCACAGACTATCAACTTTGCATATCTCTGATTTGTTTACAGCTCGACTTTATCATTTGTCGTATAACTCGCTCTTCCTCTTGGCGTAAGGAATTCGAGCGAGTAAGTGCAAAGCACGATTTCTCAGGCTCACTTATTGCTGGATACGGTATTCGGTGGAACGTCAAATACGAAAGCAGACACAAGGCCTGGCTTGCAAGATCGGCACGTATTCTATTCATTCCTTTTCTGTCGGACTTGCATTGCACTGACATCTTATCTACACAGGTTATTGACCAAATGTGTAAAGAAGATATCAATCGAGTGCTTGCAGTTGGACGACGCCCGCGTAAGAATGGCAAGCCTTACGGGTATTTCCACCAGCTCGAAATCACGACTGCTGAGTGGGCTCAGGTCCGAAAAATTAATGTAGAACTTGAGGTAAGTGATTTATCTATTGATCACTTCAATTAAGCATAACTGTTGAAGACCCTTCCTTGTTTCTGTAGATGTTTCTGCAAACTACCCTCAAGATGGAAGGCGACGGCCCCACCGGCTGTATGGTAATCCCGGAGTATGTCGAGCTTCGACATAAGTTACAGGAAAAGATTGCAGTGCTAAGTACATCAGATGCAGTTTATCCAATGTTGGCAAAGATGTTGGCTAAAACACAAGAATACCTTGATGAGGCACTCGAATGTGAAACTCTTGTCATCGCCACCATCCTCCATCCCTTCTTCCGAATGAAATTCTTTATCAAGTGGTTTGGAGGAAAGCTCGCTGCAATCCCTATGAAAGCCGAATGTACTTTACGCCGAATTTTTTCTGATTACGAAGTTACTTCACCTTGCCAACGCCCAGGCCCTGCACATGATGATTCTGGTGATCCTTCTGATGTTACTCGGCCTGCTAATCAACCAAAGATCTTTCATGACAACACCGACGACGAAGAGGATGAGCCAACTGATACAATTGATAACTCATTAGAGAATTATTTGTGGATGTCTGACAAGATGCGTCAGAAAGATTATGATCTATCTGACCCTAAGGCGGGCCTTTTATGGTGGTCTGTAAGTGAAATTCTTTACAATGATATCTAACGCTTGATCCTGGCTACACTCCATGTTTAAACAAATCGCTCTTGTTTGTAGCATCACGAAAAGGACTACCGAGTGTTATCCATCATGGCCCGCGATTACCTGGCCACGACTGGATCATCATGTGCTGCTGAACGTATTTTCTCATGTGCTGCTGACATCTGTGCCAGCGATCGCGGCAGTCTTCTAGCACGCACAATTGAGGCCCTCGTTTCGAGCCAATTGTGGTTAAGGGAGGGTGTCTTGTTAGGGGAGGATTTCGCTGATCTTGCTGCTGTTTTGAAAGCGTTCAATGTCAAACTTGATTGAATGCATGTTTGGAGATAGTAACTAGTTACAAGTTTAGCTTAGGGATGTTGAAAATATGAATATGTTCTTCGGCTTTTAACAAAATTTGATATTTTTCTCTTCTCTACAATTTTTTGCGCTGTTGCGTTTTTTTGCACCGGTTACGCTGCGTTGCGCGACGGGCGAGCCGACGCGCAACCAGCCCTCCTAAATTCATGTTACGGTGCCGAGAGCAACGCAACACAATTTGTAGCCCGTATGCTGCGTTTTGCGGAGCAACGCAGCGCCATACGCCCATGTTGCGCTGCGCTGCGTTGCTGGCCCAGGGTTGTTTGTTATCTAGATTCATGTTTAAAGATTGTAATACTGTATTTGTCTTGTCCCTGATTTCAGCCTGAGATAAATCTGCCAATGGAGAGACTTTTGGTTGAGTATGTATTACAAAGCTGCCTGATATAAATTCATCAATCACTTGTTTCTGTGGAAGAGTAGTTGTATTTGAAATTGGAATTTTAGTTCCCTTATGTCTTTTATTTACAACATTTGCCCATTGATGTGTAGGTTGACTTTGCATGGATGTAATAACAATTGGTGGAGGAGATGTCATTGGAGTTGGTTTTGAGCTTGAACTTTTGATTATCTTCTCTAAGATATTGAGGAATTTTCTGATTTTTGGTTGTGTCCTGAAGTATAGTCATTAGCGGTGTACAAACCTACAACCCAACATGAAAACCCATGAAAAAAACCCATGAAAACCCAACTTCTTTATGGGTTTTTTTCATGGGTTTTTTTCATGGGTTGCCCTGGAAAGGTTTGAATGCCCCAACTCCCATCACAACCTAAAGAGTCACACTGACAGGCCACACGCAGCTCTAGTCATCACTTGAGGCCTTAACTTTACTCCACAATGAGTCCACATCTCTCTTTTGGCATCCACCTCAACCATGACTCCATCCACTAGCCCCAGTTTCCTTCCAAATTCGAATTTTAGTTTTAAAAGTCAAAAGTCTCATCTCTTTTTGTTTGAAATGAAACAATATCTTGTGCTTTTTCTGAAATAAAACGATCCCGTTTGAATTCGACTGAAAACAATATCTTACCTATAGAAGTATCCTCTCAAAGTCTTAGAAGTCAACTTAGCCATGTTCTTTTTGAATTGAAACAATATGTTTTTTCAATTGAAAACGATTTCTTAGTTTCCAAAGTCTCATCCAAAGTTTTGAAAGGCGACTCAGATCAGTTTTTGTTTGAAATAGAACGATCGATTGTGCTTGTTTTAAAATATAACGATTGCTTTTGAATTCTTCACATTGCAAATGACGAAACAAACCGAAGAGAGAGAAACTTTGAAATTGGAATACATCAGGTAGACAAGCAAGGTGTATTTGTTTTATGGAAGGATTTGGGTTATTTTGGGTGTGATGGTAATGAAGGGGAGGGGTTGGTTGAGTCTGTGTATATCAAGCTCATCTTTTTTTTCAACAAACGGGTGGTCAGATCTAGCCGATCTCAACCCATGAAAAAAAACCACAAAGAAGTTGGGTTTTCATGGGTTTTTTTCATGGGTTTTCATGTTGGGTTGTAGGTTTGTACACCGCTATTGAACCTTTGTTCTGAGTTTGATAATTCTGTTGATGTTTGCCATTCCCATATTTGTAATGGAGATGCTTTGCCTTTGTGTTTAGTAACCAGATAGCCAATAAAGTTGTATAAGCCTTGTTGAAATTTTGCTGCAACCATTGAGCTTCCCATTGAAGCCTTGCTGATGCTCATTCCTGTTGGGGGGGGAGGAGGAGAAATAGGAGGGGGGATTTGCAAAGGGCATATGACTGATGATTTGATGGCAAAGCAATGGTAACACTTAGATAATGTAATGGATGAGGTGTTCCATAGTGGCTGCACAATTTTTAACTGTAGTTGTTCAAAGTAGAAAACACCCCAAAAGGATTTTAAAAGGTTGTTTTGGAAAACCACAAAACGGGAGTTTTTCTTGTTGATAAGCTTCTTTTTGGATGTGGCAAATGTTCATCTTACCACTGATCATTGAAATCCAAATGAACAACTCAAAACTGGTGTGACTCAACTCACTGAAACATTTTTTCCATCCCAAACTCCAGGTCATTAAACAACTGGCCAAGACATCATCAATTGAATCATTGAATTACCACATAGTTCCTCACATTAACATTACCAGGGCTTTTTTTGAATTCAAGTCATTTTAATCATTTTAATCATTTCAAGTGAATCATTCAATTCAATTCAATTGATCCAACAACCAACCAAAAACATTTGTTTCTGGTTGTAATCCTTATCAAATCTAGAAGCATGCTCTGCACAACAGGAATTAGAGTCATTTTGATTCATCTTTCCTACAACTACACACCCAATTGACATAATTGACTTTTGCATGCAGGCTCACAGTGCAATGGAACAAAAGCATGTTTAATTGAAAAAAATTGAAATAACAAAAAAATTGTACATTAGAAAGTTGACAAAACATAAAGAAAATGAATGTGAGAAGAAATTTGAGAAAGATGCTACAGGAGAGATACAAAAGACACTTGCAAAGTAATAAAAAATCTATGTTATACATACCTAATACTGCAACACCTTCAGACTTCAGCTAAATAATGCTATCACTCAGTTTCTTTATGGGCGGTCTCCGCCGGCACCACTCTGGCCCCATGGGTTTCTTCCAGGTGCTGGATTTGGGCCTTGGCCTCATCTTTGGTTGGCAACTCCAATTTGGTGGTTTTCTGCATTTCGTTGAAGGTTCTTTCGCCATCAAATCAGTCAAAGTCTTGGTGTAAAACACGAAGAAAGTAGGTCCGATTCGCGGAAAGTAAGGGAAGTGTTCTGAAGAAATTTAATCACATCTATGATCTCTCTAAACTTGACAAGCCTGCGAGGGCTGACTGCGTGTTTGTTATGTGTACAAAGTTTAAAATCTCTCGCGAGTCGCGAGGCAAGGATGTGAGTAAACTGCATTTTATTTTACAGTGTTTTGAATTTACATGGTTTAGACAGTTTGTTTCACTTCGATCACTTTCACTTTCATCCTCATCTCATTCACACTTCTCGACCATTTCTTTTCAAACTTTCTCATTTCATCATGTCTCAAGCTCCACCTTCTCCAGCATTCGGCTCGTCATCATCCTCTAATCCATTTCCAGAAGAGACTCCACTGACAGTCAGAAGAAGACGACAATCTAACGCACCTAATTATCCAAGTCACGTTCGTACTAACTCAAGTGGAATGCCTATCGATCAAACTTTCAATTCAACCTTCATTTTAAATTATCTCAAGTCAAAATTGCCAGCTCTGGCTAGTTTGATGGTCGGGGTAATGGTGGGCTTGTTTTGTGCATCAATGTTGAGTGGTGGTGGTGTAAGTATAGTCTCACTGGATCTTGTTGGACAATTGTTTTCATTTAGAGAATTGAGTTTCTCAAAGAAATTCAATTGCAGTGAAGGGATCTTTAATCATGTTTTTTTTTCGGACTGGATTGTTTCCTTGTGTTCTTTTAGTCAGAATCTGCTCCAAGATGGCGTGGTGGGACAAGTGTACCCACTTGGACACATTCAAGGACAGCTCCACCTAAATTCTCTGTACCTAACCCATCACTCGAACAACGACTTCGAGTCTTTGAACTTCTCTCCACTCTTACCGGACATCACACTCGTACCTGTACAATGAAAGCTCAACGTGCTTATCGGCGGCAAGTCTATGAACGATACGAACCATTGATCGGTTACAACCCTCGTCATAAGCCTGCTAGTCCACTTCATCTATTACAACATATCCTTCCAGGTCGACCTCAACCTGAAGGAGAGTATGAAGGAATATCAGACGCAAAAGGTCATTCTAAGCTTAAGCTCAAAGCTCGTCGATCTCAAATTTCAGAACCTGGCTCCAAATCATCATCTTCTAACCCAGGTAACAAAGCTGTCCATCGAAAAGGTACTGGTCACAAATACTTCTTTGCAATCAATCTGTATAACTCCTTCGATGTGATTCCGGACCTTTTCTCAACAATGTTCAAGGTTTCTGCTATTCTTGGATTTCAAAATGTGTTTGTGTCGGTTTATGAGAATGGAAGTTCGGATCAGACCAAGGCCCTTCTAAGATTGTTTGATGGACTGAGTCGATCAGTAGGAATGCGTGTGGTGATTAGGACAAGTCTGAGAACTAGAGGAGCTTTTCACCATCGGATTGAGTATCTTGCTGAAGTTCGTAATGCTGCGTTAGCTCCTTTACAAGAATTAAGAGATTCAGAAGGTGAATTGTTTGATACAGTAATCTTTATGAAGTGAGTTGAATTAAAATCCTTCCTTTCTCCTTTCCAGCCTTTCCATCTCTCCTTGATCTGCAGAAATGTTTGTCTTTGTCAAAGTCTTCAAACTGATGTCGTCGCTGTTGGTTTTGTTTGCTAGTGATGTTTTGCCATGTACAGACGATTTACTCGAATTAATCTGGCAAAGCAGAAGGCAAAATGCCGGTATCACATGTGGTGCAGACTATATCTTTCACGATGAAATTGCACAGCCCGTCTTTTATGATAGTAAGGATCTTTTTGTTTATGTAACCATATTTTTTCATCAATCATAGGATTGTATCAAAATGTAAAATGACGGAACTAATTTTGATATTATTTGAATGAATCTTTCCAGATTGGGTAGCACGTGATATAAATGGAACTGCTTTAGAAAATGCACCCTTTGAGTCAATTTTCCGAGATCCACCTTCTCAACATCGATTTGAGCGACATTTACCTATTCAAGTTCAATCTTGCTGGAATGGAATCGCTATCTTAGATCCTGCACCTCTCTATGCTCATCCACGTGTTCGATTCCGTATGGCCAAACTCAGTGAAGGGGAATGTAGTGCTTCCGAATGTAGTTTGATTTGCAACGATTATTGGAACGCTGGATATGGAAGAATTGTGATGGTACCTAGGGTCAAATTGGCCTATGACAACGTATGTTGAAATCATATCTCCGTTGATTTATTTCCCTGGTATTTCATCCCAAAACTGAATTTGAGTGAAAACCGATGTTCACAGAAAGTTTGGAAGATTATCCATCCTGAACGAAAGAACTTGACGGTCATCAGAGGTTATACAAGATTAGGTGGTGCACCAGATGATCCAACGGCTGATCCACAAGATCGATCTTGGTTTGGTCCTCACGATCGACTATTTCGTCAAGAAGAAAGTGAAGCATTAGAGATGCAACCTGAACCTGACTATGGTAAGTTTTATTATTTTGTAATGATTTTTGATCAATTGCGTGATGGAGGACTAACCCCTGGTCTTGTAATAGTTTGGTGTTGGGGGTGGGATGGTGCAGGTGATATTGAAGGGCCAGATGTTGAACCGGTTTGGGAACCGACTAAGAATTTGACATTTGATCCTAGGATTGTACGCCATGATCGAAGTTTTGATTACCACTTCTGATTTCATGATTAAAAAAGGGCAAGAGAAAGGAAGGATCTCATTAACGGGCTGATGAGTTATGGGTGAGAGATTGGGTCTGAAAGCTTGAGATGAAGCAATAGGTGTATGATCTGGATAAGACTTTGGGATAAATAAATAGAATGGTCAATTGATAGAGATAGATTGAGTGAGCTATCCTATAGAAAGACTGAACGGACATAGTGCTCTTGTGATTTGTATCTTCTCCCTATCCAATTTCTCTAAGAAGACGACAATTATGATCTGCTTGAAAAAACAGAACGAATGCATTGAAAAACGAAAATACGGCAGGGTATGGAGGTACCCAGAAAGGTCTTGCAAAGGCACTGATCAGATTGAGATATGTTGACCAATTCATATTCCTCAAGACCATTTCTAGACCTCAGGTCTTAAGCTTCCTACCTATATGTATCTTTGACATATCGTTGAAAGTGTCTGAGTTTTTTGAAAACATTCTTGCTTCGACGGGACCCCGAGACAATAGGTTCCTCAACTATTTGAGTTTCGCAAAGTCCAGAAGAAGTATTGTGCCCAATGGAATTTTTAATTCTGGTAAAGCCTCACAGCTCGTCAAATAAATGTATTCAAATACACATTTTGGTGACATGACATACAAACTGTAACCGGCAGATTATCACCTCATATCACAGGGCTTCAAAGCTGACTTCACCGTGGCCCTACACATATAGTCTTAGGGCGCGTTCACTTAAGCAATTTCTGGTGAGAAATCACATTCTTAAAAATTTAAAGTATCTATTTGGTGGTGCATGTTTCATTTTTGCATCAAAATCTTTACAGAAAGTGATTTCTGGTCAGAAATTCCTTAAGTGAATGTGCCCTAAGGAGTACATCATACCTTACGTAGTTTCTTATATCTGTTTGGATCAAAGTAGAAAATGTACTCCATGAGTAACTGCATCAATGGGTGTGGTTTACACTCCAAAGAATCACAAAGCTCTAAAGAAAAATACATTTTTTTGTAACATGTTGAACTTATGTCAGCTCAAATCCCTGGTATATATCACTAAAAGGTTGTCATATGAGTGTCAGCAGCTACATTTTCTTTGAACGTATATTTGTTTGAATATATGCTCAACTCTATATTGTGAGGATAGCTTTGCCCTTTTTGATTACATCAAACAGGAACATTTGATCAGATTTTCCCTTCCTTTTCCATCTTATGGTATATACTAGACATTTTGAAAATGTTTGACAAGGAAAGGTGTTCTGTTAGCTTTTGTATCAATAACCTTGCCAGCTGATCCTGTGTATGTTTGGCTAGAGTGCCATATAGTATGAATAAAAACTTAATTTTTTGCTTGTACTTCTGGACATAAGCTGAGATATTACTACTATTCAGCAAATGTAGTCTACTGTGATTCTCAGTCTTAACTACACAGGCAAGGGCACATTGCCTTCCATTTGTGATAATTGCTGTGTGTGCCCAAGCGGGAGATCTAGAATGTACAAAGGCATGCCAATCCTGCAGCGCCTATCTTAAAAACAAAATGTTCCAAGCTACTCACAGGAGCCCTGTTGTCTGTTCCTCAGGTTGAGCAATCTTAGTTTCTTCCTTTTTCTTTTTTCCAGAGTTATGTGGTTTGCTCCCATGTTTCCTATTTCACTCATTTAGCTCATTTTCTTTTCACTATTGCTTTTGAATTTGGCAACTTAAGCTCTGTTTTGGATGCAGTTTCAGAGACAACATTGGTTGTGCTTCTCTTTTGTGGGGCATTTCACTAACTCTGTCTGATATGTGCATTCACATGGTCACTCAAAGACTATAAAAATGTTACCATTGCAAGAGTTTTTCCTTCCTTTCACATTAGCCTATCAACTAAATCCCAGTAACTCTTGCTCATCAGACCTTTCCATTAATTCAATTCAAATCCTTGTTCTGCACCTATTATCTATTCCTCCATTCTCCTATCTTGTTGTCTTACAATTCACTTTCATTGATTTTTGTTTTGCCGACAATTGGCATTGTTAACATTCCATCTATGTTTTTTGACATCTATTGGGTATTGAATTCTTGAATGCCACAGGCAACAGTAGATGAACTAATCACTCAACACCACAAGAATTCAGCCTTGCATGTGCATTCAAAACTTATATTGAGGACCCATTGTGCCTTGTAGTAAAATTGGGAATAACAGGGTTGAAAACCTTGGACAGGTTAAAAACTGGTCATATTTATCATACAGTCTTCAATTTTGTAATTAGGTTCAAGAATATTTCACCTGTTGTGGGCATGTCCGCATGTTCTCTGGTGTATATAAATTGTTCACAAGAGAACAGATATCAATGTTATCTGTATGCAAAATACTAATGACAAGAAGTACACAATTTCTTGAATGCAACTAATTACTTGGGAAGAATTATGAAAAAATTATAGTGTTACACCACAAAAAATCTACCACCTGAGTTGAGCAAGACTTGAGAAGAGAAAAAATAGATAATTTGCTATCCAATGGTGACTGATGTGTATATGCATGATGCCTTTTAGAATTAAAGGAAATATTGATGTATGCATGTATGCCATTATTGTGAAAGTGTTTATTACTTATGACACGACAGAAAACAAACAAAATGAAATAGAGTGAAAGGAAGATAATTGAGTTGTGACTTCGTGTAAAGAGACTTGCATATTAGACATGATTTTGACTTGGCCTGTGTGATTTGACAGATCAAGAGAAATGTGATGAGACATGAATGGTAAATTATGATTGGCATTGATGATACTTTGATGAGGGAATAATCCAAAGGTTCTATAGAGAAATAATTTTAGTCTGGCTTTAAACATAACCTTTGAAGAACAATTCGATAAAGTTCACAAACACATACCCGTGGATGGAGCCTTGTTATCTTTTCATTTTTGAAAGTACTATGGGCATTCCTATATCGATTATCACATCTTTCCAATGAAATCCGATTTGATAAGGTTCAAAATCCGGAAACCCTTTGCCATCTGCAAATCTTTTGACTCCATCCGAGGATACTAAGCTTCCTTCAGCTTTACGAATTCCAACTCGACCAGAAACATCAACGCCAAATTTCTTCCAAGTAGATGTACCCACACAACCTAACGTCACATCCCCTTCTTCAAGAGGTGGCTGCGCAAGTATGGTACAAATAGGCAACATATTGGTTTTGATTGGTACCCTTAACATTTCTGGACCAAAGAAGTGAAAGGTAGTTGAAAAGAATGGGATAGAGGCAAAGTTTGGTTGAAAGCAAGCATCTGCTCCATTTTTCGGACTAGCGAACGTGTAGGATTCGAGGGCATAAACTTTGATAGTCACTGAACCAGATGGCTCAGATATGAAGTCAAAATGTGCCAAATTTTTGGGGGTGTTCCAATTGGTTCTTCCTGTGTTCGTGAAGATCAAATCAGTAACCACATTCTCATGATAAGTCAATTACACAAGTTGGCTACTTGCCATTCAGTACCGATTGGAGCGAGGATACATATATGCGGGTGATCTGGGGCATGGAACCTCCGCCAAGTTCCTCTGGTACGTTGAAATTTCCAGGAATGTACATGAGTTCGTCATATGGACCTGAGGATATCCAATATATAAGCCCATGATATCTTTTAAATTATATTGATTTTTAAGAATAAAGGTAGAAGAGGAACAGACCAACGGGACTTGAAAAATATCGAACAATTTGCACCGTGCCCGCTCCACCTCGAAAGACACCAGGAGTATTTGCGAATTCACGAGACGACTGGTCGACAGGATCGAAGTGACCCGGACCAAATCGGTATTGACCAGGTTTAGGAGCTGCAGCGTCATCTTTTGGTTTACCAAACAATGAGAGCAAAAGCCACCATGCTTCACCGCGAAGTCGCCAACTTGGTGGAGCGAGCTGAAAGGGAATACGGAGGTCGGTTTTTTGCTCAGGTTCAACGAGCTCCGTGGTTTGACGTATGTTGAAAGTTTCGTGCATTTTTCTGATATAAGACAAAAAGCACAAAAAGAGTTGAGTCGGCATTCTGGAATATGTAGATGAGTGCAATACAATTGGCGCTATTTCTGAGGCTTGGAATAAGTCAGACAGAAGTACTGCCTAATAGCAGACACCCTGGGTAAATAATGAGGGGAATGAGAATGTACGAGGAAGTTCGTTAGCAACTTGACTCTACTCAACACCTGTGCTGATCAGTGTGTATACAAAGGGGCTATGTGAATGCACCTACAAACACCGTTAGAAATTGAGTGATGAATGACAATAAGCGCAATGGATGTCGGTGATAATCGAAAAACTCTGCTCTCTATCTCAGCTTGAATGGTATGTAAATGGAAGTGTCTCGAATGTGTGATAGAATTTTTAGCGCCTTAAAAAAGAAGAAACGTGAACCCAGAGTCTGGAAATAACTGTAAGAGTGTTGAAGATAAAAGAAGGTGAATGATTGGGGTGAACCAAATGAGACATAGACCAGGGAGTTTATTGGATCATGTAAAATCGATGGTGTCTGTTTGAATGGTCAATGACTGGTTTTTATTTGAAATACATAGATGTTGTCCTTCATGATATCAATTACATATCTCCGCCCAGTTAGGGAGTTCAAGCAGACATTTCTAGACATTTACATGAGCCGTTGTAAGAATCAATGGCACTTTTTTCGCCTTTTTTGGTGTACAGTCAAACCGGAAAAGCTTGCCACCAATTCCCCGCCAATTTGCTCGAGTTTTGCGGGCAAAATCGGTCAAGCTTTTCCGGTTTGACTGTATGTGTTACGCTCGATTCACAGGGGAGTATTGCCTGTCAGTTTTGTAAATTTGAACAACTGCACAGGTCATGTCACAACTTTTTCACATTAAAGGGTACTCAAGATTTGAGGAGTGGCCTCCAGAAGTGTCAAGAAGTGACATCCAGAAGTTTCTCGGACATGTTCTAACTTCTAGCTTCTGAATTCCATAAAAATCAACAAAGTCACACGCCGTCGCTCGCGACCCGAGCCCCGGAGTACTCCAAGGGCTGCAAAGCGTTTTAAGACCCGCCAAATCGGGGATCCCCGCGGTACATCCCGGCGGGTGGCTTACTTAAAGTATGCACACGTACATACTTTTTTTGGCGGGGAAAGAGAAAAAAAATACTTTTGGCCTCGGTCTTGTGATGTATAGAAGGATTTGAAGATGTTGCAACAGTTGTTATGCGCTTTTTCTCTTTTTATATCTCGCAGGACGTGTTATTTTGTTTAGCTCAGCATTTCATTTCAAGTTATGACGTCATGACGGTTATATTTCGCATTTTATGATTATGTTATCTTATATTTTGTTAGTATTTAGACAGAGTGTTTGTTTCTCTTTTGGCTCGATTCTCTCTTTCTTTATCGAGTTTTCTTGTTTCATTAGATCATCATCATCTATTCTTTGGGTAAAGAAATATTGTTACGCTTACAGGAATTATCTTAGGAGAGATTCCGGATTCAGTTACTAAGGAGTTCTGGATTCTTAAACCATAAGCTAGATCACTACATTAAAACTCAATCTTTCATCATTCTTTCTCTCACTCCGTATTCACGAGTATTTGAAATCGATAAACAAGTACACCAAGGGGTTGTATTCATTCTCCTTACCAAAAGAAGATTGGACAAGGATCGAAAAGTCGCTATCAAAAGCAGTAAACAATCCATCATTTATTTTAAAAGATTCATCTCATTTTCTGGAAAGAAAATCAAAAAAAAAAAAATTGCGGCCTAGGGGCTATAGAAAATACAAACTCATCATTCTTAAATTTTTTCTTTTGTTTTATTCTTTACATTTTTCTTTTCAGTTTTAAAAACCTTTTGATTCTAGTTAAGTCATGAGCAACGACAGCACCGAGTCAGCTTCAGAGCTTACTTCCGATCAAGGAAGGTCAAATACGACTGCTCGAGGCTCACCATCCGGTAACGTTCAAATGTCTGATGTGACTCCTCGAAACTCTCCTGGAAATCTCCGCGAACCGCGTCCTTCATTCAATACTACATCAGGCGTTTCCGAAAACAGCATCGGTTCTAGTGTGGTCACTCAGCATGATTTGGAGGCCTGTTTAAGGCGTATTGAGGAACACTTTGAGAGTTCAATTGATCGACTAACCCGGAACTTAGTTGCCCCTTCACAGATTGACAAGATCACCAGTCGTCTCGATCAGCTTTCGGTTTTGTCACCTACCCAGACCACTCAAGGTCCTTATCGAGCTCGGATGGGTCCTACCATGTACACCAGACCCCAGCCAAACCTTGGTTTTCCCATGCCTGCTGGGTTTCAGCAGCGCTTTGTAGAGCCTTTTTCCCACTTGCAGGTTCCTCATCCTGTTCGACCAGCCGTAAATCATCAACCGTCCCAGGAACCGGTAGGTGTCACTGCAGCACCGGCTAACACTACGCGTTTCCATCCAGCTACTCCACCTCATCAGGCTGGGTATACTACTGCAGCGGCAACGCCAACTGCGACACCGCCCGCTCAACGTTTCAATCCAACCGTTCCAATCCCAGTCGTTCACACGCAAGCGCCTTCGCCCGCTCCTGCTCAAACCTTTCCGGTCCGCAATGCTTTGCCAGGTCCTCGCTACGACGCTGTTCCCGCGCAACATATCGAACCAACCTATGTTATTGCCGAGCCTCCGGTGGCACGCGACATCTTTTTCTCTGGTCGTCCATCTGACTTGCGTGATTTTTTGCAAGACATCTGCAATGCTGTGCGTAATTTCGGTGACTGTTTTGCTAACGACTCTCGCCGTATCAACTGGATTGCCCGCCATTTCCGCTCTCGCGACAACCGCGGTAACACTTTTGATTCGGCTGCCCACAGTTGGTTCAACGGACTATTAGCAACTAACGCGCACGCTCTGGGTCAATGGAGTGAATACGCTGATTTAAAAAGCTTTGAGTATGTAATTCCCGAGCTTTCATCGATGCAAGGTTTCCTCACTGCTATGGTCAACAATTTTCGAGACGTAAACTCTGCAAGAGTGGCTAACGATGCTTTGAAGAGGTTCAAGCAGGGGACTATGGATTTGGTGGAGTATAATGCTAATTTCCGCACGATGGCCGCGCATACCAGTCTCAACACCGCCGGCACTCCGCTCCGCTTCGCTATAATTGCAAAATTTACGAGCGGAGCGTTTTGGCGCTATTATAAAGCGCCAATGGCTACACTATAATTTTGGAAGTGCTATGAGTTCTCAGAGCGGTGCGGCCTTTAAAATTGCTTCGCTCCGCTATGATGAAATCTCATGATGTTTAGCGCCTAAAAGCGCAGTCCGGTAGGGGTTTTTTGCTTTAAGATGTGTTTAGCAGGGTGGGGGTATGACGGATGGAACAAGCAAAACAAAAGAACACGCACAATTTATGTGCTGTTACAATTTATTCAACTTTGTAATGAAATTGTCATACAAACAGATAGATATACTGTGGGTGGAAGGCAAGCTTATGGGACACAAGCATGAAATACTAACACACCAGCATACTTCAGGTGCTTCTCGCCAAGCTCACCCGGTGGGTTTTCATGTTGAGGGACAAGAGTAGACAAGAATGTATGTTTTTTACCCTCACCATATGAACCTGATGATAATAATTGACTTACATTTGGTTTATTTTCAATCGGTTCATTATCTTTACTTGGATCGATTGATCGATTGATTAAATCAAGAAGAAAACGATGATTATCTTCAATGGATCGATGAAAGATGGGATTCTGATTCAGGTGGATTTACCGTTCATCCTGATGTAGATTTAAGAATGGTATGTCACCTTCATCTTGATTATCTCTCTGAAGGATTTGACTAAAATTCCCTTTTCTTGATCGCTATAGCATAGTAATCCAGAGGAATCTCTGAACCAACCTCATATCGTCCATACTTCTGCAGCTCTTCTATTACTTGCTTTACTCTCTACGCCTCAGTCGGATAACCCAAAGCCTACTAATCCTTACACTGCTTGGGACGTTCCCGAACTCTTGAAATTCATTGTTGATTGCCAACGATCAAACGGAAGGTTCATAAGCTTACATTTGTGTTCAACGTTCATTTCAATTAGATAACCTGAAACTCGATTTCAATCGTTTCGATTTTGATCATTTAGTTTTGGTACATTTCCTACTTCTACAGAACAAGATGTTAGATTTGTTTATTGCGCTACTGCAATCTGTGTGATCTGGAGAATCGATCCTAAAACAGTGATCAATGTTCAATCAACTGTAGATTTCTTAGTGTCTTGTAGGGCAAGTTTTCAAATTATATCAATTTTTTTAACCCTCATCACAGATTTCCAATATTGTATTTTTGAAAATCAGCGCTACAATGGTGGATATGGCCAAGCCCCTTTTTTAAAATCTCAAGGGGAACAACGTATTATGTCTTAGTAATAGCATCTCTTAATTTGTTAAACAAACTTGATGATAGCCTTTTGTCTGAAGACGCTTTAGAAACTGCCAGATGGTTAGTACATACATATGTACAAGCCTCAAGGGACTCTCACTGCATGTCTTGGGTTGCCATGAGGCGCCATGGCGCTAAGCGCTCGTAGGCGCTGCAACACCTCATAGCACAGTGGAATTCCGCTATAGACTGCGAACCTGAAAACCGCTATATGTGTGGGAGGTTTCGCCATAGCTATAGCCCGGCGAAAATACCGCTATGGGTTGAAACGGGTAGCGCGGGCGGAGCGCGCGCTCTGCTGCCGCTATCCCGGGCGGAGCGCCGGTGGTGTTGCCAGTCTCAGCATCGATTCCCAGCTAGGAATTTATGAAGCCAACCTGTCTCCGGCCATCTTTGGAGCAGCCATTGGATTTCGTGAATGGGCTCGCGCGTCTTCGCTAGACGAGCGCATGTCTTTGGCAGTCGAGGCGGCAGCTATGGCGTCTCGGTATGCGACCTTGCCAGCGGATCATCCATTCAGCACCCGCCGTTCTTGATATAACGTCCCAGTTACTCAGCCGGTTCAGCACCATCACCCTACCCCGGTTCGTGTTCCCGTCGACCCTAATGCGATGCAAATCGATGCAATTACTGCCGGCGGTGATGCCGCCCCTGCGTTGAAATCAGCTGTTTGACGAGTATGTTGGGGGAAACATCTTTGTTTCAACTGTTTGGGTCCTAAATGTCCCCGACAAAATCAACCCAACCAGCCTTTCTGCCCCAATGCCCCAGCTTTGCCTCAAGAGTTGCTTGCTTTTCTTCGCCTCCACAACCCCAGCAATGTCCACGCCCGCAAAGCATCAGTCGCGCCAGTTGTCATCGCCCCTCTTGCGACCACCACCCCGGTGCCATCCACGTCTACTGCACCTGCTCGTTCAGCTGCTGTCACGGTGGAAGCTCAATGGTTGTCTTTGATGGGAAGTGAAAACGCCAAAGAAATGGAACGCATGACCGCTGAGCACTTGGCGTGGGAGCACGACTTGCATGCTATGGATGCTGAGCCAAGCGTAAGCACTTTGTGTATCAGCCCTCTTCCTTCTTTCCCTACCAGGTTCTGCGTGGGTTTGAAACTCGTATTGGGATCCTCGTCCGTGCTTGTCCAAGCATTGGTGGATACGGAAGCTATGGAATCATTCGTCCATAAGAGAGTTGCTCAACGGTATGGCTTGTTAACTAACACATTACCCTCCCCTCTGACTTGTTCTGGGTTTGACGGTACTCCAGGCGGGGAGTTAGTTACTCAGTCGTGGAAAGGGGTTGGCCGTTTGACTAACGGAGTTGATGAGTCGAAGGATCTAGATTTCGACCTGAAAGTCAACAACATCGGCAATTATGACGTCATTCTAGGATTGCCATGGTTAAACTCACATCGCACGGTTATTCATTGCGGAGAAGCAGGTAGAGGTATAGAGGTCGGGTCGTTGGTGGTTTTGTGTGATGGCGATGGTTTTCCTTCTTTCCCTTTAGATTCGGGTTCTTTTTCAGATTCTCTTTGTACCGCAGGCGACCAGTTTGATGTTTCTTCAGTTGAGGAACTCGACGAAATCAAGAAATTTATTCCGCGCCGTTTTCATCAGTTCGCAGATGTGTTTTTGCCACAGCAGACGTCCCTTCCCCCCCATCGTAAGCACGACGTAGAGATTAACCTCAAGGAAGGTTGTGAACCCCCAACAAGCAGAGCTTATGACCTTTCTGCTAGTGACGAGGCTGAGTTGAAGGTTTGGATTGATGATCAACTTGCCAAAGGGTTTATTCGCCCTTCGTCCTCCCCAGCGTCTGCTCCAGCCTTTTTGGCGAAAAGCCCAGGTAGGAAAAATCGTCCTTGTATTGACTATCGTGGTTTGAATAAAATCACGGTGCGGGATAGTTATCCTATTCCTTTGATAAAAACCCTCCTGAGTCGTGTCCGTGGATGGAAAAGGTACGCAAAGATTGATTTAAAAGCGGCATTTAACCTCCTCCGTATTGCAGCAGGCCACGAGTGGAAGACGGCGTTTCGAGCGCCTGGTGGGTTGTATGAATCTTTAGTTTTGCCATTCGGGCTGGCTAATGGACCGGCGGTATTCCAATGTTTCATCCAAGATGTATTACATGAATACCTTGACGTCTTCTGCTTTGTGTACCTAGATGATATCCTGATTTTTTCCAAGGATGACGAATCTCATGCAGACCATATCAAGAAAGTTCTTTGGAAATTACGCGAGCACCACCTGCAAGCATCCCTGTCCAAGTGCGAGTTTTTCAAGGAACAAGTAGTGTTCTTAGGTTTCGTGGTCTCTACTACAGGATTACGCATGGACCCAGCTAAGCTGTCTACGATTAAGGAGTGGCCCTTTCCAGCCAACATTGCGGAGTTGCGCCGTTTCCTGGGTTTCACTAACTTTTATAGGCGGTTCATACCGAGGTCTTCGGCGGAAGTTTCCCGACTCACAGACCTTACTAAGAAGGACGCGGATGTGGCGTTAGGTTTGGCAGACGCATCTACCAGGAACGCTTTTACGTCCTTGATCGCTGCATTCACGTCGGCACCTTTTCTCAAGCATTTTGATTTCGAGGCGAAACGGGTTCTTCAAGTCGATTCCAGTGCATATGCCTTTTCGGCGATATTGTCGCAGCCGGACGGCATGGGGAAGCTCGTGCCTGTTTGTTATTACTCCAAAAAGTTGTCGCCGGCTGAGACTTGTTGGCAGACGCACGATCAAGAGTTAGGAGCGATCATTGCTGCTTTTAAAGAATGGTGGTCGTGGTTGATGGGAGCAAACGAACAAGTAGTTGTGTTTTCAGACCATGCTAACCTGCGGTATTTTATGGAAGGAAGATCGCTTACTCCTCGGCAATCACGATGGGAGGCTTTCCTCTCCTCTTTCAACTTCGTCATTATGCACACTCCGGGAAAGCTCAATCCGGCGGATCCGGCGTCGCGGAGGCCAGACTTTATCGACGGCACACCACCAGCGGCTCTGGTTTTGTTTAAATCAATTGCAGGAAGAGCTCAATCCGGCGGATCCGGCGTCGCGGAGGCCAGACTTTATCGACGGCACACCACCAGCGGCTCTGGTTTTGTTTAAATCAATTGCAGGAAGTCCGGTCGACGCTATCCAAATTTCGGAGGATGGGGTTCAGTTTGATTTAGGTTTTGCACAACCGACCACTGATTTACTCGCTAAGATTTGTTCAGGGTACAAAGCGGACGCCTTTCTCAACGAAGTGATCGTTCCAGGAGCCTCCGCCCAAGGTTTTCGTTTCACAGATGACGTTTGGTGGTATAAAGGTTGAGTCTATGTTCCAGCAGTCTTGCACGAGGAGGTTTTGTCTGCTTACCATGCCAGGCCTTTGTCAGGTCATTGGGGAGTGGCAAAGACGGTGGACTTACTTGCCAGGTCTTTTGCGTGGAAAGGCTTGCAACTTGATGCTCTGAATTTTGTTAAAATTTGTCATAGTTGTCAGCAGGTGAATCGGGATTTACGACCACGGCAGGGAACTATGATGCCATTGTCCATTCCAGATAGGCCATGGTCAACCATTGGTGTGGATTTTATTGTGAAGCTGCCTGTGTCGGAGGGTTTCGATTCAATAATGGTGATAGTGGACCATTATTCAAAGTCTACGCACTTCATTAAAGCGCGGGAAAAATGGTCCTCAGCGGACTTGGCTAATGCATTTGTAGATCAGTTTTTTAGGTTGCATGGACTACCTGACAAGATAGTATCAGATCGGGGTTCTATTTTCATGAGCTCGTTTTGGACTGCAGTTTGTAAGCTTTTATGCATCTCACCAGCGCCGTCTACTGCCTTCCATCCTCAGACGGACGGGCAGGTTGAGCGCCTGAATGCGGTTTTGGAAGACTACCTGCGTCGCTTTGTAGGCGAGAAACAAAATGATTGGGCACGCTTGTTGCCGATGGCGGAGTTTGCGAACAATAATTCTGTGTCCGCTTCCACAGGGTTTTCACCTTTCTTCGCTTGCACAGGTTTTCATCCTAGGTTTAACTCTTTAACTCATTCATCCAGTGTTCCACAGGCAGATGAATTCATCCAGCACATTCAGGACATTCAAACTCGATTGGAAGGCCACTTGAGGGAAGCAAAGCGACGACAGGCGGCTTATTATGACGACGAAAAGAGGGTAGATGTGATTTACCGGCCTGGTGATTTAGTGCGGTTGTCTAGGAAATACATCAAGACGAGGAGACCATCACAGAAATTAGATTTCCGTAGGATAGGTCCCTTCTTGGTGGTGCGGATGGTGGGTAAGAATGCTCTTGAACTATCTTTGCCCCCAGAGTACGCCAGGTTGCATCCTGTCTTCAATGTTTCGCTCGTTATGCCAGTAGTTGACGATACTGACGAATTGAAGGTCTTGCCAGAAAATGAGTTACAGGAAGGTTTGAGTGCGCGAGGAATGGCTAGGTGGTTGTCAGTAGAAGTTATATTGGACCATAGGCTGACACATTCTGGGCATGAGTATTTGCTTAGGACAGAACCATCAGGTGTGAATGACAGCTGGGTACCTCTGGAGAAGATGTCACGGGGTCTGGATGTGTTTGTTCAGGCTTATCACGAAATTCATGTGGATCATCTTCGCCCCCAATGGGAAGTTTTCGAAGATCTATCACGACCAGATTTAGGTTACGTGGCAGATGCGTAGTAGAGAAAAATGGGGTATAAGGGGAATTACTTTTGTGATGTATAGAAGGATTTGAAGATGTTGCAACAGTTGTTATGCGCTTTTTCTCTTTTTATATCTTGCAGGACGTGTTATTTTGTTTAGCTCAGCATTTCATTTCAAGTTATGACGTCATGACGGTTATATTTCGCATTTTATGATTATGTTATCTTATATTTTGTTAGTATTTAGACAGAGTGTTTGTTTCTCTTTTGGCTCGATTCTCTCTTTCTTTATCGAGTTTTCTTGTTTCATTAGATCATCATCATCTATTCTTTGGGTAAAGAAATATTGTTACGCTTACAGGAATTATCTTAGGAGAGATTCCGGATTCAGTTACTAAGGAGTTCTGGATTCTTAAACCATAAGCTAGATCACTACAGGTCTCCCCGCCAAAAAAAAGTATGCAGCAAAAAGTAAGGGATTTCCAGCAAAATTGCTTGAAAAACCCGCTGGTCTCAGGTCAAGCTCGGGGTATCAGCCCTAAGCCCCTTTTCGAGAGCGGACGTGGCCGCGTCGGAAGAGGGGCTTGATTAAGCTTACCTTTTCGCCCACTTTTGCCCATGTCCAACGATCCTCGAATGCTCCATGTTGAGTTCATACAGTGTGTTCTCGCCGCATCGTGTCGCCAGAGCTATTCTTGTCCAGCTTTTCGGCTGGTTGATTTACGGATGATTGGTGATGATTTCACAAAGCTTGCCGAGAGGAAAGGCGCAAATCACATTGTGGCGTCACGATGCATTATTACACGTGATGTCCATTTTCTTGCCCACAATCAGCGTGGTGCGAATGCTCTTGTACCTTCTGTGAGCACGCCCGGCTGACCTAGACCACCCTGGGGCAGAGCTCGCAACGGCATCAGACCTCCTACCGTGCGAGTATTTGCATCGGTGCACAAGGTGGCCAGTAGCTGCGCAGCTGTTGTCTATAAAAATGACAGAGTTGTTGTGGCTCCTCAAGATACCATATCCTGAGTTAAGTTTGATCCTGTCCATACCCTTGATATATTTAAACACAACCCAAATACGCTCAACCCTGTGTCTTGAAACTACCAAGTAAATCAGCTCCTCAAACCTCTGTGACTGAACTCATCCCTTATCTTCATAATCACAACATCTACCTTTGAGGATATCGACATGACTTGCATTGGATCCTTTCTGGCTGTTTCCTCTGTTATGGTTTGGCTTCTGAGTCTCTGCGCACAATGTGAACATTATCTTTCACCAATCAGAAAACCTCTGCAAACTCATCTCAAAGGCTTCACAAGTGTGAAAACGGACTGCGATAGAGAAGTTCAGGATGATTGCGTTGTGAGTCTTGCAAAAACTTTTGATTTTTACTACGAATATTGAAATCTTGGGTCTATTAAGAAAAAATCGCGTCAATTTGAGTCCAGCTGCGGCAAGGAAAACTTTCTATGTCTCTGCCTGTGAGAACTTCTTTCAACCGTTCCTCTGAACTTCAAAAGGAGTACAAAAATTAACGTGTCCTGTCCAACCATGCTCCAGTGCTTACGCGAATCTAGCAGCATGCTTCGACGCTCAATCCGGTACAATCCAACATACTGTCTACAAAGGTCATTCACAACATTATTGTGCTCAAGCAAGACTTGGCCGCACGAAACTTGGGACAGAGACTCCCACTACGACTAAGACTGCTGGAGGAAGCGAACAAACAGGGACGCATAAATAGCCTGAAGAAAGCTTGACTATGTCCTTTTTGGATGACGTTACAAAATTGTTAACTTTTCATCCACAGCTTGATCCATCATTTTTTGGATAGTGCTCGTGTGAACGTTGGTAAAGGAGTCTCGACATATCTTGTTTCTCATCTTCTTTTTTATTGGTATCAGAGCTCAAGGGCCTTGTTTTGTTGTCCATCCCGATTCTATGTGTCTAATGTGAATTACCGATTTCTCTTTGTATTGGTCGCTCAAACGCTGTTGAACGATAGTGTGATCATATACCTCCGGAACTCGTTTTGCATCGTTTGGGCTTTCATGTTTTGATATATCTATGACTGATACGTTTCTGCCAATGAATACCTGTGTAAGACCTACACCGATAGCTTGACCAGATCACATGCCATACAATGTTTCCATCAGTTTACTTGCGCACTCCCACTTCACATCATCCCACCTCTCGACGAAAACACCATACACAGATTGGATTGAGTGAACGCTACGCTATCACATCCTCTTCTTTAGTCTTGGCGGTAGGTGTCTCCGTGTAGCTGATTATTGTGAGTGTGGGCTCAGCACAATGTTGGTCTTCGATGTGCAAAGGTCTGAGTCGGATGACCGTCGCTTGAAATCTCCTTGCCGGAATTCCGTTCTCTTGAACTTGAGGTCAAGGCAAAATTGGCTGTACCCTTACTTGTTAGGTTGCTTCCTGTTGCTTCCCTTTCTAAGTCTTACACAGTTTTCATTCCACACGTTGAAACTCCCAGGAATGTGGAAATATTTTCTGATTCACCTATGTTTGTATAAAAATCTCTTGTGAAGCCTTTTTGGAGCTTTATAATTCTGACTTCCCAAACAAACTTGATATACAGAGGCGCGTCGCAGCAAATCGGTTCAAAAGTCAGAGAGCTTCATTCTTTCATGAAGGCTCAAGCTTTCCGGATTTGCCCAAGCAAAGGAATATCATCCAAAACGAAACAAAAAACAATAGGCAACAGTTGAAAAGCCATCTGCGCGTCGGTTTCCTGTTATGGTTGCTGGATGGGGTGGCTCGTGTTCAATATCCATTGAACCCTTTCAATCAATCCCCCCACGCGGTTGAAGTGAGGAAGAAAAGCACATATAGGTTAGACTAAAACACACAAAACAAGATTGTTCGTAAGTAATCCTGTAATGCATTCTCCATGACTGGCAGTCAACAAAGTAGGGCCCCATCAATACCCTACCGAACGGCTACCGAATCCGGCGTGAACAAAAGAAATCAATTCCCTTGTTTGTTTGTGATTCACTCTAGGAAATGGTTGAAAAAGTCAAACTTGTCGATCGTGCTTTCACGTTGTCAAACGAAAAGCAGTAGTTGAGGCATATAAATCGTGAGTCAACTCCATCCTCAAATATCCTTTCATCTTTAACCATCAGTTCTTACCCCCAGAATCAACAAAATTCTCTATTATCATTCGACACAACCATTTCAAATTTTCAACTCAAACTCACATCCAATCCTCTTATTTCATTCTAAATGTCAGTCCCGACTTCTGCCTCGTCTCTCAAGGACAACCATAAGGAAGGTTCTGCTTCATTAGAAAGCTCAGCAAAAGATTCGCAACAAGGTGCACAACCCAAAACCAACATCGATTTGAGCAAGCTAGATATATCAACCCTTTCTAGTGAGGAACTTGAATTCTTACAAGACATCACTGATAAAAGAGGACGTTCAAGGTTTCCTGATTTGGGGGACCGTCACCAATGTATTAGAAAACCAAATAAAAAAACTAGACCATCTTCAGACCTTACCTCAAGTAGTTCCGGTCTCTTTACTCCACCCAGCTCTACTGCTAAACCTCAAACCCAACCCACTTCTGAAACCCAAGAAACTTCTGCCCTCGAGGAAGGGGAAATCGTTATACCTCAACTATATCCTTCCGCACAGAGTCAAGCCACGCGATCTTTAAGACCAGAAGATAAAGAATATTTATTAAGATACGGTTGTATCCGCGCCGCTCCTAGTCGAAAATGAACAGCACTCTAACAACTCTGCACTTGAATCAACTTTCACCAAACCTGAACAAACGTGGATTCTTGGATCCCAGAAGAGGTTCGGCACCAGAGAAAAATTTAGACATATGTAACTCATCTTGGATCATGAATGTTGTAAAAACTGAACAATGTATCATTCTTGCAATCGGCATTTCTCCTTGCTCCAATTTGTATCTCTATTTCCCCAGTTTTCTTGAAAGAGATTCCTTGGTTTTGTATTCGAAGCGTTTTGTGTTATTGATATGAAAATGTAACTTATACAAACATCCCCGACCCAGCAGTGTATTATCTGTTGTATCACGCCGAAACTAGGCACATCTCATGCCGTGCGACTGCGTCTCTTCTCCTTGTTTGATTCTAGCCTGTTTGCAAGATGTCTTGGATCAAGAGCGCCAGCGCGGTGTAAAGATCCAGACTTGCAAGGCTGGTATACATCTTGAAGTGCCCGAAATGAGCCTTACAGTATCAAAATCAAATGGTACTTGGCTCACATCTGGCTGGTTTGAAGGCGAATGTATCATTGCCAAGCGTCCGTCCGATGAAATTCAAAAACTATTTCTCCTTGCTAAAAGTTACAGGTAATATGAATTTATTGGTCATGGAATAGATCGTAGACAGGAGCGCGAGACTGAGATGGGTAGACAGTCAGTAAGAGAAAACATAATCAGATAAGCAAATTTTTCATGATGGAAGACCGGCATCTGGAAGCCTCTCAATGGCATATTGTTTTTGTTTTATGAACATCAACTTTTTGTTCAAGAAGTTATGTTTTTTGCAAATGTCGAGGGGAGAGAAGATCAGAATCATTAGTATATGATCAAAGACAACAAGAAAAGGTTGAAAATTGGACGCACTGGAACACCTGGTATCTTCCGTAACCTCCTCCTCAGTCCTCTATCACAAGTTGCCACAATATAACATCGATGTGCAGTAACTCTTTGAACGATACAATCATCTGCATAGGTACCTTTGTGATTACAAGGTAAACGTTCTACCCTTGGATCTCTTGCAAGATTTAATGCTAAACGATAACGAGTACCCAGTTTCTCAAGTTCGGCTATCACACAATCAGAGACACATGGAATTGCTTTGGCATAAAGACAATCTAGCATGCCTTTAATTAAATCAATTCGGTTGGTTAATGAAAGGTTCAAGAAATTGGTATCTACTAAGACTCGGTATGGTGGAGCAAGAGCTGTGTTATGCGTTAAGAAGAGTGAAGTAGGTGTAGGTGCACTGTAGAAGAGGTGATTTTCATTGACTCAGTTTTGTAAACGTTCAAATGTGTAATGAAAGTGACTCATGTGATAAATGACCTACACATAATTTTTTGCTGCTGCTGCTTCTTTTTCTTTTTTCTTTTCCGCTTTTTCTTGATTAGATGCCAAACGAGAGTCATTAGGATTGATCATCTTTTTGACTGCGGCAAACTTTCGAAACTTGGGTGCTTTTGGCTAGTGAAATAGAACCAGTTATCAGTTTGGGAGGGTTTATCAGAGATTGTAAGGCATATTTGTTTTTACTTACCATTTTGAAGATCAATACTTGGTTTCTTAGTTTGATGAGCTGTTAGTTGGAAATGTTGTGAGTTGAGTTGAATTCTGTTTTTGGATATGTACGATGAAAATTTGAGCAGAGGGTGACAGTTTAGCTAGATACTGATGACATCCAATTCAGACTTTCCCGGGGCAAACACTCAAGGGACATGGAGAGCGACAGTGATAGACAGGGATATCACAGACCCCAAAGACTTCTAGCAAGATCGAGAAGTGTCGAATTGACTGCTGCGGTTGATTGGTTTCCGCAGTTCACTTAGCTCACAAATTTTTTCAAATTCCCGGTTTCTGTTCGAAGGGAAACAAGGAAAGAACCATTAAAATACCTCATTCGTCTCAGCTTACGAACCAACCATCCATATATACCAACGTCAGTATCACCCTCTATCAAAAGAACATCCTGTCATCCTAACATTCTTGTCTGGTCATATCTAACCTTTATTCATCTTTCCTTCCATTTCACAGTGATCTAGAAACCCCAACCAGAAATCCTTAATTCATTTCCTATTCCTATCATGAATTCTGCTGCTCGATTTTCCCGGTCAATCAGGCCATCTTCCCTAAACTCTTCATACTTCTCACGTCTATCAACACCAACAAGTCTTACATCAAGTCGACTTAACCAGAATCGATGGTCATCAACAGATGGCAAGGTTTCAGGGCCTGTTATTGGAATCGATCTTGGTACCACTAACTCTTGTGTCTCAGTCATGGAAGGCAAAACCCCAAGAGTGATTGAAAACGCTGAGGGTGGTCGAACAACACCTTCTGTTGTTGCTTTCACAAAGGAAGGCGAGAAACTTGTTGGTATTCCTGCAAAACGTCAAGCTTTGGTAAAGTACGTCACATCTCATTAAAGATGCTATCTCTTTGCCCTCGCTTTTCTGCACTCGTGTCTTATTCTTTGAGTCCCATCTGACTGTACTGAACTGGGTGACTTTTCCTATCCTTCAGCTACGAAAATACTTTCTTTGCTACAAAACGTCTTCTGGGCCGGAAATTCACGGACGCCGAAGTTCAAAAAGACATCAACCAGGTGCCTTATAAAATTGTCAAACATTCCAATGGTGATGCCTGGCTTGAGGCTCGTGGTCTGAAGTACAGTCCAAGTCAGATCGGTGGTTACGTAGTCCAGAAGATGAAGGAGACTGCTGAGGGTTACCTGACAAAGGAGGTCAAACACGCAGGTCAGTTGTGACATTTATCTTCTATGTAAACATCCCTCTCACCGCGCTAGTCTGTCTTACTCACCAAACCATTGTCTTTGCGATCGCAGTTATCACCGTCCCAGCTTACTTCAACGACGCCCAACGACAAGCCACTAAAGATGCTGGTGCCATTGCCAAGCTTGAAGTTTTACGAGTCATCAACGAACCCACAGCTGCTGCCTTGGCCTACGGTCTTGATCGAGATGAGTCTCGTCAAATTGCTGTTTACGATTTGGGAGGTGGTACCTTTGATGTCTCAATTCTCGAGATGCAAAAGGGTGTATTCGAGGTCAAATCAACAAACGGAGACACCCATCTCGGTGGTGAAGATTTCGATATTGCTCTTGTTGACCACATCATTTCCGAGTTCAAGAAGGACACTGGTATTGATCTAAGCAAGGATCGAATGGCCATCCAACGAATTCGAGAGGCCGCCGAGAAAGCCAAGATTGAACTATCATCTACCGCTCAGACCGATATCAACCTACCCTTCATCACTGCTGACGCAACCGGACCCAAACACATTGACATTAAGCTTGGTCGTGCCAAGTTTGAGGCCTTGGTTTCAAACTTAGTATCAAAGACTGTCGACCCTTGTAAAAAGGCCATTGCCGACGCCGGTATCAAGAAGGAAGAGATTGATGATGTCCTACTAGTTGGTGGTATGACTCGAATGCCTCGTGTGATCGAAACTGTCAAGTCGCTCTTTGGTCGTGAACCCAGCAAAGGTGTCAACCCTGATGAAGCTGTTGCAGTCGGAGCTTCAATCCAAGCCGGTGTCTTATCTGGATCCGTCACCGATGTTCTCTTGCTCGATGTCACCCCTCTATCTCTCGGTATCGAGACCCTTGGCGGTGTTTTCACACGACGTAAGTCATCCATTTTCTCTTCTGAGTCAGCGTTGATATTGATTTACTTTGTTTCCGGAACGAACAAATGTCTTCATAGTGATCAACCGAAACACCACTATCCCTACTAAGAAGTCGTCTGTCTTCTCCACTGCTGCTGATGGACAGACTGCCGTTGACATCAAGGTCTTCCAAGGTGAACGAGAACTTGTACGAGACAACAAACTACTTGGCAACTTCCAATTGGTCGGTATCCCACCTGCACCCAAGGGAATTCCTCAAATCGAAGTCACCTTTGACATCAATGCCGATGGTATCGTTGATGTTTCTGCTAAAGACAAAGCCACCGTAAGTGCTCTCTTTGAGTCTCAAAATATACATAGCTCATTTCCTGACGCATATGATTGTGGATTGCGTTCGGATGACAGAACAAGGAGCAATCCATTGTAATTGCTGCATCATCTGGATTATCTGACAAGGAAATTGAGCGAATGATGACTGAAGCCGAACAACATGCGGAATCCGACAAAGAACGTCGATCGGTGATCGAATCTGCCAACCAAGCTGACAGTGTCTGTGCCGATACCGATAAGGCTTTGAAGGAGTTTGGTGACAAGGTTCCAGCAGAGGAGAAGGAGGAAGTTAGCAAGCTTGTTGCCGAATTACGTGATTTGGCTGTCAAAGCTCAAAGTGGAGATGAGTCAATCAAGGCTGACCAGATTAAGGATGCTATTGGAAAGACCCAACAAAAGAGTCTAGGTCTCTTTGCCAAGGTAAGTCAACGTTTTATGTGAATTGGTGGAGACTAAGATCCCTGACGATGAATCTTTTGACTGTTTGAATAGGTTTATGAGGCCCGTGCCAAAGCTGATGCACCAGCCGAAGGTGAATCTACAGAGTCCAAATCTACCACCGAAGGTGGTGAAGAGAAGAAGAAAGAGTAAGGAAAAAGACTCGTAACTTGAAAATGTGTGTTTCCGGACACATGAAAAAGCAATGAGAATCTTCAAAAAGAAATCCAAGTGCGAGTGTATGTGACGTTATCATACACAGACCACAAACATACCACCATTCTATTAACTAGAAACTTTCCACTACTTTTTATAATGTCGTATGATTTTATGCTTCCATTTTTTTGTTCTAAAAAGAAAAGGGAAGAAATCAGTATAGATCTGTTTTTTTTGTGAATATTAAACCAATTTATATATACATATACATCCCAATTCCTTTCTTTTTTCATTCTATCGTGTTTTTTAATTCATTTGATCTTGGGTGAAGTTATTTTTTTTTACTTTTGCCGCCTGTATTTGTTTGTGTGACCTTACAATTTGCAGAAAGAAAATCACCATTCATAGAATGAAGAAATCCTTCATTTCTTTCATATTCGTAAATGTCCATCAGGATCTCATTCATGATCCAAAAACGCCTTGATGTTTTTCATCCTCTCATAATGGCAAGACTTGATTACGATTTGGGTCTGTGCGTCCGTCTTATCTATGAGCTGGACCGTTGATGATGCGTTTTTGGTGTGGATCATTGGACAAAGCCGTATGTTCAGACACCGAATTTTTTACTGGTCAAAAAACGATGCGCAAATGGCACAAAGCACTTTTGTGAAAGCCGAATGTAACCAGCTCTGGCAACGTATGATGAAGTATGGAGGACGAGAGTCGCGAGCGAGGACCACCTCGAATTATGCACTATGCATTGTGTGCTATGCACTGTGTAACAGATGACTACATATGCACTGTGCTCTCAGAGTCCAGACGCATCTGGAACCAGCAACTACGGATCTTTGATGAAGCATCAACCGACGAACCTCCTAGAAATTTCTCTGAATAATTTCTTTAGTCATGCCTTTCTCTTTGAAGTCATCACTTGAAAGACAAGCCTTCAGGGTTGGGCCACCATCCAAAGTCATATTAATGTAAGGTCGGTCGACTGCTTAACAACCAGGATCACGAACTTGGTTTTTAGATGAAGGATTGATCGTACGCCTCCAGTAACCAGTCACACCTTTCCGGTTAACTTGGGACTTAGTTAAGTTTGGGGACTTCGTTAAGTTAACCTTTCCGGTCATTCAACCGCTCACTTACAGCGTCTGTAGCCAAGCTGGCTTATCACTCAAGGGCCACCAAACCACCGTCTTGATATGTCTATGAAGTCATCATCAATGGGTCAGCTGATCGATCATTATATATCTTGTAATATATCACAGTAAAGGTGAAGTGGTCTTTTGTCAATTTCTCCGATCATCAAACATATTTTGTGTCATACCATACATATCAAGACTTCAAGTTACACATGGTCGTTCTATGGCGATCTGGTCTGCCTATCTTTTATTGGTTCGCAATGACCGATAAGACAAAACTTGAAAGTAGCCATCCCAATTTAAACAAAGAGATATGTTTTTGAGTACAACCCATGGTGGCCAAAGAACAAATTAAGTGGAACAATTGAGCTACATATCATGAAGTTAAGGAGAGTCAAAGAGGGAGTTCAAAAAGGAAAGGTATGGGTGGATAGACCTGTACAGAGCAGATCTGTACAGTTTGTCTGCCCCCCAGCATCACGAGCAAGGTGCACAGTGCATAGCACACAATGCATAGTGCATAATTCGAGGTGGTCCTCGCTCGCGACTCTCGTCCTCCATAATGAAGAGAAACATTTTGAACTTCTTTGAAAGTTTTGATTGGAACTTGGAAACTAGTGAGGCTTTGCAACCTGCTGAGCAAGTACTATTTGTCGAGATCTTTGTAGCATAGAACATTGTAGAAGAGGTAAAATAATCAAATGTGAGATGACAGCGATAAGCACTTCTCTGAAATGATTTCCTTTTTGGTTTTTCGAAAGGATTTGCTGAAGGAAATTGATGGAGAAGAAGGATCCTTTTCTTTTGATTTCTTTCCTTGTTTCTTTGAATGAAGTTCTTGTGAATTGATTAGATAATCTGAGTCAACAGCTTGAAGTTGAGTTCATCATTAAATCGATCAATCGAAGCTTTGTTGACCGTTATTTGAGAGACACAGAAGGAAAACATTCATCAAGCCTCAGCCTCAGCGGTTATCATTATCAGGACCACTCTCAAAAGAAACTCACCCAAGATTCAGACTAACACCATTCCAATCAAACCACCGCAAAGTAGCACAAAAAGAATATTGTCAGAGAAGATAACAAGAAAATTTAAAAAGTAAGACTTTCCATCATCTCCTGTTCACCATCAACATTCCTCCTTTCCATTCTGATATATATTCCAATCTGTTGATCACATCAATACTAAGATATGACAAGTCAAGATGACCCATTCAATCCATCCAATCATCCAAAAAATAAACAAAAAGTATCAAAGACTTATGGTTCAATTAGAAGTCGATTACGTCCTAAACAATCAAGACCAATGTTTGTTAAAAGCTCATTGACTTCTCTTTCCATGAATATCTTGATGTGTTTGATTCTGATGACCATTCATGATCAGTGATCAAATTTCTCTAAACTCCAAGCTTGAGGAGGAGGATGAGAATTTTAAACAAATCAAGAACTCTAATCCAAGTGATGGTAAACCAGTTGAGTTCTGGAAATCCATTTCTTTCTCAATATATATTAGCTCGAAACCAAATCTTAACCAGTCTCATTGATCCAATGCAGGGACCCTCAAAACCTACTACTGTTCCAATCAAACCTTTCTTAAGATCAAGAGTTAATCAAAAACCAACAAATTTACTTCTAGATCGATCAAATGCTCAAAAACCTACACGAAGAAAAGAAATCCAAGATCTCAAGCAAATTGAAGAACCCAAGAATCTTAAACAACCAAGAAGCAAGAAAATCAAAGTACATGAAGATCAAGAACCAAGAATGGATTCAAGTTTCTTTTTAGAACATTCGATTGATCCATTATTAGAAAAACCAAATCATTATCCAATGCAACAAGGAATGGATGAAGAGATTACATTAAGATTAAATGAAAATGAACATGAACTCGCATTACGATCGATTCCTGCTATTCCAAATCGACGAAGACTTCGTAGTAATGATCCTCAAATCGAAAATGATCTGGTTAAGAAACGGATTAGAGTGGCAACTGGATCTGGTTCACAAGAAATTAAAAATCCAACAGAAGTAAAGAAAAAGAAAAAGGTTGAGAAAAAAGATGATATTAAGATTAAAGGTAAAGGGTCTTCTATCATTAAGAATAAGAAGGAGAAGGTTAAAATCGGAATCGAAAGTCCTGTGTTGGTTAGTGGTGAAAAATTTGTTCCACTTGATGATGATGAGTATAGTGATGATCCATTAAGGATTTGATTTGGATTTGGATTAGAATTACGGTCTTTCACTTTTGTTTTCTTTGTTTCATTATCGCAAATTTTATGGTATTTTTTTGCTTGTGTATAAAGAAGGTAATATCACTCATATAAGGCTTTTAATCACTTTTTCGTTTATTTTAACAATATATATTTGTTTATCAGAGAGAGCGCAACAAGAGAGACGGTTGACTTAAGGCTAAGAATGAGAATAAGAACTCAGCATCCCAATCTATGCCTATGCATACCCTCATCAATTCTTTGCAACCCTGTATTGTAAAAAAGTAATGAACATCCAACAGTTTCTTCCAGAGGCATTGGATCTCTGGTGATAAAACTCTGATCCCTTCATAAGGATGACTCCCACAAACTCGTGTGGATTTTCAGTTCTATCTTCTACTCCGCGGATGAGGCACAACAACTGGATAATTTAATTGCAGCTGCATATATACTGAAGACCCAAGTAGAAAAGACCTGTTTCCTAACAAAATAAGATGCTATTTGGTCGCGGAAATAGGCTGACTACGATCAGGATTTATAGACACAGAGATTGTACTATTAGGTTCAAATTGTAAATATTGCATAGGATATGAGCATGTGATCTGATAGCGCTAACCTTCAACAGATTCCATACGGCTAATCATACAGACTCAATCAACTTTATGGTCTATAGTTTGAAAAATGTAATGAGGATGAAGGTGCATTAAAACGAGTCAATTTTTTTATCCAGGATAGGTTACCGTCTAATTCTGTGAGGAACCTGGCCCTGCCAAAGATAGAATGGGTGATCTTTGTCGCCTTTCGTGAGGTTTTCTAACCTCAAATGAGGCTTGGGCACAATAATGTTGTGAATAACCTTTATAGATTATATACTGATGTGAATTGATTTGAGTATCGAAGCATTCAGCTAGATTTGCATATACACTAAGAAAACAAAGAGGAAATTTTTAATTAGGGTTTGTTTTAGAATTTATTTTTTTGAATGTAAGAAGAATTTTTTTTAGGAAAGAAGACAAGAACTTACAAACAAAGACATGGAAAGTTTCTTGTGCCACAACTAAACTCGAGTTGACGAGATGTGTTCTGTATAGAATTTGAAACATGGATCGTTAATGATCTGAAAGTATTTTCACAAAAGATTTCTCACAACTCACAATGCAATCGATTTGGGCTTTTTCTTCATAGGCCATGGTCATAGATATGAAATCTTTAAGGTGATTTCGTAAAGGTTTACTGGTAGGAAGAATATCGGGTTCGGATCTTGTGTGGATACTTAGAAAACAGAGTGATATAAATGTCACAGCTAGCGAAAAAATCAATGAAGGCATCTTGCTGTCTGTTATCTGAGGCGCGCGTTGCAATTATAGACAAAAAAGGATACAGTGTGATCGAGGGAAATCCTAGGAGCCGATCGAGTTTGGTTGTTTTCAAACTTAGGTAAACAGCTGATTGCACGTATTGAATATGAACAAGAAATTGAGAGTATATCTTCTGAGTGGAATCTTGATGAGCAATAGCAGCAGCAGCCCCTTCATTTTATAGGCAATGACTTTCCTGGCAAAATCGTTTGCGCCGCTTGCCTGGACCATTTCTTGAACGCTGAAAGACGAGGATCAACCACGATGCACTTGCTGCCCCTGAGGGCTTTTGCCAGACTTGTCAATTCTATCGAGTGCCGGTCTACGCAGTAATCGGTATGCTTTTCATTCGGCACGAGCTCATCCATGGCGCAAAATCGCCGTTTGTACCTCTTGCTACCCACCGAAGCAAAACCTTACTCATGTCAGATTCAATGAGTGCTGACTCTTATCGCAAATGCCAAATCGCCAGCGCGGGTGACGCCGCCGACGTTGAGGCCCGGGTCGATTTTTTTGGCCGGTGAGCCGAATACGATTCCGTTGGAAGTGATGTGAGTTGGACGCAGTAGTAGATAATAGAGATCAAGTATAGTTTGTACCTAGGCGCGCGATTCGGTCGCATCTGTCGCATCTAATTTCGTGATGTTGCCTTTCACAATCCCCCCATGGCCAAGCACGAATATGTAGAGAGATAAGAAGGTGACGCGATCGGACAATGTTGGGCACTTTTGAATGGGAGCACCTGCTAGCTACACGGCGCGCCTTTTCGCCAAAAAAGTTTACATACACTCTGATGATGATTCAAAGTCAGTCAAAACCTTGGTTTTGATGCTCACTCGTCACCATCATTTTTTTCCATCCCGATACTCGTATGTAAGATGCGTTGAGTGGGAGTATATAAAAGTTCAAGATGCCTCATGCCCTTGGTTTACAACTATCTTGTGCGAGCATGGTTTGACGTGGCCCGCCGTGATGCTGCGAAGACACTGTCTCTCTGACTCAACAAAGTCCCTCCGGTTGGGTGTGCCAGAGCTTGTGTTAAGCTGGGATGCCTCTCAATAACCTTGATTTCACACTTGACGTGAAACGACCACGCCCACCCTCATCTATCCAGATACAGAGTAGATTTCATGGGTATCGTTTGTACGCTTTGCATCGCAATCTGCTTAAGAATCCCTTGATCATTTCGAAAGGAGTGTACTGCATATTTTCATTTTTGTTTCACCAAAATTTGATTCCTATAGCAAAATATGCTTACTCAATGTGTGCTTATATCGAGCGGCAACTGTACAGAGTAGATTTCATGGGTATCGTTTGTACGCTTTGCATCACAATCTGCTTAAGAATCCCTTGAGGATTTGTTGGAGAATCTTGCCTACTTGATGACGTGGTCCAAAGAGTAACTGGGCTCTAAAATGGTAAACAAGATGGATTGGTCTGTGACAAAAGAAACCAGCCAGAGAACAAAACTTATTTCAAGGTCTCCATGCAATTTGACCCTTTCCAGTCTATATTAGGCAGTGCAACTACTAAGTCAGCATTGTCACAACATATGAGTCAGGACCCAGCTTCAAAGTGGGTTTGCTTTCCTTGATTGTGCTACTTTGAATTACTCATGAACTTGATTTCACTTAGTATGGTACACTGATTTTTTGGGTGTCAAAATGCAAAACCACAAATTTATTTGGATGGAAAGAAATGCAGCTGTGGAGCTCCATGAGAGAAGAGGTGTACAAATTGGATCAATCAAAATATTGTCACAGGAGTATGTGATGTGATTGCACAATTCTGTATCAATTCAAGTTCAACATCATTTGATCAAAATAAGAAGGATTGGATGTTCATTGATCATATAATATAAACGTTGCATTGGTGGGTTTGATTTGTAATCATGGCACATGATGATGAAGATGTACCTAAATGGTGTCTTTCAGTTGTTTACTTCTGTGCTGTTCAGATCTTGATTTAGAAATGATCAGAGGAATCAACTGAATAAAATGAATCACTGTACTTCAAAAGTTGTTGAAGTTTCTCAAGTAAACACACCTTTAGCATCCCAAGCAGCAATTATGATGAGAAAGATACCCAAAGAAACAATGCAGACATAGCTTGTTCTTGAAAAGACAGTGTTTCAAACATAGCTCTCAATGTCATTCTTGTTCCATGTTTACATCATCAAGTGACCCATGATAAAACTCAACTTTGTGTACTTTTGGTTATTGATATAATTAGTGCTCATATCTTTTAGCAAACAACCTTCTTGGACATATGTATGTGCATCCAGATCTTGATATTCATGATTCTACTACTAGCTTCATTGGCTATACTATGACATATAGATAGAGGCTTTCTCTATAAAAAGATACAGCAGCTGCATATTCATCATTGGTATAAAAAACCATAAGGTCATATAGCCATCAGAGTGCCCAAGGTTCAACAAGAGTCAAGATATCTAAAATATCCTTTCCTTGATGGCCCATCAACCGCAAAGCCTTTTGAAAAGAGAGACTTTTCATGACTGGTTTACAAGGTGAAAATAAGAAGAGAAGCAATGGTCTCATCATAGGTGATCAAAGTTTTATTCAGTGAGCTAATAATACCATCAGGAAATCTTATTTGGTTTTCATACATCCTGAATTTTTATTTCAGGTGATATGATTCATCATACCTCTGCCCATTTGAATTGCTTTGATCAGTACCTGCACACATGCTGACTTCATCTTCCAACTTATCTATACTATCTGCTTGAAATTCCACTTCTCATCCAATCTCATGACAATGTGTTGACAACACATTGTCATGATGTTTCCCCTCTCAATGCTCCTAATTTTTTACATCTTACCTTATATTTCACTTTACTAACATTAATCTTGCATCTTGAAGATAGATACATCCACTTCTTCCTTCTCTATAGATCATCCATATATTGTCCATTTCAAACCACATTGCATTATCCCTCCCTCAAATTCTAGTATCATTATTCTCATGCCTACCCCCACCAAGCCTTCCAGGTTCACAAGCTTTCCTACTTTTTTGATAAATTCATTTCATTGGTCTGATCATGTTAATTCACCTCAAAATGCTGTATATGTTGTAACTGTGCAAGTCTTCCACAGTGATCAGAGAAGTGCATACATAGGCTGGTCCTGGATTGTATATCCGGAAGAGATTGTATAATTTGTGCTGCATTGCGAAAATTCACTCCTAAATAGATAAGCTAGAATCAAGACACGATAGCCCTGATTTCATGATATGGGATGGCACTCTAGAGTACATTCTAGATAATACTACATACAAATATTGCAAGTAAAGTAAAAAGTAGTCACAATCTATTTCAAAAAAGATCAGTTTGAGCATGTCTAATCAGATCAAATTCATGAAGGACCCACTCTATTTATTTTCTGCATCAGCTACCAATTTTTCACATAAGTTCCAAAACTCTTGACCCAGCTTCCCATCGGGATCTTGCGCCAATAAACTCTTTCGTCCTACTTGCCCGTAGGGTACGAGGTAACCTGCCCTGTAATTTTCAAATCAAAGTCAGTCCCGTTGTTGCGCAAGTCAAATCAAGTTTATGATAGCTTTGCCATGATTATAAGGAATTTGATGATGAACATAAGCTCACTTCAAATTCTTTTGTTCAATTTCGAGGGATGTAGCAGCGTACAAGGACGTTTGCGCTCCTGCATAAGGTGTGGCAAATATCCATGTGTTGGTACAAAAGGCCGACTTTGAATGATAGGATCAGCGATCATACCAGTAATTTACGTAGACCCAAAATAATTACACTTACTATCAATTGCCCCATCACAGGGGTGGCTTTCACAATCCCTGGCATTCACAATCAAGAATATCGAATCAATGTCGGAAACAATTAACATGGTCTAACAATCCAGTAGACGCACCCCTTGAGAGTTCAGTGGCAACCACCCCAGGGTGCTGTCAAGATGTGAGGTTGTCATGATTTTGTGTTGATGCTCGAGTGCGTATAATGATAGGTAAGAAGAATCATATATCAGAAGGGAATGGCGTACGACAGAGAGGCAAAATATGTTGGTGTCTTGAAGTCTCTTTTGGAGCTCGTTTGTCAACAGTATGTTCTTCAAATATGCATCACGAGATAAGTATTGATTAGCAATGCTCATATTGATTTTAGTAGACATTATCCACAGCTGCACTCACAGTCAATTTGCTCTGCCCGTAACGTGTGCCGTTACTACCCCATTTTTTATTCAATCCCTCCAAGGAAGTAAATGATGGGGTTCCGGTTTGGTTATGAGCCAAACTAGAGAGATTTACAATCCGAACATGCGTATTATCGAGTTGCGAAGTCTTCTTTAAGATCGGCAAAAGAAGAGTGGTCAAAGCAAAATGACCAGTTCCGTTACAAGCTTGAAGCTCGATGCCATCAGGACTAAGCTCATAGGGAGTCGCCATCTGTATCAGAGTCAGCCAAGATCAGTCTCTTCATCATCTTTTGTACCATCAAGTTCCATCATAGCGACCCAAACTCAACTATTCCAGCATTATTGAGGAGAATGTCCAGTCGTTCTTCTTTAGCCAAGAACTCGTCCGCAGCCTTCTTAGCAGAAGACAAGATAGTAAGATCAAAGTAAAGAAATTCGACTTTGGCTTCAGGGACCTCCTTCTTAATCTTCGCGATCGCAGTCTTCGCTCGTGACTCGGTACGAGAAGCCATACTGGTTTTGGGTTGCATTGAAATAAGCTCTCGACTAGGATCTGGTGATGATAGGTGATGCTACATGAACTGTCGATCGCTCACTAGACTTTGGCACCACGCCGAGCAAGCTCGATGCAAGCAATTAGACCGATTCCTGTATTTCCCCCTATAGATGTTCATCGTTGAGAATGAGTCATAGGTGAAAGACAATCAGGGGGTTAGATGACTTTATGATCTCATGACAGAATCAGACAGAATTTGTTTAAAAGGACACCGACCAGTCACAATCGCAACACGACCTAGGATGATATTTGACACGAGAGTAGAAAGTCAGATTTCGATCGAGTCATGTTATTGTTGCGCTCAGAAATCGAATTTAAGAAAGATAGATCGATCCTCACCAGATTGGTCGGGCATCTGACTAGCATCCCAGCGTTGAGAGCGACAAAAGAAGTTAGCTTTAAGGTAACATTGAGCCGTATCCCATAAAGTGGCAAAAGCTTCAGTCATGATGAAGAAAGTCGATCGATTGGTTTGAGTTGTAAAATTCGAATCAAGTCAACTTCAAATGAAGATGGAGACTGTTATGATTTATAGGAATGAACCATTTAAATTTAATCCAAGACAAGAACTCTGTGGCTTCAGGACTCCTTTGTTGAAATACACAAGTCTTCCTGATTCCCCAACCACTCTGAGAGTCTGCGAGCGCAAACACACATGTGTCAAGCTGCTGAGCAGCTGTGCACCGCTGTGTTACGTACTCCTGCTTCCTGTACTACGTCCACAACCTCTTGGAAATCGAAAATTTTATACCGCTGAGCTCCTCGCCGTTCACCCTGATTCATATGAGATTCTTGATTCAGTTTATTTATTTCAATCTTCCACCCGATCCTCAGCAATCAAATATTGTATATTGCTCCAGTCAACAGGGAACGCACGTATCACTCAATCAAACAGCCCAAGCCGTATCTCGTGCTTGCTTGTGATATCATCAGGGGCAAACGATACATTCAGACTTTCCTGGGAAGAGCTCAGCACCATCACCTTGATGATGCGGGCATGCTACATTTAAATATACGCACTTTGGATGTTGAGTGAAGCTTGACTAAACCCAATTATAGACTGCCATTGTCTGTCTCGTACACTTATGCCATGTGTGTCCAAAGAGTTGAATACTTTCGTATAGCATTTCATGCTTCATGTTTTCTTATCAGTCAAATGCTTGGATTTATACAAAAGAACGTGTTAAAGGAAGACAGGAGACGTATCTTATAAACTACAGTGACACTTTTTGTCTTCAATCTGAAAATAAGCCTCCTAGTAAGTGGTACTTTTGAGTTTACCACAGATTTGAGTTCAGGGGGACGGCCAATAGGACACAGTTCGGAGCCATTTATCCTTCATGGCACTGGTGTAGCGTGCAGCCACTTTGTGATTATCTTATCACTTTGATCACGACCGATCTTGAACCCACACCAAACCTCTGAAAGAGTGTGCGCCCCATTGTAGCGAGGTGCAACTACATGGCCCAAATGTAAGGTCGATTGCCTAGCTACCAACTGAACAAAGGAATCTGCGATCAAAACACGGGTATATCTTTCGCTCTCGATCCTTTAGATCTGGAAGGATCAAAGCAACCAAGAGATCCAGCTCGCTATAGAAAGAGACAGATGGTACCATGATTTAAGAGGCAAAGTGGTTTACACTTATTCTCGTGATCTGAGTCAAACAAACGGTTCATACAACATATTGTATGAATTTAAAAATTGAGAAAGGAGAAGGTAGAGAAACCGATAGATTGCATTGAATCAATTTAGGAAGACTGAACAGTTATATGAAGTTCATCGCCTTTGTCTCGTCGTTTCAGACAGGTAAGCTCTTCTAGCTAAGTCTGATTATTTGAACGTATAACCAATCCCATAAGTCATCGTGTGTGAATGGTTGATATGAAAGAATCGGTACGGTGAAGGAAGTAAACGAGTGAAATCATAAACTTGTAGCCAGAGGATAGAGTATACTTTACGTAAACAATGGGGCCGCGTAAACAGTTACGCGTCTGATATCCTCAGCACTTGAAATAAAAACCTAACTAATCGCACATCTAGTATCCTCAGGACTTGGTGTAAAAGGCCTAAGGTTCAAAACAACCCAGTAGGCATATTGCATGTCTCCCCTTCAAAGAGAAATAGACGAGAGAAGAGATAAGTTTGATTCATATTCATCAGCATTGATGCAAGTATGATATCAAATTTCCCGATCTCGTACAAAACGATCCTTGATGATGGAATATAGCTTAGGCTCTTGAAAACATGAGCCACGATGAGAAGAAGTTCGCATTGAATTCTATAAAAGCAGCCTTCTGAATCTTGGTCAGATAAAAATTATGATCTAGGGTTCAAGTTGAGTCATCTCGTCGGAAAAGCCTTTGAAATGTGAAATTGGTATCTTGTAATTTTACCGACTGTTGGTATGATGGAATCAAGTTAGGTCTCCTTCATGTTGTAAATCTAGTCCATAAGCAAAGCCGATTTCATAACGACAAAACATGTACAAATGTTCGCTAGGTTGCCTACTCTGTATCATCAAGAAACACCTAAAAGGTCCATTTGTGTCCTAAGTCATCTTGTACACGACAAAGAACCTTCAGACCCCTAAAACTGTTCGCCTTCCTCTATCTCTCTCTCCGAATACCTTCATGGGCTTAGCAGAGAGTGATGACATTATCATCGGCCAATCATCCCAAGACCTTCTCGTCTTAAAACAAAAAGAAAGCAACAGACTTGTTCATTATTCAAACATTAGATGATATGATTCAAGTATGTCACTTGTTATAAATTGAAACCCTTTGAAGTTTCTTTCCCGCAAAGACATCAGAGACGACCAAAAACAATGCCAATGTTACAACTTGCAAGGTACGACTGCAGTGCTGAATCGTGAAATAAGACTGCGGCGCGACGAAGTGGAATCTTCAGCAGTTGAATAATCTACCTCTCTATATGAAAGTCTTAAGATTGAAACTGAAATAGAGAGGTGGAGGAAAGTGGAGGCACGTGGTGGCTAGTGGAGGCCACGGTGGAGGCACGTGAAGAAAAGGTGAGCTCAGAGGTGAAATCATTGGGGATGGTACATGATATTCATTTTTTATTTACACTAAAGTCACCTCTGAGCACTTGATAAGGAAGTCATCTTGATCAGTTGACATCCGACTTCTCGATACTAAGCTAGAGAAAGCAAACACAAAAAACAAAGGCACCTTTCTGAGATTCGTTCAGATTCCATTCAAAACACCAGGACCGATGCTCAAGAAACAAGAGTAAATGGCAAAGTCACAGACACTTGGAAGGAAGGTACGTAACGGGATGGCTGAGGGAAGGTGAAGGTGACTTTAGAAATTAGATGAATTAAGTGAGGATGGTAAGTGATTTGCAATTGTTATCCATCAGCAGGTTATCTCAGCGCTCATAGATGTTATCTTGATCAGATGAATTCCGAATTCTTCCAACCTGACGTCAAGAAAGTAATCAGGATAGAAATCGTAATGGATCTGATAATCGCAAAGTAATCAACCTTAAAATAAGGATACTTCCTTAAATCATTACTAGATGAAGGAACCCCACCAAAGAACTCCAAACACCACGCTCTGGACTCTACACCATCAAGCTTAGTATTCTTACCCCTCCGATCTGGTCTAGACTAAGTCAAAAAAAAATGAGTACGAATTGAAGTCGATTTTTCACTATAAAACGTCCAACATTCTCTCCAAATGTACGAAATCGTCATCCTTCAAATCTTACCCTTCGAAGTGAAACTATTAATTATAAATTTTATCCTCGTCGCTTTCTATTTCTTTTTAATTTTTCTTTTACTTGACGTGAAATAAAGATCGAGTTCTTTTCTTGTCTTTTTTGCGAACCATATCTTTTCTTAAGTCGTTATTAACTCATCCTTGACCCGTTTTCAATTCGTTCTTAAACCTTTCCTCATAACTCTCTTAGCCCTTTCCTCATAACTCTCTTGAACCTTTCCTCATAACTCTCTTAACCCTGTCCTCATAACTCTCTTGACCCTTTCTAACTCTTTACAAAGATCTATTTTTTAAAAACCTTGACAAAATGAGCTTAAACCTCATGATCAGCGCTCAGGATAGGAGCTCTCGTGTAAAGCGTGAGTCTTGAATCCTAAATTTTCATTTACTAAGGAAACTCTGGATCATATAGAAAATATATTGAATATTGTTTTGAACCTCCACATGATCGATATCGATATAGCTTCCAATTTACCGATGAGAAAACTACCTTCAATCAACTCTATATCCCCAGGAAGAGTGCCTCCAGGTGTTCATAATAATTTAAATCGTTCGTCAAGATCTTATTGAAACATTTTACTAAACCGGTAGAGAAAGCTAATGTTCTTCCATGCGACCATGGGCAAAAATCTTGTAGGTCGACCAGGTATGACGATGACTGATTATAAACTCAGTAATGATCGAGGACCCTGTAAGTCTATATGATCCGCTAGTTTATGCATCATTTTCCTCTATGCCACAAGACAAACGTCAATTCAAGAATACTGATGATCGAATTGCGTCTTTCTCTTTATTCTTCTGTTTTATTTGGGGTCTATGAAGCTCACAATACTATTACAATGAATAAAGACCAAAGAGTTTATCCACGTCCGAACCTACCAGTTTTCCACAAAACCGATGATGATAATAACAGAAGAGGTAGATACACAGTCTAAATCATTAAATAGTAAATTCATTTTCATGATAAAAAAACTGATTTGATAAACCATTTTGAAACAAAGTAGTCGATACGAAAGATAAAGGAAAATCAGTTGATCCGCTTGCTTTGCAAAGTGGCTTGACTTTAAAACTTAATGAAGAAGAAATCAAAGAAACCTGGGATCGTTTGAAAAGTCGTTTTATGAATTATGAACCACAACAATACGTGAGGCAAGCGGACGTTTACCATAATCCGAATCAAACAGACAGTGAAGGAGAAATAATCCACAACACAGGACTCGCAAAAATTAAAGAAAACCCAGAATTAAATAGATGGATGTATAAAGAGTATGATCAATCTGTTCATCTCCCGCACGACTTTTTAAAGGCATCTCTTAAGGATATTCACACGAATCATCAAGTAACGCCCACCGAATCAACTGGATCACATTGCCCGCATGCTTCCACTTCTGCGATTCCATATGGGGCTAATACTAGAGCAACATCCCCTTTGAATCCTGGTCCATCGACAGGAGGACTTCTTCGACCATCGTCTCAAATTATGAATTATTTTGATAATGAAGAAAACCTTCGAAATCTTCCCACGCTCCCCGATCTTATCGACGCGATTCAACGAGTCCTCTTAGGTGAGTTTTATTCTTTGATAAATTTTCATTGAAATTGATGAAACTTGAACTTTCTTGCATCGTTTTGCTTTTCCATTTCTTCTTGAAAGTCTGTGTCGACCCGGCATGTCGATGTAGATATTCAGGCTTGGTTCCTGAGCCTCTCACGTCGCAAGAACCAGCTTTCGTTAGTATGGGTAAGGAGAAAACATCAAAACTCAATTCAATAAGAAACTTTTCATTTTCTTTGTACTGATTTGACGATTTTTTGGGTATTCTTTAGTGATCAGAAGGACTTTAGACAATCCATTCATGTACGCTTCGATTCCGGTTGTAATTCAATTAAATCGCGAAAACCATGTAATGAATCCATACAAAGATTCTACAAGGGTTTCAGACCGACCCGTTATCCCTCAATCAGGTCAATAATCTTTCTTTTCGTAAAATCTTTTTGATAATACAAAGCTTAGACATTTATTTATTGATTTTGTTGGGGGGCGATTGATTCTTGGAAATAGCCTTGTTGGAGGTCTTTCATGGTCCAATTGAATATTTGAGGGTTGAAGGTTTAACACCTGATTTAATACCCCATTTGATTTCTTATTTTGATTCAAGTTCAAGACTCCCAATTGGTTTAAGCGCGAGATGGAGTAAGCATCTTTTATCTCAAATCGGATTTATGAGATCTCTCGAATTGACTTCTTGGTTATTGTGTTTCAGTGCACGTTCGTTTTGTTATCGTTGGTGAATTCGAAGGTAAAACGTAAGGGTTTTTTTCTTTCTTTCTTTATATATTATCCTTCAAGAAAAAGATATCAAACTATACAACTTAACTAATCGACTTTGGTTTTTCTTTTGCGGGGTTCATGAATTGAATTTTTATAGGCGCGAGTTACAACTTGAAAAAAGTATGAAAGAGTGTCCTATCTATTGCGTAAAATAAATAGTCTATTTTGATTGAATCTTCCTTTACATTTTTTCAAAAAAATAAATAAATACAAAAAAATGGTTTTTTTAAAAATAAATAAATACAAAAAAATGTTTTTTTTTTTCAATTTTCAATTTTTTATCAAAAGAAAAGATGCGATGTATCTTGTATGAAGTTTAACGTAGATTCAACTCTACTGATAACGAGAAAATGATGGATGAAGATACACTGAAGATGTTATAAACAAAAGATACACGTTTGTTAGAATTTTATGTTTGTTTGTTTCATTGAATAATAATAATTTGTTATATGTGACGTTTGTTAGAATTTTTTCGAGGTTTGGTCCAGAAAGTTGAATTGCAATAAGAATTCGCAGCTGCTGAGAGGACATTCCACCCAAACCTCGTCTCACAACCTACTTTGATTTACATCAAGGCGTTAGAGGTTATATCGCAATGTTTACATTTTAATCATTTTATCTACTACTACATAGGTCATTGGCGCCAAGCCGCCGCACAGTGACAGGTGAGACTCGAGAGGCACGTTCATTCCTTATGTGTATGTAACTTACATACCGCGCTTGCCAATTCCCTCAAAGGAGGATGACCAGGAAAACGCCTGAAGCTATGTTTCAAGGCATACACTGTATCTTGACAGCACTGCAAGTGTTTTAAGGGAGGGTGGTGGGAATGGGAGATACAGAGCAGTGAAAGGGCACAAGCTAATGGATTTTTTGTCACGAATTGTGATGTGTGATATCATACCGTTAAGACACTTGAAATGGTCACAATTTCTGACTCTTCTTCTCCTTGATCTCCAAGCTTCTCCAAGATTTAACTTGTCAACATCCAAATGCTTCCTTACAAAGGATGTTGCTAAGGCAAAGTTGAATGAAATCTTTGAGTCAATCATAGGACTTTGGATCAATTGATTCCTACCATGGTCAATCATGGATAAGTTGTATGTGACTAACACTGTTCTTAAAATCAACAACTTTTGAAAGATCTGTTGATTGGGGAAAAGTACCATGCCTTATGAGATGGAAACAACTGACTTGTTCAAATAAACTACAGCTATTCAGGAAATTCATGTCATGGGCGCACAATTTTTTCGTTCCCCCCCCCTAATACAGCCGCGCCGCGCAGCGCAGCACAGCTAATCCGGACCGGCAAGTAGGTCAACCCCAAACCCCGAAACACCTGAGACGTGATCTTTCGGAACCATTTTTTTTTTTGGCAATTTTATTCACTCAGCATCCCATCCTTCACATCGCATCCCGGCGTCTCCAACCCCTAGGTCCGTCATCCACTCTCCCCATCCTAACAACCCAAGACACTGACCGTTTCCGAGTGCCTTCTAGCTATGCGTACCCGACCATCGAAATACGATGTCGGCATCAAGGTCCTCGCTGTGCAATACCTCCGCGACGGGAAAACGATTGAACACGTCCGTCGCCTCCTGAAGTCGCCAGTCCACCGCCGCACTATCTCACGATGGCACTCATTATATCGACAAACCAAAGCAGTGGTTAACAACCCTGAAGAGTACGCACGTCTTGGAAGAAACACCGCCCTGACCGACGAAGACAGAGATTTTATTCTGGAGCTTCTCGAGGGGGACCCGGCTCTGTACTTGGACGAATATCGGTACGGCGTTTATCGCCGTACCGGGAAGTGGGTCTCGTTACAAACCTTGTCAATGGACCTTAAAGATCGACTGAACTTGACGCTCAAGAAGGCTAGGACGGTGCACCCAAATCAAAGTGCGTCCAAGCGAGCTAAGTTTTTGCATGCCGTGGGAGCGTTAACGCCCAATATGCTTGTATTCTTGGGTACGTCTTTTGTCTGTTTGATTTCCGCTGCGCCAAGCGCATTCTAACTGTGCAACAGATGAGTGTTCGGTACAGGAACGGTATCTCGGTCGACAGTATGGCCGTGCCAGAAAAGGCATACGGACCAGCCGAATTCCTTGGAGCAGAGGAGGGAAACGATTCTCCCTCCTCCCGGCTATATTTCGCGGTGGAGTGCTCGCTGTGGATTGCCAAGAAGGCAGCTACCTCCGGGAAGACTTCGAAAGTTATCTCAAACATAGATTGGTGAGTTTTCTCTCTCTACTTTCACCATCCTGAACTGACTTGGTCCTTATGTAGTTTCCGGTAATGAACCCGTATCCTCAAGCCAACTCAGTGTTGGTGATGGACAATGCGCGGATCCACCACGGGGGACGCATTGCCGAGATGGCGGAAGAGCAAGGCATACGGATCTTGTACCTCCCACCGTACTCACCTGATCTGAATCCCATCGAAAAGGCCTTCAGTGTCCTTAAATCTTACTTTCGCCGAACTCAACTGCTCAAGCAAGCCGTTGCGGATGAGAAGGAATATGTGATCATCGATTCAACTTGGAAGTTGTTTACCGGGGCTCTGATGCATAAGCTATATGCGGTTTGTGGTTATTGGTTGTAGGGGATGTAGGGAAAGGGAATTTGTCTCAGTCTTTGATCGATCTCTAAGTTAGGCCGTTTTGAGCAATACATACACGGCTCTTTGACCAATACAATGTCCCCCAGTCTAAAAACAATCCAAACCCAAGTCCCTAATTGAGCATTACCAAGTGAGGTCCCAAAAGTTTGACATTTCAAGTCGAACTCCTTGTCCCAAACCAAAAAAAAAAATCAACTCTTTGGCGGACACAAACAGCCAAAGAGTTTTTTTGGGTTTTGAAAACAAAAACAAAATGTTCAGGATACTCGGAATGACCCAAACCATGACCCTTGCTACTGGAAAGCAGTCACATCCTCACACGGATTGTGACTTTTTCACAGTCGGGTCTCTCTAGGTTCATTACTTAAAGTCAGGTCTCTAGGTGCTTTGGGTTTGAATGGTTTCCAAAGGGAGGTTTTTCAAAGCCAATCAAGGGGAAATATAGCGCACAGCACTGAAAAGCGACAAATCTCCTTTGTCGAGATACCTGAATTCCCGTGACAGTTTCTAGAAGTGAGTCTCAATCACTTCTCGTCACAATACCTGAAACACTAACCTGAATTCCCGTGACAGTTTCTAGAAGTGAGTCTCAATCACTTCTCGTCACAATACCTCAATATTGGTGAATCTTCATTTGGCTGATTTAAGAACCTGGTTGAATCGCGGAATGGCCTTTGAAATATCATCGGCGTGAGCGAAGGGTATCCCCATGCTCCGGAAGTTGGCAAAGGAATAGGTCTGTTGGTCTAATAGTCGTCCGAAGTCGTTGATGCCTTCTTCGGCGAGGATGTCGCGCGTCTTCTTCATGTCAGGAGTAATCCCGGCGAAAGCCAAAAACTCTTCAAAAGGAGGAATGGTGGGAGGTGGTGACAAACGCAGGCGAGCAGGCACAGGGGCCACCTCAGGCATTGACGAGGTGGCCATGGGGGGTGCACCGAAGGGAACCGTGGGTACTGGGGGAACGAATCCAGCGGGGGCAAACGGCTGACCATAGTAGTTATGGTGAATAACCGCACCGGTGGCAGGAGATGGTTCTGATTGAGTAGGAGGGATCAAACCTAAGAGTTTGCTCTTCTCCTTCTCGTAGTCTGCCACCGCTACCCACTTGAACTCAGGTCGCTTGACGGGTGGGTTGACCTCATCGACGCCGGGGACCCCGGCGGCCTATTAGCAGATGCCGCAAGAGTCAGCTATCCGAGGTCCAGGAAGAAGAAATTCATCAAATAACTGACCCAATCATCTGCCCAAGTTCGAATGCGAGAAGTGTTGAGTAGAATGATTTGACCTGGGTCTCTTGGGTTTGTCACACTTGTGATGTTCTCCCCTCGCGAGAAATCCTTACTGAAGCGTTTCATCAAAGCTCGCAGGTTGTGTTCGCCATCTTGGAGGATAGCAGACTGCAGATGGCATAATGACAAAGTCAGTTCGCAGTCTGGAAGGTATCAAAAACATCTTACTTACCCCTGCAGAAGAAGCAGCCACAGACGCTTCACCTTTGGAGTCTTCTGAATCCGAAGGGGGGGCGTTGCGTTTGCGCTCGTTTTCAATGAAGCGATTGGCGTTTTTGGTGACCTTGGGGTTTTCGTGGATGATTTTAAAGCCCATGGTGGTAGAAGGAGGTACGAGCTGGGCAGCGTTCATGAAATCAAGATAGGTAAGGGTGTCCTCAACTACAATCTTGGTTGCCTTTTGTTTTCGATTTCCACTAATGAAGCCTTGAATATCGATCGTCTTGTCAAACCAGGCGTTGGTGAGGGATTCAGAAACCCCAGGCAATTTCTTATCGCAAGCTTGGAAAAGTTTCAATTTGAATGTGACAAAGGGGATTTTGGGGTTAAGAATCGTGAGATTGATGGGCACTTTCGTTTGATAATTTTCGTACTTAGGTACGGGTGTTTTGATCTTCGTCTTGATAGCCCGGGTTTTCCCGGCCGGTTTCTTACGTTTATTATTGTTAGAGCTTTCCAAATCCAATTCAGGCACTTGCTGTTGCCAGAAGTTGAAGGTGACTTGGAATTGGCAAGCAGTAATCGGTTCAAGAGGCTTCAACTCGATAGGACACGTATCAAGGCCAGTATCAGTCAAGGTATCTAGATAAAGAGCAGAGTACGAGGTCAGTTCCTGGGGTTGCACATGGGTGAGAGAGGGTACAGAACAAGGGGAGCTCCTTACCTAGGTCGTCGTCTAACTGCTCAATTTCATCTTCTCCATCCAAGACCATATCTAGCAATGAACGAGGAGGCTTTTCAAAAGACATTGAAGCTTTACTTGGCTTGAGGCTTGCCGGCAGTGAGGTAGAGACGGTGGCAGGTGAAGCGAAGGGCGTGGCCTGTGACATTCGATCCGTATCCAAAATCAATGGATTGATGTGAGGGTTGACAGAGCCAAGGCAAGAGGATTGAGATCCGCTCGGGGTCGAGGCAGGGGGACTACGGGCGAAAACCTCGTTCATTGACGGAGTGACCAGGGTGTTTGAACCATCAGCTGTTCTGGACGCCTTTAAGGGGGATGTTGCCAGCAAATCGCCTCTCGCCGAAGATGGGGGGGTGACAGTGTTAGGCCACATCAAAGAAGTCGTATTAGCGATTCCGGCACTGGGAGACCGTTTGAGGGTGTGAGCCAATGTCACATTGAACTGATCAATAAAAGGCTGACTCACGTTGGTGTAACAACACTCTGAAGATGGGCAGCTTGATAGCTGCGAGTGCGCATTGCTCGGCTCATGACATCGAGTCGCTTATCGGCCGGGGACCTAATGAAACGGACAAACATTAAGGACAATCATTAAATCAACCAAAGTTTCACACAGCCAGAGAAAGGATTGAAAACGCAAAAACAAGGCATCCAGATGAAAAAATACGCACAAGGGTACTTGCAACAGTTTTCTGTTGCCCATAGTGCTCGAAGGGTAAAAATGAATCAATCGGAATCTCAGGTAAGGGTTATGGTTTTGTTTGGCGAAAAAATGGGTATCAGTGACAGCAGCACTTGAAGGGAACCCCGTGAATTTATGCGATTTGGCGAAGCGGTCAACCAGTGGTTGAGGACATCGATCTGGTGAGGTGGCTTCCCGTTTGGTTTGCGGTTGCGTGAATGACTGGTCCACAGAACTAGGCAATCGGGTGAGGATTGAATTGTTGAGGTCCATATCAAGATCTTTGTTAGATGTGGCTTCGAGATGGTGGATGTTGGGTTGAATGAAAATGGGGGGAAAAGGTCGAGGGGAACCAAAGCTATCCCCTCGTTGGTAGCGCCAGTAAGGGTAGTGGAGGGTAGTGGTATGGAATGGCCAAACAATACCAAATAATCCCGTATGGCCGGTTCAGAATGACCTCGGATGCAGCCGGATATTCGAAGCCACAGGGTCATACAGCTCTGCTGCGCTGCGCGGCGTGGCTGTATTAGGGGGGGGGGAACGAAAAAATTGTGCGCCCATGACATGAATTTCCTGAATAGCTGTAATTGGTCACACCTCAATTTTTGATACACACCCAAAGATTCTGGTGACCTCTAAAGCATTGGAAGATCTGAGAGCTTGACCAAGCAGAGGATATTTTGATTTTATCACCCCCAACTTAGGTAGCACTGTCAACATATTTACCTTGAATTAAAATCTCCAAGGTATTCTTGGAATCCAAACCTTGGACAGAAGTTTTCCAAGGTTTCAATCAAAAGTAATTCTCAGTGCCAAAAAATGCCTTGGATCAAAACCTTGGACAAGGTCTGTCCCAGGATTTGCCTCCAATTATCCCTCATATTTCTCAACTTAAGGCATCTATGTTGGCAGTGTAGAGGGGAGTAGATAAGCTTGGGGAAGATGATGTAAAGAGATTATGAGTGAACTGAACTCAAGTTAATATAGTTTGATCATCTTTTTGATTCCATACTTGTATTGCCTTGCAATGCAAATCTTGAAATCAACTTGAAAAAGCATTCAATCTTGGCCGCTGTGAGGGGTGTACCACATTTGATTGAACCCATCATTTGATATGAAAAGATTAGTTTCCAAGAGGAAAAGAAGTTGAAAAAATGAAATAAGTGCTCACCTACTACAATAATATGATACTTAGCTGACTTGAGGATAGGAGAAGCAAGTTGAAGGAAAGTAGAAGAAGCTGGTCTGGGTGCAGTTGGAAATAGTCCAAAAAGAGATTCTGATGATTGATATGACTGTTGATAGAAACTGATAGTCTTCACACTATCTCGGATTTTTGAGTCGCATGATCAAATGATATCCTGATTTGACGTCGCAGTGTGCATTGCCCGGGATCCATGATTGATTCTGTTCTGATTATGATTATGATATATGTTGGTGATTTCAATCCGAATGGCTTAAGCCATGATGATGAGGCTGTTCCATGAATTACAATGAACCCTTAGTCCGATCGACTGATGATGAAGATATCTAGCAAAGATTGCATTTGAAATCATTTGGATTCTAATCATTGGATTATGTCTATAGACCCTTAGTCATGAAGCGATAGAGATGAAATCCTTACCAATCTTTCTTACTGTTCTTTTAGTGAATGGCTTTGTGATCAATTGAGTCTTATGATTCGGATTCAAAGTGAGCTCAACTGCATAAGCCGTGGGTCTTGGAGGTGATCAATACTTACAAAGTATTTAAACTGAAGTCACTTTGTCTGAAAAGAACTACACGAGCAATTTGAACAAGAAAGCAATGGGAATTCAACTTAGTCATGATCATTGATGATGAGAAGAAGATTGCAAGGAATTTAGAGTCAAATGATTCAAATCTAAAAGTTGATCTGCTTACCGTTCTCTCATCATCAGCTGACAGCAGGCTGTAGTTTTGAATTCGGTTGACCATGGTATTGCCACCAAAGTTCCAAAGGCTGGCATTATGTTCGATTGATGAGTTCGAATTTTGATATATCTTTGAATCTCAAACTTTCTTCGAATTTTCCTCAACACATCATTCTTCATGACTCAAAATCAGTCTTACTCTAGCCTTACTCTTACTAAACCATCTTTGTGAGCTCAAATATCAAAATCGCACCAGAAATATCATTTTATCTTTATAATCTTGATGTCAATGTTATCACTAATCCAGTGAGATGTCCAAGAATCACTTTTCATCGAATTCTGAAGGAAATGATCAAATTCAAATCCCATTGATAACTTCTTCGCCATCAAACCTTACACCACACCAATCTGAACTTTGTCAATCTCATGTGACCGCTCAACTTTCACTTATGAAGGAGCTTTCCCCTATAACTGCTAACACTGCTACTGCTACTGCTACTGCTACCACTGATTCTACTTCTGCTTCTTGTACTCGTCCTCTTACTTCTCCAATTTCAAATCCATCCGTCTCATTAAATTCATATCAAGTCCCAGAAAGTGATTTGATTCAAACCAATAGTATTAGCAACACTATCAATCCTATTCAAAATCATGATCATAATAATAGTCATTTACCTTTAAACCATCTAACTACTACTCCTTGGCCTTTCAATACATCAGCTAACAATCTAGCACATTCTCTGAACCTACATCAGCCCACTCATTTCACTTTTCTAGGAAATCATACTTCATCCAACTTTTTACCTTATCAATTCCAAATCCCTCTACAGCCACCACCACCCCCAATCCCACCGAACCCTCATCTTAATCGGAATTATCAACTTCAAGAAACAGATCAAAATGTGAATCATCTCAAAAGGCCACGTTTGAAATCTACACCTGATTCACTTTTATTTTCGAAACCATCAAAGCTCACTAGAATCGAAACAAACTCTAAAGTTGAACAAGAAGCTAAAGTACCATTCTCGAATCAAAACCAAAGTACTTTTCTTAGAAATCCAATTCCTAAGCCAATCCAACCAAGAGGTTTTCTCAACGAATTCGAAATCACTAGTAGCCCAGAACAGCATCTATTTGAAGTTCAATCTCATCATCAACTTGATGAATCGATTCCTACTTCACCAATCCAATCAAGTTCAAAATCTCTCATTCAGAACCAAACCAATGCTGGACAATGGAAAAGAAAAATGACAGAAGTGAATTGATTTTATAAACTCGAGTCTCGTTCTTTTCTTTCGTTTGTTTCTAATCATCCTTCTGTTTTGTTTGAATTGATTCTATTCAGAAAAGACGAGAACAGAACCGAAGACATCAAAGAGCTTATAGAGAAAGAAGGGATGTAAGTCATCCCTTTCTAAATCCATCGTCTATATATGATTATATATAGATATATATCATTCTAATTACTACAGAAATAAATACAAAATAAACTTTGCGAATGTTGCTTTTAATTTTCAATCAGATTTTTTTTTCTTTTGGGGATTTTCTTTAGCTTGCAATGAAACAAAAAGACGAAGAGATCACTGGATTGAAAAATGAGGTCAATGATTTAAAAAATCGAATTGGAAAGTAAGTTGAATTGATTGCGTTTTTTTTCTTTTTGAAAAGGAATCTCTAACATGATGAAATCATATCATTGTTCTAATCTTCATGGCCAAATCAAAACGTTTTAAACAGTCAAGATAAATCATCCACTTCGCTTCAATCGAATTCAAACCGATCAAGACCATCACAAAGTTCATTAACTCCATCAACTTCAACTCCAACTTTAAATCAAAGACCTTTACGATTCAATCCATCAACTTCTTTCCAAAGACCATCAACTTATCCAAATCAATCATCAGAATATTTCAATTTACCTCAAATCTCAAATCGAACTCAACCATTACCCTTAAGAGTAGGTGGTGGGAATCCATCCATCAATCATCAACATCAACATCAACATCATTCATCAATTCCTTCTTCTCAACCTCTTTCTAATCGGCTTCATCAATCCCGTCTTCCTTCTCCTCCTGATCATAATAATTCTGATTTATCTGATTAAACCTTTCGGTTTGTATGCTTATCATCATCCCATCAATTTTTTATGAAATATTGTTTTCATTGTTAAGAAACTTTTCATTTTTTTTAATTTGGCTTTTTTGGGTGCATTTGTTTATAAGGTTCTCATTTTGTAAAATTTCTCTTTGTTTAAGCTTGATGTGTTTTTTTCCTCTTTTTTTGGGTGTTTGTGATTTGATTTCTTACAGTTGTAACATCAAATTTATATCTCTAATCATGGATCAATCATCATTATTTGATATCAAAAACTAATGTTAGGAGGTTGAACTGATCATTGATCTGCAACACCATGGATGTTTTTATGCCTTCTTCTATAGAGTTTTCACAAGCTTTTGAATTCAAATACCGATCGTACCTCTTCGATTCATTCTTATCAGATGCGGTTATAAATCTGTAAGATGTGAATTTCAGACAAATACAAGGTGTCCTCTGACATATGGCAATGCAGAGGAAGAAGGAAGAGGGACCCCAAGGCCAAGGGAGCATGGTAAGGGCTTTTTGGTTCAACACATGCAATTTGATCATTTTGTCTGGAGACCAATACCTTGTGGTCACCTTATATGGCCGCATGAAATGCTGCCAACAAGTGAGCTTATTGAGCACCCAACCTCAGGTGTGACATGTAATTTTGACAACCATAAACCAAATGTGAGAAAGTGATAGAAAATCAACCTGTGCCTACTATTGCTCACTTTGAAAATACTTTATTGAAGGTGTCAAAAAGGCTTCCTGAGATGGATATGAGCACATTCTTGATTGTTAACAAAGTGATTTGTATTCTGATTGCTATAATAAAATGTAAGGAACAAAACATGCCAAAAAGATTGGGTTTGTATATTTATCAGACCAAGATCATGCACATACTTATAGAAAAATCTTGTCAATAGGGGGACTTATTGAGCAAGACATGTAATAAGAGACATAAATCTTATTATAAGTGAATTACATGTGAATTACATATGGTATAAGTAATCTTGACAATAGTAATTAAAGGTATAACCTGAAAAGAATATAAAACCATGGCTACTAGTACTACTACTAATTCCAAAAGAGCTTTGTTGAGGTTGTAAAAGGACTTTTGAGTATGGCCATGAACAGATTGTTGATTGTCAACAAATTTATTTGTGTTTGATTGATATTTTGTAAAGGTTATGAGTATTATAAAACAAGACAAGAATAAAGGGCTTATATCTCGGTCAGAACAAAAATGATGTGGAGAACAAGTAATAAACAGACTACCTAAAGGAGACTAATATAAGTAGCTCATGTGAACAGATAGCCCGTGATATGTAGATAGGGCTGTGACCCGACCCTGTGCGTCCATGGCCGGGACCAGGGCCAAATTTAGCCCTGAGTGCGCCTGATGACCTCTCAAAACTGCTCAGGGCCAACCAGGGCCAGTGGGAGACTATGTAGTGTGAAGGTGCTTTTTGGCAAAAAAAGGGTTGGCACCCCAGCCGGTTCAAGCGCCCGCGCTGCCTGAAGCGCCCACAGGGCCATATTCAGCTGTCATCAAGCAAGCTTTAGATGCCCCAGGGCGCGTACTGTCAGCTCTGTGAAAGTTGTCAGGCAGTGTTGGCCGGGCAGAGCAGGGTCCAGGTCACAGCCCTATATGTAGATGATCACATACAATCACATATTACATAGAGGTCCACATGCGTAATATACTACATTAGTGTGTGTAATCTGAGTCCCATGTGAAGCTGATTTCCCTGGGTACATACTTCATTATAACAATTTATCATTTTAGCACATAGAACCCCAAACTTCCCTTAATGGTGTCCATCACATGTCACAGAAGTCAGTTTTAGGGGATCAGCTCATGGGTTGGGTTCCCAAGGAGTAGATGTGGTGATTAGAAAAGATTGCCATCATATATATCACACCAGATCATCTTCCAAGCTTATCTGTGAGTAATTTGTGGGTTGAAGAATAGATATGTTTTCAGTATCAATTAAAAAGAGAATAGTAGGAACTATAAAGAAGTAGAGACAGAAGATATAACTGAACATAGTAGAGAAACAGTTGATATGTATGTTGGACATGTAATTGATCATTACATGTATTTCTTTCTTTGTGAATAGATTATATGCTTGGGGCTATGGCCCTGCCCGGGTGCAATATGGCCGGCTTCAGGGCATCACCTGACCCTGGAGGGTCTCCTGGGGCTCCCAAGGCCAAGCGCAGCTGACCTGTGGCACGTAACACCTACCTTCAAGAGATCATTGGGCAAGCTTGGGCAGCCAAGGACAGGGCCAGGTCATATATATGCTACTGGTCATAAGAATACATTTAATTATGGGATTACATGTAGTTGCTTGATATTTGATTAGTCATTAAAATTGTTATCAAGGTGATAGGCTGCTGCGGAGGCTTACTCCCTTTCTGACAAGACTAGTTTAAGCAGATCATGTGACCCTTTACTCTGTAATCTGTAAATGATAACAGGTGAAATCTACATAAAGACTTGTATGTCTAATGGATTACCTTAACATGTGTAGTCTTGGTTCCACATCTTGCTGATTCACCAGTTTCATCTACTGTATAACTATCTCTTACCTTAGCACATAGAGTCCGATAAGTCTCTCAATGGTGTTCTGTTCATCATGTGCCAATGGGTTCTGTTTTAGATGATCAGCTACTGAGTTGGTTTCTCAATCCAACTTGGTTGTTTGAACTTTGACTACGAGTGGCCATTGAAAACAACATCATTGAACATATTACCCACCATCATCTTTCAAGCCTATCTGTGAGTAAGTATGGGCAGCAGTAAGTATCTTCTTAATATCATGTGAATAGAGAAAAATAGGTTATTTCAATGTTTTCAGTAATTAAATATTACTAGTGATGTTACTACACATATTTGTTGAATTACATGGAGTTGATTGATATTTCATTAGCTATTGAATTTGCTAGTAATACCAAGGAGACACGCAGCTGAGGTGCCTTATGCACTTTCTGTCAAATGCTATTCCAGATCAGACTTTGGGAAATGCACAAAAAACACACTAAAGGTATTCATCAGGTAGGTCATCATACCTTTTCATCATGAGATTTACCTCTTGAAAGTTTGGGGATGCAGCTCTCTTTCCAACCTGATCAGGCTCATATATCACCTTCAATGTTAGGTTCAGAACTCAATTCAAGATGAGAAATGTTTTGACTCAAAATAAAATGTGTTGTACTGAAGTACAACAAAACTTGCACTCAAATCAGTGGGTAATGGGATTGTGGAGGCCCCAGGTTGGTGTTACAAGCACAAGATTCCATTCTATTTTGACTCATGAGAGGGGTCACCCACAAAATCTTGAGTGCACCAACATACTGGCTCCATCACTAGGGCCAAACTAAAGCATGAAACAAAAAGTGGTTTTTTCATGGGGAAATGCATTGCATTTGAAGAAAAAAGCAGTTGGAAACACTTTATGAATATAAGTGAATGTGTATAATTTGTATCTTTATTTACATGTACATAATTGTACTCAAAGTTTGGGTATCTCTGAGTATGATCTTGGTTTGCAGTTATGAGGTCATTGAGCTGTTTACCACCCATTTAAACTACTTTCCATTATGTTCATCATTGTCAAAAACATAATTTTCCACTCCCTACCTTATTGTATCTTGTGTTCTATATCCATATGAATTACTGCTAAGAGTTATAATTATCACAGTCATAATTATAGATTCCATCTAAAAACATTTAAATGTGTGATGGCAGCTGTGATTATGAAGCTTTGAAGGCTATTAATGAGGGCTTGGAAGCCCTTACCACTGAATATTGATCAGTAAATGGTTCTGTTGATAAAATAATGGGTCGGGTACAATTGTCAAATTCAAAGACCTTCCCTTATTTGTCTCAGAGCTGGTATCAGCAATGATTCAAGTTTGCACAGCTCACTAGCCAGTAACTGGGGTCATGAATTGGTTCCTATTCTTACTCACACACAAATTAATAATAAACAAAAGGCCAGGGTCCTTTTGGATCCTAAAGCAAACACTCATCCTAAAAATAAAAAGAGGTCAAAACAAGCATATATAGTGATTTGGTCTTGAATGATGTGTCTTCAAATTTTGATGCAAAGACATGTGAAAAGAATGAGATTTATTTTATGGAAAAAAATCTGGGTCCTATGTCAAGAGAACACTGTACTTGAATTCAAGCATAACCCTCTTCTCATACTTCAAGTGTAACCTGCTTCTCAACATCTACAAAAGGATATGCTTCTGCTTTATAAAACCCTTTTATTGAATTTAATGATGGTGTCAAGCCATCTGACTTTCCTGACCATTTTTCAAACAAATTATAACAAGGGAATTATGCAGATTGATGAAAATTGAAGGGAGAATATTTGGTTTTAAGAAAGGCATGGGTCCTTCTCTCTGGGTGGCAGTCCTTCTATCACATGGGTCCTTTTCTTCTCAAATTTTCAAAACACTCAGGAATGGTATGATTGCTTTGATATTTTTCTGGAAATTCATCTAGGTTTCCTTAAATTGTTATCCAGATTTTTCCTATATGCTGAGCTAAAAGACAGATTTGTTTTGTGTGGTGGATTTTGATGCTTCTCTTAATGGGAAGGTTCCAACCAAGAAAAAGTTTCCTTTTCCCATTGGAATCATGGTAGTCTTTCAATTATTATGACTAAATACATGCAAAACACTTTGTGTGGCATGACTTTTATTGATTTATAAGTGGTCATCACCAATCCCATGCTCCTTATTGATAGAGATCAAATCTTCAATGCCAAGGTTCTGCTGCAAAGACTCATAACACTCATCCATTCAATAATGGGATGTGGTGCAATTTTGTTTTAGCCAGAACCTTGACTATTACAAATACAATGATGCTTGTAAATTGATACACCTTTGTCTGGTTTTTTCTTCTGTTTAATTTCTATACACTGTTTTCCAAGGAAAGTTTTATTTGTCATATGGGTTCAATCTGACTCTTAAGTGGTTTGCAGAAAATTGAAGAATGTAGAAAACTTAAAAAAGGATGCAAACTTGTTTGAGGAGAAAAACAGATCCCTACTTGAGTTGGTATTTACATTTAGTTGATTCTTTTTCTATCATAGAGAAGTGGCCTGACTTTTTTCCCAAGCAACTGACATTCCAGTTTTTGCCTTTGAAAAACTTCTTCAGCTTGGATTTCTGTAATTGATGGAATTATGACTGGTTTCAGCTTCTCTTAGAAATTTTCACAAGGCTATGTTTGGAATGGACTCAAATCTGATTGGTTCTCCTCCAGCACTTGAACAATACAATGCCTGGAGCAATCCAATACAATGTGGAATGTCTGACCTCTTTCATGTTGCATTGGGGCACCAGTCTAAACCAATTCTCAATATAATATGGAGGCTTATATTGCATTTTTCATGCAATGAAAGCCAATGTGAAATGGTAAAGCAGAGCATAATTAGCAGAACCCAGAAGACCAAACAATATGGGTGGGATCACAATCACTTGTGTTGCCAATAGCCAACATGAAAAAATGTCCCCATATTGGGTTGGCTGAACCAATACAAGGAAATCCAGCTTTTGGTTTTGGGTTGGCAATACAATACCAATACATTACAATTCATTGAATTATTTTGGGTGTTCTTCAAGCAAACATATTGAAATTGGATGGAATGTTGGTCTGGTTGAACACCAGCCAAAATTTTTGCTTTTGGCCATGTTCTGCTGAACAGAACTGTCAATAATCTGGACAAAGCTGAGCTGTCAGCCAGAAAGCAGTCAGTTTTGTGATTAGTTGGTTGGTCTTGAAAGACACAAACCAGTGATTAGGCAAGAAGAGAATGGCCAAAAGAACCCTAGCTTCACACAAGACCAACCACATGTGTATCCAAGAGTCTGCCAAGGGCTTGCAACCTGCTGGTGAAATTTGGTCTGATGCCAGATTCCCTTTGGCGGGGATATCTTCAGTGGCCTTTTCCCCCATGTTCTCTCAAAGAGATTGCTTGCGAGTATCCTATAAACACCAAAGCAAATTATTTTTCACATTTTCTGTTCTATTCAGATTGTTATGGTCCTGATTACCCCATGGTGTATGTGAAGAAAATGGAGATTGAAGTTCTCCTTTGAACCCAAATCATTGTCTTATTTCTATATACCATGTATGTCTGAGGATGCCTTGATGGTGCAAGCACATCAAGCTATTTTATTTACACACACAGTGTTTTGTAGTTTTTGAGACCGAGTCCCACTTGATTTGGGTAGGTAGACCCGACGATTAGTGTGATTTTGACTTACACAATTGCAATTTGTCAACAACTGTTTAAGACTTTTATGAATCTCATTATGTGTTCATGTCAACATGATACTCCCATACAGATATGGGGATAGAGTCTTAGTCATGAAGTAATAGATCAGAAGGAGTTAAGTTTGAGTTAAGCGTTCGTGTCAATGATGAACATCCTACAAAGCATTCTGACTGTTCTTTTTTGTCAGTGGCTTTTTGATAGTCTTTGATTCAAGACTGTGATAACAGTCGAATATCAGAACGCAGAAGTGAGCCCCTGGCTGGCCGCTTTGCGCGACCTCCAAGTCCGCGATACTTATATAAGTTTTTGAAGGCACTTCATCTGGAAAGAACTGAGGAATTAGAAGCAGAAGAAAATTGAAACCAATCAGTTTGAATTAGTCATGAGTATGAATAAGATCGCATGGAATTGAAAGTCAAGTGATTTAAATCTGGAATTTGATATGCTTACCATCCTTTGATCATCAGGTATCATGTTGACTTCTGTTAAATATGACACCAGCTGGCACTATGTCCTCTTGATTGATTACTTCGAATGCCCTTGTATTCTTCTCAATTTGACTATCAAACCTTATCCGAGTTCTCTGATTCCAAATAAATCAACATTACTTTGTGTATTGGAGTCTCTTCTGGAGTTCGTTCGTCAAATGTATACTTCAGATACGCATCATGAGATAAGCACTGATCAGGGATACTCATAGATCGACTTTGATAGAAATTGTCCACAGCTGAACTCACGGTCAATCTGTTCCGCTTGTAACGTGCCCCGTTGATGCCCCAGTTTTTGTACAAGCCCTCCAAGGAGGTGGATGATGGGGTGCCGGGTTGTTTATGAGCCAAACTGGAAAGTTTCGCAATTCGAACATGCATATTGTCGAGTTGCGAAGCGTATTTTGATATCGGAAAAAGCGTCGTCAAAGCAACATTGAATGTATCATTTTCCCCTGATGATGGCACAAGCAAGCATAAAACACGGCTTGGGCTGTTTGATTAAGTGATACGTGCGTTCCCTACTGACTGACCAATATATGTACAATCTTTGTCGAAGACAAGATAGTAAGATCAGAGTAAAGAAATTTCACGTTCGCTTCAGGGATCGCCTTCTTGATCTTTACAATCGCTGTCTTGGTACGTGAACCGGTACGAGAAGTCATACTGGGTTTAAGTTGCAGTAAGTCGGGGTTTCGACTAGGAGCTGGAAATGCATCGCAGGTGAAAGACGGCCAAGAGATTAGATGACTCTACAAACTCATCACAGAATCCGTTGAGCACACTTACCAGTCACGATCGCAACACGACCTAGGATGAAATTAGAAACGAGAGTAGGAAGTCAGAACCCGATTGAGTCATGATACTGCTTCCCTCAGAAACGGATTGAGGAAAGATTGGTCGATCCTCACCAGATATCGGGCATCTGGCTAGCATCCTCTAGCATCCCATCGTTGAGAGTGACAGAAGAAATTGGCTTCGAGGTAACATCGGGCATTCCCTCATATAGTAGCAAACGCTTCAGTCATGATGAATAGAGTCGATCGATTGATTTGATTGTGTAAAATCCGAGTGACGTCAAGTCGATTGAAATGGGAATCGTTATAGGGATGAACCATCGCATTGACAAATTAGAGCTCTGTGGCTTCAGGAGGGCTTTGTTGACACTCTGTGAACACACGTGTATCAGGCTGTGTTACGTACTCCTGCTTTCTGTACCACAACCACTTGCTTAAATATCAAAAAACTGTTACCGCTGAGCTCCTCGCCATTCACCTTGACTCATATCAAATTCTTGATTCACTCCTATCTTCTTCCCATTCCGCAGGAATCAAAGATTGTATATTGCTTCAGTCAGTAGGGAACGCACGTATCACTTAATCAAACAGGCCAAGCCGTGTTTTATGCTTGCTTGTGCCATCATCAGGGGAAAATGATACATTCAACCACCCTGGAAAGGGCTCAACACCATCACGTTATTGATGTGGGGATGCTGCACTTAAATGCACGCTTCGATGTCGAGTAAAGCTTGACTAGAGCCAATCATAGACTACCATTCTCTCATAAGCTTCAAGCGACGTATGTTCAACAAGTTCTATCTTCGTCTTCAAAGGGTAATCCGTAAGCCTGCTAGCAAGTCGTGTCCATGAGCTTACCACAGATTTGGCTTCAGGGGCCATCCAATAAATATTGAGACATACTTCGGGGCCATTTGTCCTCCATGGCACTGGTGTAGCGTGCAGCCGATTATTTTATCACATAGACCACGCCCGATCTTGAGCCCACGCCAAACCTCTGAAGGAGTGAATGTCCCACTGAAAAGAGGTGCAGCACCTACATGGCCAAAAGTACGGTGGTTTTCTATCTACCAAATGCGAAAGACCTGAAATCAAAACCTGGGTATAGCTTTGTCTCTCAATCGGTTGGTTTTGGAGGGTTCAAACTGACCAAGAGACCTAGCATTCTATAGATAGAGACAAATGATATGCTTATTTCAGAGGCAAAGTGCTTTACACTTGTTCTCATGATCTGATCCAAACAGGCCATTAAAAGAAAAGGATAGCTCGTGTTGTATCAATCTGAAAAGCCCATGCAAACACGTATAACTAGATGGAGTTCATTTGTAATCTCATCTGTTCAGAATGGCTCTTTTGCGCTCAAATCACAATCCTAGCTAATTCGGACGATTTGAAGATACAACAAATTCTTATAAGGTGAACTGTGGGAATTGTTTATATAAAAATGAGTTTTATCTAGAAAATGCACGAGTGGACTCGTAAACGAGATGCACTTACTTGACCGAAAAGCCCGGTAGGTTTGCTATTTATCAAGTGAGCAGAGGGACTTGCAGCCGAGAAGAACTGAGTATATTTTTGCCACTCAATTCTTCGGATTTGAGGGGATCAAATTGACCCAACCTTTCTGTAGTAAGAATCAGATGGTGTGAAAATTTAAGAGGCAGTGTTTTACACTTGTTTTTGTAATCTGATTTGAATCAATGGTCACCGTATACAATCTTCAAATCTTGAGAAGAGAAAAGATAGAGAAAATGATAGATCGGATTGCATCGTTCCCAAAAGTTCATCTGAACGCATACGCGAAGTCCATTGCCTTTATCTCGTCTTTTCAGGAAAGCAAGCTCCTCGCATGCGTAAATCGCAATCCTAGCTAAGTCGAATGTTTTGAACATATAAACAATTCCATAAATCAGCGTGTGTGAATTGTTAATATAGAAATCATCAATGCGTAGGAAGTGACTGGATGAATTCATAAACTTGTAGCTAGAGGAAAGGGTAGATCTGATATAAACAATCACGCGTCTGATCTCTTCAGCACTCGAAATAAAAGCATAAACAATCGCGTCTGGTGTCCTCAGCATTTCATGCGAAGGCCTTTGGGTTTTAAGCGCCCAAGCAGGCATGTTGCAAGTCTCTCCTTCAAAGAGACATACAAGAGGGAAGAGACGAGTTTTTCTCATATCGACCATTATCCATGCAAGCAAGATCTCAGATTTTCCGAGTTCGTACAAAACGATCTTCAGTGATGAAATATAGCTTTGAAGGTTCGCAAAAACATCAGCCATGATGAACAAGTTCGCATTGACTGGTACCAAACAGGGACCTTCTTAATCAGTTAAAAAACGATAAAGATATGTAAATGATCTGTCAATGTGTAAGAGATATACTCAAAATGTAAAGCTCGTTTGTTGTAGTTGTACTGACTACGTACAATGAAATCAGCCTAATTCCCTTTGACATCATACATCTCATGGACCGCTAAGCCGATTTTCCAATGACAAAACTTGTCCATCTTTTCGCTGTGATGCTTAGTCTGTATCAACAAATCGTCCATTCGAGTCTTAAGTCATCGTGTACATCACAAAGAATATTCAAACCCCTAGAAAATCTTTGCCTTCCTCTATCGCTCTCCCATCACATACCATTATGGACTTAGTAGAGAGTGATGACACTTCCATCGGCCAATCATTCTCAGACCCTCTCGTCGTGAAACAAGAAAAGTAAAAGACTTATCTTATACTTTACACATCATATGGAAGGGTAACGTACACATACATCACGTTTCATGGATTGAAACCCAACGAGGTCCAGTCCTTCCAGAACATCAGAGATGACCAAAAAACAATGGCAATATCAAAAATAACATGGATTGAAGAACTGCATAAGAATTCAAAAGAAATTAAGGACCCCAGCGTTTAAACAAACAACTTTACAAAATAAGACTAAAGCCCCGAGTTCTAAGAAAAACCACGTACGACGAGTCAAAAGCATCAAGAGTTGGAGAATGCTATTTCTGAAAATCAAAGTTTTGAGGTTGAAACGGCAATTTGACGAGGTGAAGACAGAGAGAGGTGGAGTAAAATGGAGGCAAGTGCAAGTGGAGGCCATGGTGGAGGCACGTGAAGAAATGATGCAATCATAGAAGATGGTAGATGATCTTCAGTATTTATTCACTCTCAAGTTGACTCGGATCACTTACGTATGACATTTTGCACGTAATATCACTTGGTTCACGTCCAGGATATCGATACACAGTCAGTCAAAGGAAATAAAGACAGCAAAGGTACGTTTCGGAGGTTCATTCAAGATGTCAAAAAGAATACAAACTAATAACGCTTATTTTATCTTTTCCGATCAATAATCTATTCAAATGACCAACATTCAAGAACCTAGGCTGAAAGGCAAGGTCAGACAAACTTGTCAGGAAGGTACACGGTGGGATGTCTGTGGAAAGGTGAGGGTGGCTTTAGAATTAAGGAAACTAAGTGAAGATGGTAAATGATTCCCCTTTTTAACACTCAGCAGGTTATCTCAGAACTAATAGATGTTACTTTGATCAATTCAATTCCAAGTCTTGTGACCCTAACCTAAAGAAGGCGATCAAGATGAAGATTTTAAGGAATCTGATACTCAAAAATGTAATCAACCTTAAAAAATAAGGATACTTCCTTAAATGATGGACTAGTCACGAACACTACGAATGACGTTGAGACATCAGATTCTGTACTCTATACCACCAAGCTTGGTATCTTTTCTCCCCCTATCTAAATTAAGTCAAAAAACGAGTACAAATTGACGTCACTTCTTCACTATAAAAGGTCCACCGTCCTCTCCAGAATTACGAGATCCTCGTCCTTCAAATATCATCTTTAGTGATTAGTGATCAGAATATTCATTATAAATTTTATCCTCATCGCTTTCTATTTCGTTTCTATTGATTGATTCTTCCTTTTACTTGACGTGAAAGAACGATCAAGCTCGTTTCTTCTTTGAGATTATCTTTTATGATTGGTTTCTCACCTCGTTTTTAACTCAATTTTACCTTGTTCTTGATTGCTTCCTGACCTTGGACTCCTTCTGAACTCGTTTTTAACCCTTTCTCAACCCTTTCTCAACCCTTTCTCAACTCGTTCTTGTATTGTGCTTAAATCTTTCTTGTGTCGTTCTTAAAGTTTGATAACCTTTTCTTTACGAACATATCATCAACTCTTACCGATACTTAAGTTGTTCGAATCCTTCGAAAGAATGAGTTTAAATATCAGAATGAATACGCAAGACAAGAGGGCTCACTGCGCTAGTAAGTCATATTTTCAAACACTTCATTCACTCTCTAAAAATTATGTGATTGTATAGAAACTATTGATAAACTTTTTGGAATTCCAAATGATAGATCTCAATATAGCTCCCAATTTTTCAATGAATAGACTACCTCCAATTGGTGGGATGCTCTCAGGGCAACGGCCCTCAAATATTCGAACTCTTTTAAATTGTTTGTCGTGATTTCATTGAAACATCTTACTAAACCGATCGAAATAGCTAATGTTCTTTCACGGGGTGTTCTTTTATGTAACAATGAACAAGACAAACTCAGATGAAACGGGTACGACAATGAATAGTTTTAAACTCAGTGATGATCCAGGACCCTGTAAGTCTATCTTATCCGCTGGTCTATTCAACATTATCCTCAATATCACAAAAGACTATCGCATTCAAGCTCGTATGAATTGATTTGACTCATTCCGTATGATCTGGAATCTTTATTTCGCAGGCTATCAAGCTCACAAGACGATTCCTGAAGAGAAGAGAGTTTATCCACATCCGAACTTACCAGTTTATTACAATTCGGATGATGTCAGAAAAGGTAAATAAACAGTCTAATTCCTTGATAAATCAAATTGATTCCTAAAGAACTAATTCGTTCAATCATACATTTGACAAAAGTGGTCAATGTGAAATATAAAGGACAATCAGTTCATCCGATTGTTTTGGCAAGAGAATTAACTTTCAATACGTCAAATGAAAGGCTCGATGAAGACGAAATCAAAGAATTGAGGAATCATTTGAAACACCATTATCAAAATTTCAGACCACATCAAATTTTCGGTCCAGCCAAAGTTTCCCATATAATTTCAGATCCAAATGCGATTTCAAATCCGGCTATGAATCCAACTGAAATTGACGCAATCCCATTGCAAGATATAGAGCTGGCCAAGATTAAACAAACCCCAGAATTGATGCCAAATAATCATCAAGATTATGATGGATTTGATTATATCTCTTACGACTGGTTACAAGGATCTACCGCACACATTCATACGGATGATGAACGAAGTCAAATGATATTGACCGATCTACATTTTCCTGAAGCTTCTGCATCTACTTCTTTGAATGCTTCTCAAAAAGAAACTACTGAAGATGTTTTACCTTTCAATCACGATCCATCGAGAGGGGTAATTCCCCAACTAGTCCCTCAAAACCTTCGAGTATCTGGGTATAATCAAAGTGTGACAACCGGGCCCATTAATGCCGATCTCATCGACGCCATCCAACGCGTCGTCTTAAGTGAGTTCCATTCTTTGAATAATTTCTTTTGGCATTGAAACTCAAGCCTTCTCGATCCATTTGCCTTGATTATGGCAAGTTTGCTCTGACCGACAATGTGGATGTAGGAAGTCAAGGAGAAAGGCTTCCATGTCGAAGGAAAAAAGTTTCTTTTCTATGGGTAGGAAACAAAATCAAAAATCCAATCCAATAAACAGCTCTCCATTCTTTTTGTGCTGATTTAATTTTCTTTGGAATGCTTAGAGATCAAAGAGACTTTACCAACGCCATCCCTTTATTCTTCGATGGCAGTTGTCATTTTACCAGCTCATAACAAGCCTGGAATGGATGATTTTAAAAGCTCTAGGAAGCTTTCAGATCAATCAGTTCTTCCTCCATCAGGTTAATAATCTTTGGTTTCTCAAACAACTTCATTAGAATACAAAGAGGTTCAAACGGATATTGACTTCTCAATTTTATTTGGGGGTGGGTCGGTTGATGTTTTAAAATAGCTGCCTTCCATGTTTTTCATGGTCCCATTGGCTGTTTAAGGATTGAAGGTTTAACATCTGGTTCATTACCCGATTTGATCTCTTATTTCAATTCACCTGAAAGACCACCAATTGGTATACAGGCGAGATTGAGTGAGCATTATTTTATCTCAAATCTGATATATTAGATCAATCCAATTGACTTCTTTGTTCTTTTTTTATCGTCAGTGGGTGTTCGTTTTGTTATCATTACTACAGTTCCACATGAAAGGTAAATCTTTCTTTTTCTCGCTTCATCTCTTCAAACAAAAATATATCAGAACATGCAACATATTCAATTGACGTTGGTTTTTTTGGGGGGGTTCATAAATCAAATCTTTAAAGACGCGAGATCCCAATGGAAGAAATTCCTTCAATCATCCCTCAAAAAAATAGTTTCTTTTCTTTAAAAAATCCTTGACTTCTTTTCTAAAATAATGAATACAAAAACATACAAAAAATGATTCTTGAATCTTGACTTGTACTTAAAAGAAAATATGTGATGTGTTTTAGATGAATTTTCTTGTAGATTCAACTCTACTTAACAAAATAGAATAAAAGATATGTGCACTAAAGATGAATTTGTTTTGATCAAGGATGACGGTGAAGATAAAAGATAAACATTTGTGAGTGTTTTTTTGAAGAATGATAAGTTGGTATATGACGCGTTTGTCAGAATTTGACCGACGTTTGGTCAAGAAAGATGAATTGATTTGGCTTTCCAAATTTTATGATTTTCATTTCAATGCTGTTTCATTCAATGACTTTGTATGCACAGTCGTTATCAGAAAGGCTGGAAATATCGTCAACAAACTGATCAAAGTCCCCCCCGCCCGAGTAGACTCTTCAACTCACCACAGCAGAAATTTTGGCCATTTTTGTGTTTTTGCTCATTATGAGAATCACAGACCTCATGAAATCACTGATCCGGCCACACATAGCTTCCTTAGCATCTTGTGTGCCTCCTCCTTCTAGTTCCAGATTGTCACTGCAGGTAGATTCACTGCTATTTAAATTCTTGGACACTGTGTTTCTGGGGTTTTAAGCACACCTCAGGGGGTCCTGTATTGAATTATCCGTTGCAGCTACAAGTTTTTACAGCTCTTCTGAGTGAGTTTGATGAGTGAAATATGTGTTGGAAAATGCACAAGCTAATGTAGAAGTCTGAAGAGAAGACCTCTTGAGCTGCCCGCGTTATTTTATGATGTCTGTGACTCTCATAATGGATGATCAAGGAAAACAGCCCAAAAATCCAGCTGTTTTGAGTTGAAAAGTAGGACTTTAGCCGCAAGTCCCTCCCTTGACTGCTTGGGCAGGGGGGACTTTGATAGGTTTATATTGTCAGGTACTTATGGAAGACATGAAACTGACACAAGAGCACCCACTATGGCTGTGACAGGCTGGCTAGCAGTACATAATGTGTACAAAAACAATGTAAAAAATGTGAAACATTGAATAAAAAGTAACAATTATAGGACCCTGTTAGCAACATACATTTGACATAGATCAAAACATTGACCTTACTAACACAACCATGACATGAAATAAATCTTATAAGGAGTTTTTTATATTGTTTTTTTAATATACACCTCAATGGCAATACTTTAAAGTATATATATATAACTCTTGATAAATATAAAAGACACATACAAAGGAGTGTTACCACAAAATATCCATGGGTGGGAAGGGAGGGCATCCAAAATAACCAGAACTTGCTGAGCTTGATGACAAATTTGATGAATTGGAATTCTAGATGAAATTGGTCATGAGAAGATGAATGGTAATTTTGAATGGTCAACAGGATGATGTCATTTTACCATTGCTACAACTGAAAAAATGATCAAAGACCTGGTCTTGTGGTCCATGCATACAATGGATGTAAACAGAATGTAGGTGAATTTCAACATTCACGTACCACCAATACAGCCCAGCCATGGCTCTTTTTCTGCCTGACAAATCCAATGAATAAGAAATCTTTCAGTGGCCAGAAAAGTGCTGATGGAACAATGTTAAAGACAGTGGTGGCGATCATGTGTTCAACTTCTGCTTATAAATTGGGTTCAAAGCACCTGTGTTGCTTTCACTTTTGAGTTCTTGGCCAACCTCAGAATGATACAATTTTTTTCATACTTTTTTGCCACTCAGGTGCACCAAAGATGAATTGTCTTGGGATGTTAAGGGTGCTGGCACATTTCCATTGAATGTCCAGAACCCATTCCCAAATTGTAGCAAAAAGAAAGATTCCCCAAGGGTTAACCCACATCAATGAGTGCAAAGCAGACAGCTGTGGGCCACCACACCTTCCAAAAAATGACTTTCCAAGTATCCCTGAATTCATATTCTACTAGGGCATAGGCGGGCCCGCCCGCACATTCAGTGACACTCAATGTGCAGGCTCCACCACAGAATTTGTCCTGACTCTTGGACCAGTTCAACACCAATTCAAAACCATCAGGCCACACTTCAATGTACATTGTGTTGAAAACAAAATGACATGGACCACTTTTCAAAAGTTGAATGACACCTACATGATGAGTGAGCTGGACCAATGGAGGGATACAGCTGAGGAAATAAAGATGGTGACATAATGAAGAGATGATAGTGCTTTTGGAAGTGAGAGAGCAATTCAACAATTTTTGGGAGTGAACCAGAAAATAAAGAGAGCAATGCTGAACAACATTTCAGCACATGTGTTGCAAAGTGATTGGTGGAAATCAGTCCAGTCAAAAGCAAAAGTAGATCGACTGAGTTACAAAAGTACCAACCAGACTTTTTGGAAAGAAAAACCAAATGAACCATGCAGAAGGCGCGCAAGCTTTGTCCATACAGAGTCAGTGCTTTATCCAAAACCAGTATATAAGTGGGGGCGTGCTAATGAGAAAAGAACCATGTAACAGTTGGGTGGTATACTTATGAAGAAGTATTAAAGAAGCATGCAAGATCAAGGCTGCAATTTGCATTTGGAACAGTATATATCACAGAGAAAGCTGTGATCCTTTCAATCATTTTTTTTAGATGATCAATATATCTTTGAAAAATAAGTTCATTACCTTCTGGAATTGAATTTGAGCTCTGATTATATTCCCTAAACTGATTGTGCATTGAATAATATTGTACATCTAGGGACTGGACTTTCTTGTTTGCAAACCCTACTTCTGAAAGCTGGAGAGATGCTGAATTTGATGATTACAATCATTCAGTTTGATTTATGATAAAACTTGCATCACCTGAAATGGAATTGGTTTTTGCTGTACCTGTTCCAACTACTCTCACTTCTTCAACTCTCCAAAGTCCAGCTGCCATCCATTATCAGACTAATTTGCATTCTCAGCCATATTCAGTTTGGTCTCAGAATGTGTTATATATGGTTTTTAGTGTCAAGGGCTTACAAATTTCAGCCCAAACCTTAAATTGAATGTTCTCATTCAAAACTCAACATTTCAAGCTCCCAAGACCCTCTTCAGGATGCTCAACCTGTTTGATTTCCATCCTTTTCTAAAGGATCTGATCACACCTTTTTTTCTCTTTGTTCTTTGTATTATTGAATTCAAATTTCTATTCAAAAACAACACCTGGGAGCTCCATGAACAACTTCATGTTGATTCTTGAGAAACACAGTACCTGCATAGATATAAGGCTTCAATTTTCTCTCAAATGCTGAAAATGTTGAGTATTGAGTGAGAACATTGGGTTTGGGCATTTGCGGTATCCACTTGAAATTCATGAGCCTTTCACACTAACAATCATACCACAATCTGCTTTGATCACTTTTTTTAACTGTGATCTGCTTTGATTGCCCATTATCATTATTTTGGCTCTTTACCGTGCTTCTCTGGTTGAAGATTTTTTTTCTCGTTTCGTAAAGGTTACTAATGCATTTTGTATTGTTGATCTTGACTGTTTACTCTTAGAAAATTATGGCAAGTACATAAGGTTTCTTTTGTTAATTCAGTTTACTTTTTTTATGGTTTCTTATGTTTGGTAAAAAATCAGCATTCAGATTCACCTTTGGTCTTGCCTGTTCCCCTGCTATATAGTGATATAGCGCACTATATAGAGGATGGAATACAGCACTACCATTTAGTGTTTTTGAAGTGATTTTATCGCTCTGCAACCCCATGAGACACAAAAAAAAGTGATCTTATAGCTTTGGGCTTATAGCAGTGACTCTGCTCCAATATTGAGATGGGTCAAAATCCATAGCATAGCGGACCAGTTTTGGTGTTGGCTCCAGGAAATTATTTTTGTATGCCAGTCTATTACAGCCCATACACTTTTGCTGTACAGACACCTCTCCTGAATGGCACATTCATCTATGACAAGAATATGACCAGTTTGGAAAAAGGCAAAAGGTTACTTAATGTTGTAGAACTTATAGCCCCACAAGGTTTATACAGAGTGTCAGCCCTGAGTACATATGTATGTTCCCAAAGACTAACTTGTTGTCAGGGTGGCTACAACTTATGACATACAGTTGGTCTAGTCAACAACTAGTACTAAGGTCCTGACTAGTATTCCGCTGGTTACGGGGAATGTTCGTAGTACTTGATACCAGAAAATAGATAAGGAAGATACGTTATCAGTTTCGCCTCGAGGAGGATCTTATATTTCTTGAACAAGACTTCAAAACTACTGGCCCACTGTAGGGTTACGGGCGATAGCTGGTCAAGCCTAGGCCGTAGTTTATTCTCTAAAACTCGTAAGTCAAGAGTAGCCTGAGATAAATCTGCAGGGATTCTACCAACAGTTACTGTTGTAGAACCTGGGTCCTTGACCAGAAGATGAGAAGAAAGACTGACTAACCGGCAAGTAGTTTAGCAGATAGGATCTTTCGACGAATGAAGTATAACAACGGGGAGTTTCAAAGAGAAGAAGGTTTTGACGCTGATTTTAAATGACTAAGTTTTCAAAAGGGAACTAATATGATTATTCTTTGAGAATTTCTTAATAGCTAGCAATCGAAGAAAAGAGTTCTAGGTTTTCTATTTTAGATAATGGATCTAAGTAGAAATTTGGGTGTGTAAAATCAGGTGCCGTCCTTCTTTCTTCTGTTTGTTAGCATCGTATTTATACCTTCAGATCTAGCTGTCCTACCTGTAGTTATCTTACTACGATCTTTCTTTAGCTTTGGCTCTTCATGCTCCGAACGGGTCAATAATGTCTGCCGGTGTACTTCTCACGCCTAGTCTTACCTTGACTAGTCAAATAGGATTTTTACGTAAGAAAGTTAGCACTT